ACCGAATATATAATCTAATTTAAGAATATATTATTAGCCGAAGCGGCCCGCAATAATACCGAATAGTTAAATAAACTAGGAAATAATATAAAGCTAGTTAAGCTATAATTTAGTATTATTATATATTATACCCTAACTAAGGACTTTAATCTAAAGAATATAAATATATAAGTAATTAAGAAAATTATAGAAGAGAATAAATTAACTAATTAAGGATTCCGGATTAAAGAGGTAGCGTAGCTTAAAAAAAAAGATAAGATATTAAGAAAGTTTACGTCGCTTAGGATCTAGTTCGACTTAGCTAAAGGGACGGACTTAATCCTAGATAAAGGGTTCCTTATAGGCTAATAATATATTAGTAGTATAAAACGCTACGAGATTAAGAAAAAGAGATACTTTTACTACTAACGCTTCGGATATTTAGCGTAATTATATAAGGAGACCTTACGATATAGCTACTGCGCCAGTTAATATCTACGCGAATACTACCTACCCAGTATACGACTACAATACCTTAACTATAATAATATATACCTAACCGGAGACCGCTAATATCGAACTCTAGCGAACTTTTAACCTCTCCTAATACCGTGGTCGGTAAGCGAGTGGCGCATGTAAGCGAGCGGCGCACCCGCCCACTTTTTCGCATCTCCGCGCGTCCATTTATCTTCCATCAAGCACTATGCCTCCAATTCGTGTCGGATCAAGCCAGGATTCTGTCCAGCAAGAGGGCCGTTTATCAATTGCTATACAAGCCATTCAAAATAAGGAAATCACGTCTATACGCGAGACGGCACGTCGATTTAATGTGCCTGGAACCACGCTCCGCCGTCGACTACGCGGTACTACAAACCGCGCTGAACGTCGCGCAAATGGTCATAAATTGACCCAAATCGAAGAGGATATACTCCAGCAACGGATATTATCGCTAGATTCACGCGGTGCAGCCCCTACGCAAGCTCACGTACGAGAAATGGCGAATATTCTACTTGCGAAGCGCGGTTCTACCCCTATCCAGACCGTCGGCGAAAAATGGGTATATAACTTTACCCAACGCCGTCCAGAGCTTAAAGCTCGCTTTTCTCGACGCTATAATTACCAACGGGCAGAACAAGAGGATCCAAAGATTATTCGAGCGTGGTTTAACCTCGTACAAGCCACAATTCAGCAATATAGTATCTTACCGGACGATATCTATAACTTTGACGAGACTGGCTTCGCAATAGGCCTCTGTACGGCCCAAAAGGTGATTACCCGATCAGAATACTACGGTCGGAGATTAGTTTTACAGCCAGGAAACCGCGAGTGGGTAACTATAATTAAGTCAATTAACGCTTCGGGGTGGGTGCTTCCGCCGACGCTTATTTTTAAAGGCCAAAAATATAATTAAGCATGGTTTGAAGACCTTCCACCCGACTGGCGCTTCGAAGTTAGTGCAAATGGATAGACAACCGACGAGATAGGCCTTCGCTGGCTTCAAAAACAATTTATTCCGTTAATAAATCATCGTACGCATAGAAGATATTGACTTCTAGTCCTCGACGGACACGGGAGTCATCTAACACCAGAGTTCGATCAAATCTGCGCGGATCATGAAATTATCCCAATCTATATACCACCGTATTCCTCGCATCTACTTCAGCCTCTTAATATCGGATATTTTGCTATTTTAAAGCGTTTATACGGCGGTCTAATCGACCAAAAGATACGGCTCGGGATCAACCATATTAATAAACTTAACTTCCTTTTTATATACCCACAAGCTCGCGTCGACGCTTATAAACCAACTACAATACAAAATAGCTTCTGAGCAGCAGGATTAGTGCCGATTGATCCTCAATAAGTGCTATCAAAGCTTAATATTTAACTTCGGACGCCGATACCTCCCATAAGCCGCGGTAGTCAATCAAGCGCTTTTTACCCACATACGCCCGCGAATATCGATAAGCTTTTAAAGCAAGCATCCTCAATTAAAGCTTTCTTAAAGCGACGCTCAAAAAGTCCGCCATCGCCTTCGCAAACCGCGTTAAACCAGCTTATTAAAGGCTGTCAGATCGCAATGCAGAACGGTATACTTCTCGAGCACGAAAATAAGCAGCTACGTGCCGCAAACGCTACGCAAAGGCGAAAGCGTGCTCGTAAGACTAGATGGATAGCCCACGATGACGGTCTATCCGTACGAGAAGCATTAGAGCTCGAGGAAGCTCATGAGGAGCCCTCTTAGGCAATTCTAGCTCTACCAAGCCTACTACCGCAGGACACACTAGCACCGAAGACGCGGCGTCCACCCCAATGTACTAATTGCGGACAGATCGGACATAAGAGGAATACATGTAAAGCTAGAGATTAATCAATATAAAGGCGTTGTGGTCGATAAAAGTGTCAAGATATAGAGAAAAAGTGGGCGGGTGCGCCGCTCGCTTACATGCGCCACTCGCTTACCGACCACGTTATCGGAATAGATATGCAAATACAACAAACATGCGGAATAACACATTCTCCTTCATGCCGGGGGATATTCATGCTGACAAATGACTAATATTCTGGTAAATAGGACGCTTAAATCGGCGTCAAAAGTAGCCTTTCTCGGCGCCCAATTTACCTTCACTTAGCGTTGGGGTGTAAACTACCAGTAATTACCAGTAATTATAGGGTATAACTAAATTGACCTTATCAGGTTATTAGGTCAGGGGTCGACCTAATGACCTGATAAGCTACATACCCGAAAATATCCCTAAATCACGTCGGTTTGCTAGTCTTCACGATACAGGTCAGTTCACGTCTTGCATAACTGCAGCAAGAATTATCGAAAATGCATAATCGTTCAGACTTCGTGACGTCCGATCTGAACTCGGATGCGGTTCGGATCAACTTGCATGGTGAAGAATATGTCGATTTTCGACATTCTGGACAAATAACAGGTATGTATCTGGAAATCTTTCGGTCGGCATATTATGTGAATGATTCGATTACTATCAAATCTGAAGTCTTGCAATCTATCCTGCAATCTTCCGGCTCACATATTACCAGAAGCATGGGCAAAGGGGAATGGCAATTTCCCCGACGAGGATGGAAAATTAAAGGGGCTATGTCCAAGTTCAACAGGTCTACTTTACATTGCCACCTTGCTGATTTGTACGCACTTTCTGTGTAAATTGTACGGCACACACTCTCTCGCTTGGTATATATACTGAGCATCAGACAGCCCTGTGTTACATTGCATGAGGACGGATCACTGTGCGTTATCCTGGCTACCTCCCTTGTCCAATTTCGGACTGTAGTGATTTATCATGATCGGATAATATACCGATTGTAAATGGTTACTGACATTTGCACCATATATCATCTTTCTCATCTGTACTGTTATAGAAACAAACTATGAAGAGATTGTGAAGAGGTATATAAGACTGACGCCGTATACTGAGGGCCTTATCTTTACTTTGACTTTACGGATATGTTTCTGCATCCGTGCTCCCATACAGTCGGACCAAATTTCAGAACGTCAGTAACACGGGTATCTCTTGATTCCAATCCATGTTGCGAGACAAAAGGTGACGTACTAGAAGTGATATCATAGCTGCGAGAGGATAAGTCATAAATAGTACAGAACAATGGAAATACCAGCCATGCAACCGTTCACTATCCTCAACACATGCTGAAGACTGCCACATCACCACCGGACTCGGGTCTTAAGTACAGGATGCTTAAATTGTTGATTTTTAAGACCGGAGCTCAGTGATAAGTTTCTTAACACGTTGACGGATTTCGTGACGGATAGCTCTCACAGCGTCTAAGCCTTGCCCAGCGGGGTCGTCCAGTTGCCAGTCGAGATAGCGCTTGCCAGGAAGAATGGGCAAACGTCCCCACATCCCATAGTAATCACAACATCGCTGGCTTGCACTGCGTCGGCAGTTAGGATCTTGGGGTTTTGGTTGCTGAGGTCGATTCCTTCTTCACGCATGGCTTCGACGACGGCGGGATTGATAGACTCGGCTGGGGCCGATCCGGCGGAGCGAACTTCAATGGTGTCACCAGCAAGATAACAAAGGAAGCCGGCGGCCATTTGGGAGCGCCCGGCGTTATGAACGCAGACAAATAAGACACTGGGCTTATTGGCCATGATGGGCATGCCTTTCGAGTATTGGGTTGAGTAGTCCTTGCGAGTAGCTAGTTGAATATGAGGATTGGTGGGTATAATAGTTGGTGTCTTTAAGGTATATGAGGAATGGGAGAAAAAGGGTATGGCAATGCCGCTATTTTTGTACAAAAGGGATGCACTGGCTGTTCTCCAAATATATATACCACGTGTTGGCTGGAAAAGGGGAAGAATTAGTAACCCGTTGATCTAGAACATTCTTCATACAGCGGCGTCGTCCCACAACTCAATAGCGTTCGACGAGGGCCTTTTTGTGAGCCGTAGTCGCAGTACATGCCGAAACCGCATTTAGACCGAGTTTACTTTGCCGTAGTCAAAAGTATCGTCTGATCAATGAAAATGAACTCAGGCATTCATTACTGAAAAACTTGCGCTGGCAGCTGGTGAACCGACGGTATTATCAGCCATATAGGAACTGTCAATGGAAACTACTCGCATGGCCATCTCTATGTGCTCTCACTACATAGGAATCTGTGTCTCACTCCGACACTATCATTGGCCGAGGGTTTTTGGAAGGATAGTGCAGCATTTTCATCACTGACAAATCACAAGCCTAGAGCATTGCCGCTATGTCACTCCTTGATTATTATTGGTCAAAGCCGACAGATTGTCATTCGTCCGGTGTGATTGGCTATCACTAATCACCAGTCTTACTATATTAGGACTAGCGGCAGATTCTCTCTTATAAGACGAACTCTAGGTTCTGCATATTTAAGAGACTATTCCGCTCAGTTGGTGCAGATTTTCGAATGATCACTGCTTACTATTGAATTTTCTTACAGCTTCTTTATCCGACAAAGGACGTTGTGAAGCATTTTACGCATTGAATCTGCTGATCCTAGACATGGCTAGCGGAATTCCTCAGGCAAATCTGCCCGTGCAGGCCGAACCGCAATCTCACAACACAACATTGAATAATCAGTCAACAAATTCTAAGACTAAGGATGTTGAAAAACAAAGTACAAACGAGATCGAGGAGTCCACGGTCAAGCAATCAGCCTTCAAAGGGCTTGGCTGGCTAGATCGTTTTTTGGCCGTATGGATCTTTCTGGCCATGGCAATCGGAATCATACTGGGAAATTTTGTGGAAAATACGGGACCTGCCCTTCAGAAGGGACAATTCGTCGGGGTTTCTATTCCGATTGGTACGTACTCAAGAAATCTTCAACAATACAGTCTCTAACTAAATTTTGCAAGCTATCGGTCTCTTGGTCATGATGTATCCTATTCTTTGCAAAGTGCGATATGAATCTTTACACCACGTCTTCCGAGAGCGTGATATTTGGATCCAGATTGCATTTAGTATCTTTGTTAATTGGATTATTGCGCCTTTCCTAATGGTGAGAATTTTTCGACTCGTCACGGTGAAACTTGCTAACGTTATACTTCCTTAGCTCGCACTGGCATGGGCTTTCCTACCAGATGAACCGGAGCTTCGAGAAGGGTTGATTTTAGTTGGATTGGCCAGATGTATTGCTATGGTACATTGCCCTTTCCCTATAGTATGCCCGAACTGGACTAATGTATCATCGCTAATAGGTTCTCATATGGACCGGTCTTGCTGGTGGCGACAGTGAATACTGCGCTATTCTTGTTGCGGTTAACTCACTGCTGCAAATGGTGCTCTTTGCCCCCTTAGCCATTTTCTTCATAAAGGTCATCAGTCACTCTGGCAGCCAAGTTGCACTTTCTTACTCCACTGCTGCCAAAAGCGTGGCTGTTTTCCTTGGTATCCCTCTTGGTGCTGCAATTATCACGCGCATTACTCTTCGAAAGATCACCAGCCCACGTTGGTACGACCAGGTTTTCCTGAAGTGGGCTAGCCCATGGTCACTTCTGGGGCTCCTCTTCACGATCCTCGTATTATTCGCATCCCAGGGCCGGCACGTGGTGCATCAAATTGTATCGGTGGTGCGAGTCGCCGCTCCGCTTATTGTTTATTTCATCATTGTCTTCTTTTTCACCCTTCTGGTGACCTACAAGCTCGGATTTGGTTACAAGTTAGCAGCCACTCAAAGTCTCACCGCTGCCAGCAATAATTTCGAGCTTGCGATCGCTGTCGCAGTCGCAACGTTTGGCGCCAACAGCAACCAAGCGCTTGCCTCCACTGTCGGGCCATTGATTGAGGTCCCTGTACTGCTTGGCCTTGTCTATGTTGTCAAATTCATAGCCAAACGAGTTGGCTGGAAGGATTAAAACGAAAGGAGGACAATTTCCCGTTTGCGGCTCAATTGGGCTTTCGGGGCTCTTTCCTTTCATTTGTTATTGGTGGCTACCTTGTTGGCATTCACCGATCAATATTGAAGAGGCTAGATCCTCGGGGCATGCGTATACTATGGGTAATACATCAGTCATCAATACTAGCCGTTATGGCATGAACAGAACTTCATATAAGCTATACGACAGTCAGGGAGATAAGGAGTGATTCTTAATCTAGATAATTTTGGAGAAGCGCCAGTGGTTCTTCCGTTTGTCCTTGCGACTGATAAACCGAAGCTGCTTCGGTGTTACTTATTTTTAGCCAGGGTTATCAGCTCCTAGGCGCCAGTATCCCATCTTGGGCAATGACTCCTTGATCGACTTGAAAAATTATCAGTTGACTGGGCTCTTCCAGAATCACCATCCATGTAAATACCAAACATACGTCTATTCTCTTAAAATTGTGGGTTGAGGGTGGGGGCTAGGATATATCCATGACAAATAGGCTTGGCAGAGACATTCCGGTGCCCACCGGTGACATACCAGAAAGTATCGATCGTCCAATCAGAAAATGTGAGCCGCCTGACGTCGCTAAATAGGCTCCTGATTCGTGTAGTATATATTTAGGCTTGGTCTCTCCCCATTACGACTCTTGAAGTAAATCATCTATACAATCTTCACTTAACCGACAGACGAGTCTTTTTTCGCCGTGCTGAAACAGAAAGTTCGTCAGAATGAATCCGGAAGATACCTATCGATGTGTGCAAAACCGCTACGCTGGAGTTGCGAGGCAGACGGACGACGCTCATAAACCGGGAGACCATAAACGCAAAGTCGCAAGGGCGTTTGGGTATGATCTAGAGGATCTGCGTTCTATTCCAGAAAACGCGAATTTAGGTGTTAGCTGTGGGAATCCATTAGCAACGGCAAACATAGGTGTGGTAAGTACTGTCACCGGTCGCTCCTTGGGGCTGATTTTGATATCCATATAGGGCGAGGTTGTGATTGATTTGGGTAGTGGCGGGGGCATTGACGTTTTGCTAGCGGCAAAGAAGGTTGGAGGGGAAGGAAAGGCCATTGGTATTGATATGACCAAGGTATGCGGATCACTTCCTACCCATCTGACTTTACTTCTTGCTTAAAGCTAGCAGGACATGCTGGAATTATCACGTCGGAACGCAAGGAACGCCGGTGCCCACAATGCATCGTTCATAGAAGCGTTCATTACTTCTATACCGTTACTATCGTCCACCGCTGATTGTATCATCAGTAATTGTGTGGTAAACCTAGTGCCGGAAGTTGAAAAGCCTCTGGTCTTTCAGGAAATGTTCCGTCTACTGAAGCCAGGAGGTAGGGTTGCCATTAGCGACATCCTGGCGAAACGAGAGCTTCCGATGGGGATCAAGAAGGATCTCTCCTTATATGTTGGCTGTATAGCTGGTGCTAGCCAGGTTGCCGATTACGAAAGATATCTGAAGGAAGCAGGGTTCCAAGGTATTCATACTATATTCATGGGGCATTCAATATTGTACTGACATCTAGCTTATAGAAGCAGTGATACTGGACACTAATGCCGATCTCAATATTTACAAGGAGATGTGGAAGAACGAGAAAGACAATGGGCCGGACCCTACGGGATCATGCTGTGATACAACGAATAACAGTACCAGCGGGGAGATAAACAATCTCTCAGAGGTTGATCTCAACATCTGGACTGGTGAGTTGGCCTTCACAAGAACCTAGTATCGACGTACCACTGACAAATTCCGTATTTAAAAGGCTCATTTAAAATCTTTGCTATTAAACCCGACACCCATGACTGAAAATTCCATGAATTGAATTCCAGCACACACAAGACTTCTGGTCTCATGAAAATAGCACTATTCAACATAGCTGGTGCAGCGCTGGAAATCAGGTAACTTTCAGCTAAGCGAGTTGAGAATTTTGATATTCATGCTACATAGGTTATCACTCTGCTTTACATCGGATTCAATATGGACTTTCTTATGCTATTATTGTGGACTAGATAGAACGATAGGGCCGCATTACGTCCAATCATTCAAGTAATTTGTAATACCTTAGCCAGTTTAACATAATCCGGAAATATTTCCTGGTCTCGATATACGTCGAAGCCCGTGGTAGAGCGTGACATTAAGCTACATTTGTGGGGAAGTTCCTTTAAATAAGGCAGGAACGCTTATTTTCATCAGACTGGCCGGGGCATATGATGATAAAGAAACTAGCCAAGAGAGCAGTGCCTTTATTTATTTCTGCCACTACGCTGTTCAGGTTCATCAGTGACAAGATAAGTAATCCGAAAATCGTCTGAGAGCTATTCTTGCTGACTAGATTAGCAATATGTTAAAGATGGACAGCATATACAGGGCAGTGTTAAGTCAACTTCTTGCAGGCCAGTATGGACAAGAGAAACGGTAGCTACTGGAAGAATTGAGGACGTTGTTAGCCTTGATATTTTTCTTGCTTCTCCACTCATGGGAAATACTCTCGCTCGAATTGAACATGGAGCAAATTGAAATACAAACTCATTTGGATCTACTTCACAAGGGGTGTCATCCTCACCTCACCTCAAGTTGCATAGGTACGCACGCGGTGATGTGATGGGGGCCATAAGTTGTCAGCTACTTCTGTATAAAAATTTAAGTCCAATAATTTTGCGTCCCTATTTGCGTATTTGTGTCACTTATCGAGTACATCGAAGATTGACATATTCTTCACCATGCAATTTGATTCGGAGTCACATCCAAGTTCGAATCGCAGATCATGGATATCCGGATAGTCTCGCAGGCTTGCTATAATTCTGGCTGCATCCTCGCAAGATGTGAGTTGCCCTATATCCCGGGCGCCGCCAAGGTCTTGCGCTTTGGACACGGTTTCGTGGGCGTCAGGACTGAGTGCTACTGGTCGCCCTGCACTCGGGCCTTGCATATTGAGACCGATATATCCTTTTGTACCTGATCTTGATGGAGGACATCGAGTCCCGGAAGTGTCAAACTCAGGTGGCGAGCTACTTAACTCTAGCTTAGAAGCTGTGCGTGTATGGCGACAATTCATACGAGGATCATTTGTTCTAAGGAAGTTGTTGATGGAATATAGGTTGCCTGCGATTTTAGGTATTTTTCAATTTCTTCTTTTGAGACGCCGTGAAGTATCAGCAGTGATCAAAGAAGGGCATTCTCTTTTGCAACTTTTCTCCCTGCCTGTTGAACTTCTTGCGACGCAGCTACACCAAGTCTTTGGAATGACCGTAGCTGTTCCTCAAGGTGCTGGGTGTACTCCTTGCGTCGGGCGCGAGAACGCCGCTGGTTTTCGCGGATTCGAGCCAACGCGGTCGGGAGACGCTCTTTCATATTTCCAGTATTCCCTCTCTTTATGTACGTTAGGATTAGGTAACAATATCCTCCGGAGGTACGTACGACTATAGATAGGACTGAATAAAATTGTCGCTTCTCGAATCGATCCGGGTGGTGAGTATGTGAATTTCAAGCTGCCTTCGGCACGGGGAAACAGTACGCAAGGGTTTGATAACATAATCAACGACCATTCCGCATTAGTCGTTATCCTCCGCAGACCCGCATCCAATCATCATTCGCTGGTGACATACTACCGTCTGTACTTGTCGAGAAACTTTTTTCTCTTCCAATGAAGAATGACAGCGACCATAAGGCATCCCAAAGTCCAGGGACTCCGAGAACTTAGTGATCGGAGTGATGGGCACATCCGAGCAGCATGGGAATTTGGCTAGTTTCTGTTTACCATGTGTTTAGGATTGATAATTCTATTATTTCTCATTCTTTGTCACGAGATCGCGGTGTTCAAACACCAGATTGATTGGATACCTCTAAGCAAAGTCCGTCCAACTCAAGGCCGGACACTTGCCATTGCTCTAGTGAATGGTGGAATGCAGTCGTTTATTGCGTATCCTCGGTCGCTAATATGCGTATGTTTACTATGCTGAATCAGCCCTCAATTCCTAAGGTGTACCACTCTTTTTCCCAAATGAAGGTCAATTATGGCATCAACGCCTCAATCTAGTGGTAACCGGGATCGTCTGATTGGTTGTATAGATGAATCTGTCAAATACACAATCCTGATGCGGGTCCGCATCGAGCTCTTTACCCATTGTTTTAGCGAACGAACGAGAAGACAAGAGACCCCGGGAAGGAAAGAAGAATTCTCGTACGCTTGTTTGAGTTAAGACATATTATAAATAGTGGGTGATAAATAGCCGTATAGACAGCCGTAGTAGAAATTACTCTTTCTTAAATTCGTTCTCTATCTCATTGCTTTTAATCATAAATAGCCATAACAAAGCAAGAGGCGAAACACTTTGACCAAATAGACATAGCGCATTCTTCTATTAATATTGGTATTCTGATATAGCCGCGGTCCACCATTTGAAACCTCATTTAAAGACAGCGCTCTTAGGAATAGACTTGTCTCGCCTATCGAGATTACCTATGCGTGAGCTGGGGTTGGAATTATCGATCTTGAAGCCTCCACACCTAGCGACGAGATGCTGGTAGTAGTCAACTAGCACCTCTGGCTTTGGAACAATTTTCCATTCCAACTTGAACAAAAAGTCAAGCTCTAGCATTGCTAACTCGGTCGTGCTGATTCCCCCTATTCGAGCATATGTCTTATTGGTCCAAAAGCTATCACTCAGGGCTTTGCTGGCGACTGTCGTACTAACAACCAGGAACCGATGGATCGACAGACTGGAAACAGTGAAAGCAGGATATAATATACAGAGCCGATCAAGGTAATAGACCATGCTAAGAAGAATCGGCGGCGATAGTTGAGCATGTGTAGTCAACCGCTGAAGGTAATCGTGCACAGAAACTTCGGGTAGGGAACAAGAGTGAAATCTAGTTCGCTGACCATGGTGTGGTGGCATCTGCTCGTTGAACTGAATCAATTCCATAATCATGCTTGAGATGAGCACCACTAAATCATAGGGCTCAGCCGATTCGTAGTGCGCAGGCAACACTTTGGCCTTAGGTTTGGAAGACCATGGTCGCCAGGACTGCATAGCCCTCAGTTTCAAGTATAATTAATCTGCTAGGGGCCCACTCGGCGAGTAGAGGTCGCATTGGTGTTTGCACTTGTTATATTCTGCGATGAGGATAGGCATAGAGGAGAGCGAGCACACAAGAAATAACGGGCACTGAGCAGAGGGTGTCATAGCAGTAATGGTATTCGTAGCTGCAGAACAATCGCCTTCAAGATCGTGGTGTGGCAAGCCCAACGATGATTTGGACTATTACTTGAAAAACGCCTTCGTACTGTTGTGCGAAGTGCTGAACAGCCCTTGTGGATATCGGTGTTATAATCCAAAGCGCATAGTAGTAGCTCACTCTAGGCCAGATGAGCAACGACCGATGAATCATCGAGCATCGTTTGCAAGTTCATGTCATAAATGGGAACCTGCGGGGGTTAGAACATGAGAGCCTGGTCTTTTGTTGGGTGTTGAGACCTTTGCTGGACAAATCGATTTCGACGTCTTAGATTGTAAATAAAAAACTCTTGGCTCTAATGCGACACGTCAGAAAAGATTGACGGGCAGAGAGAGTTTTATAAGCTAATATAAGAGTTAGGATCGCCTGGATCGCCATATTAATAATATCTTTTCTGTTCGAGAAGAGGTTAAGTTAGGGCATGCTTAAGATAACCAGTTATCTTGCAGCTGTGACATATAAGACTTTTCTAGCCTTTATGCCTTAATTTCAAGCAAATTTTCCCATATTCTATTTAATAAGTAACGTTTTGCAGATAACTAACTAACTGGTGTAGTGGGAGAACTGGTGACAGTGCATGTAGGTGACCGCACCCACGTGAATAGGTCACCGCACCTATCACGTGATTTTTTCTCGGATTTACCCCACCCGTTCGGAAGAATTTTAACCCATCCCCCTCTCTTACCTTACCATACCATCCTACCCCATCCACTTCCATACTACTTCTACTACCCACCATACTACTTTACTACCCATTTTTCTGTATTTGAAGCCCAAATTCAATATGGCAAACCTCAATGATAATGTAAGTGATGAAATATCGATGAAAAATAATGAAATATCGATAAAAAGTGATGAAAACTAACGTCATTTAGCCTACCTACAAATTCTACCTCAGCAAAACGAAACTCACTCTGGCTGGTATGTGGGACAATATGACTAAGAATGTGAGTGTTAAATCTATCAAATATATTAGTTCCGAACTAATTATACCTAATTTAGAGCGATGGTGACTGGGTTATCTTCCCTGGAGAGCTTTAGTGTCGCTTCCCGGGTTGCCTCTATCCTATAAGTCTGAATAATAGACGTTAAAACTAGTTTCTAACTAATTTAGGTCGTCTTCCAAAACACTAACAAATTGAAGCACTATATTATCCAAAAATATATAGATAATAATAATTTGATGGCTAGAGGGAAGGGTGGAAGGACTTCCGCTACTACGGTTCTTAATACTATTAGTAAGTATTTTGGAATTAAAACTAGTTTATAACTAATTTCTATTATTTTAGGTAATTTCTACTAGCCTATATATATTCGGTACGAATAATAGTATGCTAGTGATAGTGAACACCGTCCTATTCTTCCCCTTAAGCGTAATAGCAAAGTGAGTCCCTTTTAAACTAGTATTAAATTAGTTTCTAATATTAAAGAATAGATTAATATAACCAAAATACGCGAGATGCTTCATGAAATAGGCTACACTAGCTTATATATAACTTATAAAGCTAATAAGGCCGTGAAACGTAAGTTTTAACTCTCTTACCTATTTTAAATTAGTCCAAAACTAATTTATAGATTTATAGTTTATTATTATAAGACCCGCCGATCTAACTGCGATTTCTTTGATTTCTTTATAGATAAAGAGGAGGAAGAAGATAAAGGAGAAGATAAAGTATAAGAGACTGATATAGCCTAGAAGAACTAATTCTAAATTAGTTCTAGCGTTAGGATAGAGGATACTAGGAGAGAACTAGTATTAAACTAGTTCTCGAGGAACTTAATTTACTTAGTTTGTCCCTAAGGTATAGATCATAAATTAATTTCTTTAATATTATTACTTTATAATTAATAGTTTAAATTTAGTTTAAGCGTATATTAGGATAGAGGATACTAGGAGAGAAATAGTATAGAAGAGTAAGTAATTTTAAACTAGTTCCCTCGCTTAATCTGCGCTAGTTATGCCTTAACTAGCTGCCTTTCTAGTTCTATCTTAGCAAGCCTAATTTCTCGTTCTTTAGTCTTAAGCTCTAATTTCTGGCGCTTTAGTCGTCTTTCTTCTTAAGTATCTTCAATCTCTTAGCGTTTCTGCTAAATTTTAAGCTCTCGAAGGTTATTTAAATAATCTCGATTCTGTGAGTTTATTATAGCTATGCGACGGAGACTAGATCTTATTAATACACTATAGAATTAGTAAGTAAGTATTTAGAAACTAGTTCAAAATTAGTTAGATATATACCGAGACTGGCTTCGTGTAGTCGCTCTAGAGCTTAATCGCTATAGTGTAGATAACCTTAATCTTAACTGTGGTATAGCCGACCTTAACCGTCGTCTAATATTAAATATATAGCCAGAAGACGAGGCGTCAAAGAGGATTTAATCGTTAATATCAAACTGGATTTATGCTTCTCTGTGTTAAGTAGCTTTATTTTCCGCTTTTTCTCTTTTTCTAGCTTCGCGCTAAAGATTCTTTCTAAAGCGGGCTTCAATATCGTCAGCTTAATATCGGTAATAGATACTAAAGGCCTCTTAAGTCTTAAATTGATCTAGATCTTATTAATTAAGGTATAAGGACCTAGAATAACTAGTTAGTAGCTAGTTATGAATTAGTTTATAACTAATATATACTTAGTTATAGCACCGAGTAATAAATCGTAAGTTCCTAGGGCATAGGACTTATTATAGCTTTACTTAACTATATTTATATAAGGCCGGAACCTTAAGAAAAATTTAGGGCTAACACCAGAGTATACTTAGTATAGCCCTGCTGTAATAATTGGGTGTCTCTTATATCGAACCTAATATTTGAGATACGGATCTTATTCTAGTGACTAATTAGTAAATAATTAATGACTAGATTAAAACTAGTTAATTACCTTTAATAAGATCGAGAAGCCTATTATAATCATGCTCGGTTTTGCATAATAATAGCCTATTTAGGCGCTCACGGCATACTATATAGGAGCTATCTGGTCGATTTAGGTATATCTTTGATACTATTCGCATAAAGTGGATAGCGTAAAAGATTATAATCCGCGTAAGGTGCTAAGCTAGAGAACGCCTATATTCCTCGATATCTTAGTCCTAAAGGAATGTACCTAGGCCTTTATATCGGTTAGTAACTACTTAGTAATTAACTATTAATTAGTTAACTTACCAAAGATCTGCTTTAGGCATATATCACTAATAATTGCCTTAATCCCTTCCCTATAGAGGTAGTGAAACTTAATAGGTCTCCCTATTAACCTTAATATAAGTTCGAAAACCATCTGGAAGATAAACTTATATCCCGCGGAGCTCTCTTAGTCAGTAAAAATATAACAGAGTGTTATAACTAATCTATAACTAGTAAGTAATTAGTTATTTATCAGTTTAGGGTGACCTTACTTACTTTTGCTATAGTCTATAAGTATTATAGCGAAGATCACCTTATTAATATCTCCCTTTACCCGTTTATAGGATATATTAACCTCGATAGCATTAAGCGTTACTATAAATTAAAGCTGTTTCGTGAAAGCACAGAAAATAAAGGTTCCTTCCGGTATTTTATAGATCTCGCGAATATATTCTTAGAGATAATTAGTTAGTAATTAGTTAGTAATTAGTTAGTAATTAGTTTTAAACTAGTAAAGTTACCTTTAATTCAGGTTTGATCTCGATTTAATAGCGTAGGCTAGCTATACCTTTACTAAATAGGTAGCTAAGCGCTCGTTGTTTCCAGAGTAATACTGAAACCTTATCGATCTTAGCAAAGCTAGAGTAGATCTGTGATAGCGTATTATATTGATACTACTTGCAGAAATCCCGAAGCGTAGGACTGCGGAGGAATATGCCTATAACTAGTTAGTAAATAATTAAGAACTAGTTCCTAAGTAGCGAAATACTTACTGAGCTTAAGGTCCGGGTCGAGATTTTTATATATTAGATTAAGGACCTCACTAGCGATTGTCTATAGAGCTTTCGTAGGTAGCGGTGGTGGATAAGAATACCTTCCACGAGAGTAGAAGATTATATATAGGTATCTCTTAGGATTAAGCGGGATAAAGGTCTGAAAGATCACGTTATAAGAGCCATAGCTCTGGATTTTACCCTGACCCTAAGGATAGATAACGCCTATAACTAGTTAGTAACTAGATAATAACTAGTCTAAAACTATTTCTTACCGTATAATAGCCTTCTTATACCCGCCGGTTTAATCACTCCGTATATTAGTGGTCTAGACTAATAAGTAGAGGCTAGAAGCTTCTGTAGAAGTTCTATATTAAGTGATCTCTCTTTTGGTATTAAAGAAGTATAAAAATGCTCCTAATAGTTCTCTTTGGTTAAATTTGCGTAGCCTATATAATAGCTAGGCACTCTAGCTATATTCTATTAACTAGGTAGTAACTAGTTATTAACTAGTAGAAATAAGATATACTTTATAATAGTACTGGCGAAATATAGGTTAACAACCTATACGAGGGGATTTGTAAGCGGTACCCCGAAGGAATTTCTTTTGGGTTGCGTTATATAATCTAAGTAAAAGTTAGTTAGGAATTAGTAATAAACTAGTTAGCGTACCTAATACTATTACGTTATAGCTCTCTATAGCCCTCTGAAAGCGATGTCTCCGCTATTTCTCTGCGTATATTTATAATTATAGTCTATAGATTAGTATCCGCCTTTGAATAGGCTAGATAGGAGATTCTAGGATCAAGAAACTCGTAGCTCTTCACACTATTATATCTGAAGCGCTTTCGCTCTGTTTAGCAGCTAAGGAATACGGAGTGTACGTATTTTATCTCTCTATAGCCACCTATAGCGTATTATGTCTAATAATTAATTAATAACTAGTTTATAACTAGATAATAAATAGGTAATAACTTACTGACTTTATAATAGCTCGTAGCTCATTAGGTTTAGATCTATCGAGACTTACGATATAGGCAAACCCTTTATTATGAGTTTCTGGATACTCTGGGAGTAAAGGCATATACTCAATCACAGCAGCTGATACGGCGTGGGTTGGATGAAAGGTTAATAGAGTTAGAATATGAACTGGCTATAAATAAATTAGTTAATAATTAATTATGAATTAGTTTGACTTTAGTTATTGCAGATATATATTTACCTCATCCGGGTCAGGAATTGCAGCTTGAGATTCTTGCCAGTCATCAAACTCATCGACATACTCGCCTATATTATCCGTATCGGATTCAGGATCAAATTGTAGAAGCTCAGAGAGGGTACGATCCTTATACGCCCTCCAGGTATAATCTGTAGCGCGTTCCATGGTATGGAATGATGATTAAAATGGGTGGGGGAGAATCAGTGGGATATATGGGTAAATTACCGGGTTACCAGGGTATACCTAAAAAATTACATGGGTGCGATGAGCACGGGCCACAAACCTCAAATTATCACGTGATGGGTGCGGTCAGAGCTAGGCGTGGGTGCGATCACCTATGCCCTCCTGGTGACATAATGAGCCTATGTGTGGCCTCAGGCATGATTTAATGTCTGCATTGCATAGTACATCTCCAGACACACTTGGAGAGAGATAAGTCATCTACCTAATTCATTCAGGATTCACCCAATTTCTTCTATCCATGATGCAGCATTAAGATTATCCCGCACGGCCGCAACAGGGCATCAGTACGGCCTCATCCAGTATCCTCTACGCCAGACAGGCAGTGTGTGTGTGTGTGTGTGTTGTCCAGTCTACATCGCCAGACAGCCATCGAGCCGTTCCCATTTCACTGGCTAGTTAATGAAGAATTCGATGACTAAATTTGCTACATTATCAAGGGTTGTAAGTCTTGACCAAGGTCAATATGCATTATCCTGCCCGAGATATTGCTCCAAGGCTATAATTCATGCCGCAGGAAATAGCACACTTATAGCCTGCTTTTCCAAACGAAGTTCTTCCTTCCTTAGAATTCGGCGGTATTATTCTCAGGCCAATCAACAACCCCACAAGAAAATAGCGAATTATGCCTTACCAAACTAAATCCCAGTTGCTCCTCGTCTTCGAACCACAAATCCACTCCTTATGCCAAGTCTGCCTAAAGCTAGAGTCTCCAGAGTCTCAGTTTTACCACCCCAGAATTTTTTCCCTGCGTTGCCCCGCTGGATGGGTGGAATCCAGAACTGCGTCACCACAGCCCCTAAGATCATAGTAACACTGAAGATGAGAAGAGCCTAGCCATGGCGCCTGGTTTGGGCGTCACTGGGACCAGTGCCAAGTCCAGAATAAGCAGAGAATATTTCGGCGAGAATAGAGCCAAACTTGCCACTAGCAGCGCTAATGCCGTAGCACGTTGCACGATAGCGAGTAGGGAAAACTTCAGCAGGGATTATATATGTTGTTCCATTGGGTCCTGCCGGGAGATGTTCAGTATAAAATAAGACACAAAATTAAACCAGAGAAGAATAATGTCTTACCAAAATTGAACAGTAGTTGGCCAATGATGTAAAACACCACCGCGACCGGACCTTCCATTCGTACGGTGATGAACATAGTTCCCAGCGCAATGAAGAGAGCAGCCAGAGCAAGAAATCCGTACTTCTGGAGACTGACTCTATCCAATCGATATAGAAAGAAAACTAGTAAGAGACCGCTAATGCAACTACTAGTGTTGAGAATAACCAACGCGTGGGCCGAGGTTTCGAAAAAGCATATTATACACGCTAGCTCCAGGAGTGTCGTTTGTCATCCATTGCGGTACTTGTCCACGGATATTTAAAGTTCCCCATGTTTTGGCGATAAAATGCGGACTTGAAAGCCTGATACCGTAAAAGCCAAAGTCGACAAGGAGCCAAGAGAGGGATGTGCCGGCTAGGGTGCGCCAATTTCCTTCTGTCCAGAAGTACTGGATAATATCTGCACTAACTAGATGATAGTGTGAATTCAGGGTTGCAGGTTGAATGGTGATATAGTCACTTTGGGTCATCAAGAAGTGTTCATCGTCCGATGGTCTGCGGTGAGCCGGGTCGAGTGTGTCACTCTCGGCGGTTGAGAGAGGGATAGGTTCGTTGAATAATGTCATTACGTCAAACTCGGCTTTGACTGGAATTTTTTCAATTTCAGAGAGAAAAACGAGGGGTTTCAGGGATTGTAAAACGGAAACACAAAGCGATTACCCCAGGGATCACACCAATGCCGATGATCCATCTCCACATAATATCCACAGTGCGGACCAGATTAGCCTACCCTTGCCGTTTGCCGATAGCTACTACAACGAGCGAAATAAGATTTTTCGTGGTTTGCCCAAGAGGTTACATGAAGAAAACAGTGGCCATCATTCGGGCTCTATGCTTAGTTGGAGCGAATCTGATTATTAAGCGTCAGTAGGCGGGTGAAATGCAATAAAAACAATAAGGCTATCTTACTCAGACGTTATGATAGCACTGAGAGGACAGCCGGCTCCTACTCCAACCCCCACTATGAATCTCCATAAGATCAGCAATAGGTAAATACTCATGTTATCGTTGACTCCGGTCGACGCCATAACAAGGAAAACCGTTGAAAAGATGAGGACTGTCAATTCGATTCCGTAGACCCTTTTTCGGCCCTTTTTATCCGCCAGGAAACCAAACAACAGTTGACCAAAAACTGTGCCCGCTAGAGTAGCAATGTTGATACACGTAGTCTTTATGGACGAGGTCTCATCTTTCCAATAGACATAGGAAATCATAGGGAGCCCGATGTTACTTGCGAACAACTAAGGACAAGTGTCAGTCGCTTCCTCCTTGCTTGGAGTATCTAAGCAGGCTCTATCTTACTGTATAACCATCCAGGAAGAACCCAACATCAGCAACGAAGACCACGAGCCATTGATATGATTGCCGATCGATCGTCTCGTAGATCTGCCGTGCTCGCATAAAGCAATCCTACATCCTCACAGGAAAGGTGAGCTCACTGAAATTCCAGCATTCGTGTCGGAACATAGGGCGCTGCGTACCTGTTTATGATCAAAATCTTGAGCCCGGTCGGTCTTGTATAACCGTCGAAGCTTGCCCATTTTATAAAATGACTGAATCAGGTCAAGCAAAATCCAGGCAGGAGAGCAATCAGATATTCACAAATGTACCAAAGAGGAAGAGGCTCTGAATCATGCCAAACAAAATAATACAATTACATTCCAATTATAAACAAACCCCCGAGATGGAGGAAGAGAGTCTTTATAAGTTGGGCTTTGAGACCCGTAGGCAAAGGGAAGTCTAGAACTTCTACGACAGGCTCTCTCGAGCTGGATTGCTTTAGATGGTCAAAGCAGATTCTGAATGTCACTGCAGCATTCTGATTCGATCGATGGTACATTATTTCCAGAGTACATGAACCACATTGCCCTTCATCATTAACTTCTCGGACATTTACGAGAATGTGTTCTATAAGGCAAAAGTAACGCCCAAGGGAAGTGATAAGCACCTAGCTGAAGGCCACTCTAGAACGTGGCAGACTTAACCCTTCCCATGGTCGAGCATGAGGCGTTGCTCGGCAAAGATGCGTTCATTATAGCATTAAGCTTCACGCGAAAATCATCGTGTGATGAAGGTTTGGAACTTCGGCCAATTATAGACCTAGAGTGACGCTCCCTTCCGTTGGCGCCTGGACCATGAAGTGGCCTAACTATTCTTAGTAGCCTAGTCTTATTATTTAATAATATATATATAGTGTCTTTATAATCTTCCTATAGCTATAAAACTAATTTATTTATAGTTATTATTTAGTTCCGGCTTAGAATATTAGAATTATCCTAAGAGACCTATTTAATATATTATTATAATAGCGTAGCGAGCTATATATAGGTAAGATATAATAATATTATAATTTATAGTATTACTAACGTTAGTATAAGCGACCTTATTAAATATAATTCTTCGTTGATCACTATATAATAGGTATTAGAGTAAGATATATCTTAGCGTTTAAGATCCTTACTTATAATAATAGTGGTCTAATTCCCTTTCTTTAATTTTATATAAGAAGTGACTTAGTTTAATATATATTAATCTTATTTAGATAAAAATAAATATATATAGCTTTAATAGCCTCTTATATAGCTCTAAGACCTTTCGCGATAGCGCCTTAATAAGGTATTTTATTAGCTAGCCTATCTTCTCTCTTTTCTATTATTTCTTTGATCTCTCCTTAATATACTTATAGGTATTACGCTTCGCCACGGAGACTAAGCGAATAAAGTATTTCTCCGAACCTATACCTATATAATATTAGTGAACTTAGTAACGCGATATATAGCGAAGATAGGGTTCGAGAAAATAAGGCTCCTAATTACTATTTATCGAATTCTATATTAAGGTAATAAAGATAGAATATAAGAAATAGTAATCGAAAAAAAGGGAGATAAGCGTAATAAGAAATATATAGGGTTAGGTTAGTCCAAAAATACTATAGTTAGGTTAGTCTAAAATATATAGGGTTAGGTTAGTCCAAAATATATAAGGTTAGGTTAGTTTAAAATATAGGTCTAACCTTATATATTTTTGACTAAGCCGATCCTATATATTTCGGACTATATCCCCTTTAGAAATTTCGGACTAAACGCTAATCTCTTTCGGAATTTTGGACTATCTATACCCGCTAAAGAATAGTAACTTTAAACCCCCTATAAAATTCAATAAAATAGATAAAAATATTCTGATTCAATATATAATATCTAAAGCACTTTTACTTTTAGGGAAAAATATACTATAACTTAGTTTCGCTTATAAAAGCGTATTGTTTGTGCCGGTTTTTGCCTACTAGAAGGAAAAAGAAGAGAAAGTGCGCCGACAAAGCTGCGAGGAGGACGAGCGGTGTTTTATAGATGGAGGTGCCGGTTGGGGGCGGTAAAAGCGGCCAGAGGTGGCACTAAACCCGAATGGGGGTGCGGACGAGGGCACCAAAGCCGAAAGGGCAAGCAAGGGGATGGAGCAGACGGGCAGGCGATCGAGGGCGGCAGTACGGCGATAAGGTGGAGATAGTGGAACTGTTATGGGAAAGGAAGCCGGGTCAGTCGAAGAGAAGAGAGAATATGTCTGGAAAGCTTTAGCGATCGCTTATAAGGAGGGATAGGAAGGCGTGGTCAAGTTATTGCTTGATCGGGGGAACCCTTTCAAAAACATAGAAGGTAATATCTGTACCTACGCATGTGCAGCTCAACTACTTGCTTTCGGTGCCGATGTCAACGCTGGCTGTAATTATGGGTACATGCCCATCCACGGTGCTGCGCAGTGTGACGCCTCAGATGAGCTCTTCTCACTGCTTCTAGAGCACGGCGCAGAACTCGAAGACGCACGGAACGACTTCGACCGCACACCGTTAAATCGAGCCGTCTCATGTAACAGCGCTCACAGCTGTGCATTCCTCCTAGACCACGGCGCCGATATGAACCGACTGAATCGGGAGGGTGATACCCCCATGTTCGAGGCAGTGATGAAGAACTCGCATGCGTGCATTGAGCTGCTGATTTCACGGGGGGCTGACTATCGCCGGGTGAAGGGGAGGCAGACTGTGCTGCATATTGCTGCGATGAGGGGGGATCAGCGAACGTTTGAAATACTGACGGCGGCGGGCATGGAGGGTGTCAATGTCAATGCGAGAGATGGAGAGGGGAGGACCGCAATGGGGTTGCTTGCTGGACGGGTGGGGATGCCAACAGAGACTCTTGCAGCCTTCGACAAGTTGCTGGCGAGTTTGAATCCGGAGGTAGCAGAGGGAACCTGTGAGGAAGAGTTTAGTGATGCGGTGGAATACATGTAATGGACACTCCGACCAATTAATTGATATAGTATTGTATCTGCATGGTTGCGGGTGCATGCTTCCTAGATATTCCGTGATATCAACGCAATATAGAAATAAGACCATATACGTTATCAGCGCAACTTCTCGACCCTTTACTATGGCTAATTAACAGCCGTTCAACCTTATAGTGGATCGATTAGATGGAAGTGATCCTAGGAACACTAGTATGATATAGATTATGTGGCGAACTTCTTGTTCGGAATTATACTAAGACCGATAATTTATTTCCCCACTTTGCGTAGTAAGGCGTGTGAATGCTTTCGAGGCCTATATAGGGCGCGCGAGAATCTTTACCCGATTATAGTAGTGTACGATAGTCCTAGGATCGAGCTAGCCCCGGATATAGAATCGGGACAATAAGGGAATTTATGTTCGGGGTTATTAAACGGACGGCAGGACGGACCCTACATTGTAAAGGAAAGAGGGGATAGTGAATTATAGGGATAATAAGATATTCAATCACTCATATAAGTTGAAAGATTGAGAGGAAGTTACTATAGTAATGTGAGAATAGGCTATTTCCTAGCCTTCGCTCCTAGGAACTAGTACGTAATAGTAGACCTGGCACTCACCCGCTGGTGACCCTCCGGGACCTTCCACCCGTACCTCCTCTTAGCGGGTGGAGGGTCCGATTTCTAGCCCCTAAGGGTCGGGCACCTATATATCCGACCCTCCGAGGGTTACCCTTAGGGTTACCCTTAGGGTCTATAAATAGGATAAAGAGGTAGAAAACGTAACTTACTTATTTATATATAACTTATATAGATTTTAGGGGTTTTTTATATATTTATTAGTAATTTTTAATACTAAGTAGTTCTAGTTTTCTGATAGCTATTATTATTTAGCGCTATTTTATTAAGATATTATCTTTTCTAATAATTATTAAAAAAGGGTATTAAGGACTAAGAGCTATAATATAAGTAGATTCTAATAGCTATTATTATTTAGGGAGATTTTATTAAGGTATTATCTTTTTTAATAACTATTTAAAAAGGATATTAAGGACTAAGAGCTATGATATAAGTAAATTCTAATAGCTTTTAAAAATAGGCTTCTTTTATTATAATATTAGCCTTTATAAAGTTAGAGAAAAATATTATATAATTAAATTAATATATAGAATAAATAATAAATTATTAAGACCTAAATATATAATTAATATTATTATTATTATCCTTATTATAATCTATAATCTCTATCCGTTTAAGATTAGCTATTATTATATAAAACTATAAAAGGGACTCCCTATCCTAAGCCTATATATTATTTTTTTTAGTATTATTAATTAAATTAAAGGATTTATCCTAAGTTTTATTAGCCTTAGTTAACGCTATAATTTCTTAATATAAGAGATATTCTTATAAGATAAGTCGCTTCTACTTATAAAGGTTAAATCTTATTATATATATCTAAAGTATAATAGTAATAGTCCCGTAGCATACCCACACCGCTTCGGGTGTTGGTCCGCCGGGCCCAACGCAAATTTGGATCCCAACACACATCTTGAAGCTATTCACACCCATTGTTCCCTCCACACCTATAAATATCCCTTATCAAATTGATATCCAGGCGTTATTGGTATCCTACTTGGTGTCCCCGTATCTTCAACTTGGTCCGTAGCTGAATCAGGGGTTAAAAATAAGCTTGGAGGCGCCACCTTCTTCCCTTTCCGAACACTCGCCGCATGCTCCTTGTCCTTTTTTACTGAAGTCCGTCGTCTCGCATCCTTTGTGGTTATAGCACCGAATTTGCCGACATGCCTCTGTGATTTGCGAGCATTTGAAGGCATAGGCGGCAGCTGGTGCTAAATAGTAGACTTTAGAAGGCTGATCTCCTCTGCTATCTGGATAACATAGCGGGAAAGCCGATCGATCTGCTGGCTGGCATTCGGGTTAATACCCTCACGCTCAGCTATCCTAGATATCTTCCCTTATGTGCGGCGTGCCTGGGTTGCAGATATAGGCGGGGAACTGGGTAAACTAGATGATTGTTGCGGCGGTGGAGTATCCCTAGTAGGCCAATAAAGCTCTGGCGTAGGTGATCTTGCAGCCTCGAGGCGTTCAATGACTATAGCTAGATTAAAAGGATAAATGCCACGGTCTGCGAATACCTTCCGAATAGTGCGCGACTTTAATGCCTGCTCCCGTATGCCAGTGATCTCGCGGAAGAAGACGCTAATATCCTTTGCATCCCTACCCCACTGCGCGAGAGCATTATTCTTAGCGCGGAATCTCTCTTTTAAGGCTCGAAATAGGCTTCTATCGAGAGGCTGGACGATATACGTAGTATACGGAGGGAAGACGAAGGCAATAATATTCTATTATTCGCAAAGGTGAAGGAATTCCTATATAAGATGCGAGCCATGACCATCGAAAAGTAATAACCTCTGACCACCACGGGCGCGGTCATAGGTATATTGCTAGAAGAAGCGAAGCCAATCAACCGCAAGGATATCATTCGAATATCCAGATAGCGATACTGCAATTCGTGATTCATCTGAGAGGGTTGCGCTATTATACCATCGCTCGAGGTGGACGACACCTAGTACAATAAAATATAGCTCCATAAGCCATCTATCAGCTACAACACACTTGATTCCAGTCAGGAGATCACCTCTTTCGCTTAAGAATAGCCTCGTGCGATGCTTATTACGGCTAATAACCTTTTGAGGCTTTCCCTGACCAAGCTAGAAGCCAGTCTTATCGAAATTATAGATATTCGATAGCGGAATACGCTTCACGAATAGCTCAAGACGATCATACCAGGCTTATAGGATACTAATATCCTCAGCCTCGACCCTTGCCTTCTCCGCTGGCTTTTGTTTCACCCAATAAAGGCTATCAGGTAGGCGCTTAATAAAGTCATACACCCACGTCTTGTTGACTGGTGCTCCCCCATCTCTCTCGATTATCGCATTCGCACTCGCTTCAACCATACGCGCGGTAGGTGGAACGTGGAGACCATTAAGAGTATTGATCCAGCTAATCAATGCTGCTTCTTGCGAGGGATCAAGACGCTTGGTGGTGATGGTACGCTGAGAGCGAGATGGCCGACCGTGGAGACGTGCCCGCAGCCGGGTTATTGGAACGTCGAATTCGCGCGCCAGCGAGGTGATTTTGGCGTTTTTTCGGCATCTGGCGGCTTCGCAAGCGGCCTGGATACGTTGCTCAATGGCTTTATACGAAGGATCCATAGTGGGTGTGGAACAATAGGTGTGAATAGCTTCAAGATGTGTGTTGGGATCCAAATTTGCGTTGGGCCCCGGCGGACCAACACCCGAAGCGGTGTGGGTATGCTACGGGACTATTATAAATTATCTTTAGCTTTAATATCCCTTATTAATAATAATAGATATCTTAGATAGAGTTAAAGAGATATCTTACCCTTACTCTAATTATTAGAATTAATATTATATCTTATGTAAGGCTTATAAATATAGAAAATTTATATTTATACTCTTTTTAGAATATCTAAAGGGAGCCTTATATAGTTATTAAAAAAAAGATTTAATATAATTTAGTAAGAAAAAAAAAGAATATATAACTTTTAAGATATCTTATAAGCTTATTATATTATAGAGCTAATAATTATTATAAGTCTTTAAATAGTAAATCTATATCTATTATTATTTCTAATAATTAGCTATCTAATTATAGCTTATCTTATAGAAAATATTTATTATATAACCTAAAAAAAAGACTTAAGGCTTTCGCGATAAATTCTCTTTTAGTCTTTTTTTAGGTTATCTAACTCTTAGTCCTTTATTAAAAAAAACTATAGCTTATTTATAAGTACTAAGATTATATTAATAATAAAAAGCTTACCTTTTATATTATTTATTATATTATAATATTTTAATAGCTTCTTGTATATAATCTTAAATAAAAAAAATATAAGCTATTTTTATATAATTTTCTTTCGCTAAAGTTAATAAATAGCCTTTTTAAAATAATTAAAAGGCTTATTATAAAATTTAAAAACTAAATAAATACTTAAGTCTCTGGTTATATAAATGATAATTATATATTTATAGAAAGGCTATAAAATAAATAAAAGGTAATTAATTTATCGCTACTCTTTTACGCTAAATATAAAATAAGATTAGTTATATTATAAGTAAAAGATATTAAAAGTGGCTTAGAGTCTCTTAGCCTAATAAAGTATAAAATATATTAAGTTCTATTAAATTTATATATCCTAGATAAATATAAGCTTTAGCTTATTAGGCTGAAAGTTATAAAAGGCTTTATAGTATTATAAGCTTATATTAATATAAATAATAAGATAGTGAACCTAAAAATTTATATATAAATAATAACCTTTTAGATTAATTATTATATAACAAAAATTAAGAAATTAATCTTGTTTAATATATTAGCGATCTCTTACTTTTATTATTAAGTATATAATACTTACATATAATCTTTTTTTTACTTTAATTTTATAATATTATTCTTAGAAGTTATATTTATCTTTTTAAGTAAAGCTATAATACTAATTTAAATAATATATATAATATAAGATATTTAAACAAGTATTAAATTTATATTAAGCTAAAGAGCCTAAATTATATTATTTATTATAGCTATAAATATTATATTATTTAATATATTATTAGTAATAATTATAAGAATATAATTAATAATTTTTTATATTATTAGAGAATCTATATAATAATCTTATTAAGATTAATATCTAAATATATCTTAAATAAAGATTTAAAGTTAAAAAGGACTTTATAATATATTTAGTCCTAATTTAGAAAATAAGCTATAATTACTATAAATATTTATTAAAATAATAATATCTAATAATTAAGTACTAAAGATAGCTCTATACCTAATAATAGACTTTAAAGAATAATTATTTAGTTTTTAGTAATTAATTAACGGAGCCTTACATATATTTATTTTTTAAGAAGAAATAATTAGTATTATTAAAGCTAATTATATATATAAGATAAGATTATAAAACTCTTAATACTTAAGAAAAAGAAAAATTAAATATAATATAATAATTAGATTTAGAAGCTTCTATTCTTAGATATTTTAATTAAATATCTAAGTGAGCGCTCACTAATCTTAGTAAGTTAATAATTAATTAATTTAAAGCTAAAGAATAATCTAAATTATATATATAGCTTATATAAGTAGCTTATAAATACTTAGTTTATTTATTCCCTTTTAATATTATAGCCTTTTAAAATATTTATATATTAGTAAGATATTATTGGAATATAGACCAATGCTACATAGAAAGATCTATTCTTATAGTCAACATATAAGATCAGCATTGCATTGATCACGTGACCAATTTGGGGCCTTCTATCAAAATGATATTTTGACCACTTCTGATTCTGGTCCGCGGCCCTCTCCCAAATGATAGCCAGGACCATTTTCCTTCAGAGTTAAATGGTCCGCCTTCAGGCATGAATGGTCCGTTCCTTCGGAGGTGCCTTCGGGCATATCTTGCCTGCGAACTTCGACCATAGTCTTCGAACCTCGGTGAACAGACTTCGACCCTCAGTCCCCTCAAGGATAGGCGGACCACTTTCCCTTAGGGATAAAATGGTCCACCTTTGGGCATGCATAACCTGATACTGCGGGGAAGCTTTCGGGGTGGCTGAAACCATCGATCCTTGACATCATTCTTTTGGCTTTTCTTCGGTTCCCTTCTTTGCCACCTTTATTATGTTGCTGCCTAGTATTTGTATGACATTCTAGACATCATTTCTAGGCTATTCTAGCCTATAAATATGTCCTTCTTTTCTAGCAGAAAGAATCAAGTCAGTTCTACTTTCCAAAGTTATCTCTACCTTCTTCCTTTGATTCTTAGGACTGTGGTTCTGTCTTCGTTTAGGCTATATCTGCTTATAGTCTATCCTATGACCTTTGACCTTCTACCTTTGTCTGGCACCGACTGACCCAGCCGGACTAAGGTTGATCCTACGGACTTAAGGGGCCACGATCTGCTTCGTGGTAGCTTTCCCCTTTTATCCCAACAGATATTAATATATTTAGTAGCTAGATAGTTAAGAACCTTTTAATATCTTATATATATTATATTAGGCTTTTTACTTTTTATATAAGTTATTTATTTAAAGCTATCTTAATAACTTATTTAATACTTTTTATCTTAATTAATCTATTTCTTCCTTTTATAGTCTATTTAGAGCTATTAAGTTATAAACTCCTTACTTATTTTATTTTTATATAATAGGAATTAGTTTACTCAGTTAAATTTAATTTATATAAGGCTCTTAAGCGCTAAAGGTACTCTTTATAGAGTATTAAGTATTATATTAAAGGTAAGCTAGCTTAATAAAAATAGGCTTATAAATAGGGTATTATTTAAAATAAGGTATTATAACTTATTTATTCTAACCCCTTTAATTACTAAGAATAGATATATATTAGAGATTTAAGATATAGTAGATATATAGGTTATAGAGAGATAGAATAAGAGGACTTATAAAGATTTTAGATAAAAAAAAGCTACTATATAAAGGGAATCTATTTATCTTAGTTATATAAAGATATAAATTAATATATTAACTTATAAGCCTTTACTTAGCTAAAATTCTCTTATTTAATTATAGAGAGGGTAACCCTTAAGACCTTTAGGGTAACCCTTAGAGTTACCCTTTAGACCTTTTAATTATATAGTCTTAAGTTTTATAATAAAAAATATCTAAGTCTAATAATCTAAATCTTTAAACTTATTTTATATAATAACTATAATATTTATAAGAAATCTAAATTAATAATTATTTAAATAAGTCTCTATTAATCTTATAACTAAAGAAAGCTTTAGATTTAGGGTATTTTTAGTATTAAAAAAAAGATATATTTACTATTATATAAATATAGTACTCTTACCCTATCTTTAATATATATTTCTATAACGAAACTCTTAACTTTTTATAACCCCCTTAAAAATTAGCTATCTATTATATAATTTAAATAAAATTTTAGAATATTAAAATAATAATATATAAATTATCTATTTATAATTTAATTTTTTTAAATTTTATAGATATTAATTTATAATTAAGAAAATATAGAAATAGATATTAGAATAGCTATAAATAATAATATTTTTATAAGCTAAATTATTAGTTTTATATATCTAAAATAGGAAAGACGCGAAGAGATTATATATTTAAGGGTCTAACGGACCCTTCGCGGGTAACCCTTAAGAGACCCTTAGAGGGTTAGGGTTAGGGTTAGGGTTAGGAAGATTAGACCCTAGGTGGAGGTTCCTGATCTTAGACCCGCCCCGCGGGTCTAAGATCAGTCTAGATTAGATCTCCTTGGATATAAATATATTTATTCTCTCTATATAGCTATTTAGCTTCTTAGAGGTAGATATTCTTTACTAGAATATTAACTTTTTATTTAATTAATATAGACTAAATCAATAAGCTTTCTTTAGATATAGTTATCTAAGTACGAAAGAATACTTTTATACTATTTTAGGGTAAAGAAGAAAGAATATACTCTATATCTAAGGATATAAAATGTAAAGAATCTACGTGTTCAGGGTAGAAGGCCTATTGGTCAGGTAAGGAAGAATATCTGGACTTAAGTTTGGTATTAAAAGAAGTATGACTGATTCTTGCTAAGTCTAAGTTATCTGGAAACCCTCTCATTTTAAGTACAAATCGGGTCCGAGACTTACTTATTACACTAAGGGGTAAATCTTCACCGCTAGTCCTTGGTATTCCTTTACATGAAATATAGGAACTAAAAGCCTGAAGTAACATTATTAGATATAATTACTAATAATTAGAATTTATAGCCCTAGATAGTAATTTGTCAAGGTACTAATCACTTAAGTATCTAACTTCCTTATATTATTATTTCCTAGGCGTATACTTTTATATTTATATAGATAGCGAATAAAATGGATTAGAGAAGACTTAAATACTCTTTAGTATTTTATATATTGAAATGGGAACGGCTCGATGGCTGTCTGGCGATGCAGACTGGACAACACACACACACACACTGCCTGTCTGGTGTAGAGGATACTGGATGAGGCCGTACTGATGCCCTGTTGCGGCCGTGCGGGATAATCTTAATGCTGCATCATGGATAGAAGAAATTGGGTGAATCCTGAATGAATTGGGTAGATGACTTGTCTCTCTCCAAGTGTGTCTGGAGATGTACTATGCACTGCAGACATTAAATCATGCCTGAGGCCACACATAGGCTCATTATGTCACCAGTTCTCCCACTACAATATATAAGCGATCTTAATTAGTCGTTTTTAGAGGTAATTGTTTATAGGAAAGGAGATATATCTAGCGATAATACTTCTGTTCCTAGCTAACCGTAATAGGCTAACTACTTAAGGGTATATTACTAAATGAGATTCTAGAGGTATCAAAAGTATATATTATTTAATAAGAGTACGAAAGGATAGAAGTATACCTTATAGGCGGTGCCTTTCGGCAGAAAAAGTAGAGTTACGTGACCGTTCGTACCCTTATACAAGGCCGTGTTATCACAATAGAAAGAGGTCTTTATTATAAGTCAAATACCTAAAAATATAGGCTATTACCGTATAAATAATATATTCATGAGACCCACTCAAATAGGTTAGGTTAGGCTACGCACCTCGACCCAAAACGCGCGCGCGGGTCAAAGAATTGGACCCAAAACCCAACCCGCCGGCGGGTTAGGTTGGGTTGGGTTTTGGGTTTTGCGGGTTTTGGCTAATCTTAGGAAAAAAAAATTTCAATTTTTAATTTTCAATAGTAGACCGCGAATAGACACGCACGCGGCGGCGCGGGAGTACGCACGATAGGCCAACATTGGATCGGGCGAAGAATTATAGTGTGGTGTTCACTACAATTGACAATAGAGTATAAAGATCGACTTATATGACATATAACAAGACCTGGGAATTACTGGAGTGACTGAATGAGGACCGTAAAGTGTAAAGAAGCAGCGAGATCAGGACAGTACTGGTTTACGTGGTTTTTATCCTGCCAACTTTAAAAAGACGCGGTTTCATCATAGATGCAAGTGTCTCTCCCAGTCCAGTGGCACCCTTCCTCTGGGCCCGGGTACTGGCTGGCTAAGTGGATGGTGTGATGGTGACTGCAAGGGCGGGCCTAGAAACGTTTCCTCCGTGCGATAATCAAAGAACCAATCCTCGCCAGGCTCAAAACTGCGAATGGTAGGATGTCCCGTGGACATAGAATGTGTGGAGGCGTGCTGTGACGGAGACGTGTCACAGCAGCCAATGTGTCCACACTTGGCACAACGACGTAGATGGAACCACCATTCATTGGCAGCTTCGCATTCTACGCACCCGGGGCCACTCGGTGGAACGTTCGGAACAATCGATTCAATTTGCGAGCTACCTCGTGTAATAGCACCAGGATCGTCGTACATACCGGGGCGATGGGAATGCTGCGGCTGGACCGTAAGGGGGTCACCTTCCATCAGCAGCAGTGTTGCTGGATCAGATGGCAAGATGCGAGGAGCACGAATCATGGCGTACGAATTTGGGGTTTATAAAACGTGTCGTTGTGGATGGGCCGATAGCTGCTCTGCAGTTGACGTATGAGATGTAGTATATTATTGAATGACTGTAGAAGCAACTGTTCGATATGAGAGATGAGGGACAATGTTGATATATATCCCGTGGGTGTTATGCACTATTCATAAGTATGACGTCATAATTACAAGTCATGCAAAGAAAATAGTACGCAGTCACAGCGAGGCCGCAGCACCACCAACAGTTTACATTAGGGTCTAAATCTTCTTGGAATTATTTCTTCAGATCCAGCACGGATCATAGAACTAAGTAGAAAAGCTTTATGTCATAATGATGAGTCATGCAAAGAACGACAATACACAGGAACAGCGACGCCGCAGCGCCACCAACGCTCTAGATTAGGGTCTAAATCCTCTTGGAGTTAATAGACTTAGGTCTTTTCGTCCATTAATGCCTCAATTCAGCCGTCGGGTAATAATTACATCATGTTGTATTGGTAGAAGAAATGGGTGGTGCGGCTGACGAGCGAAGGCTTCACGAGAGCGTGGGTATTAGTTGACTTGGTTATTTCCCAAGCTGGCGGAACATCCGGTTATTTGAGAAACGAAAATAATATGTAGAGTATAGATATATACAAGACTAACCAACTCCATCTTCCATAAACTTTTACACTAGAAGCAGGACTCCTTTCTGCAAAGGAGTTGCTGGAGATAATAGTGTCAATCTCCCAGGATCCCAAGAGGCTGAAGGATTGAGCCAAAGAACGTTTGCAACGTCCCATGGAACTAGCATAAAACTAGTAGCGTCTCCGGTCCAAATCTGATTTTATTCGAGCTGGTTCGAAGTGATTCATTCTCCCTGGACGGCCAATGACCAGACGCTGTCAGAGAAGAGACTCATGGAAAGGTTCGTTGACCTTCACAAAAAGCTGCGCGGCACCAGAACCCTATGGGCTGTGTTGAGGATTGGTTGTCTGACGAGGATGACGCTCTCGAGCTTTCAGTTAGTCAGCCTTGTTCCATACTGACAGAAGGTTATAAAGCACACTCGCAGACTAAATCTGAGGATATGCGGCTCGTCAAAAATAAACTTCCGAGATTGCGCATGCAGCCATGAGCGAACATCTCACAAACCTAAAGAACGCGTTTCCCGAGGAGGTAGTCGACATACTTGAAGGTTACGACTACGTCGTAGTCGGTTCAGGCGCCGGTGGTGGACCTTTAGCCGCAAATCTCGCCCGTAATGGCCATAAAGTTCTCCTGCTCGAAGCAGGGGATGATCAGGGATCCAACATTCACCAGCAGGTTCCAGGATTTCATTTCCTGTCCACAGAGGACGAGAAAATGCGCTGGGACTATTTCGTCAAGCACTATGCGGACGAGACCCTTGCGGCGCAAGACTGGAAAATGACGTGGGAGACAACCGCAGGAAAATCGTATGTCGGCTTGAATCCACCAAGCGGATCGAAGCCGAAAGGTATCCTCTACCCGCGCGCAGGAACGCTTGGTGGCTGTTCGGCACACAATGCTTTGATCACCATCTATCCCCACGAGAGTGATTGGTCAAACATCGCCAATGTCACCGGCGACACTTCGTGGAACCCGAAGAATATGCGCCAGTATTTCAGGCGCCTGGAACACTGCGAGTATCTTCCAAATGGTACATCTGGTCACGGCTTCACAGGTTGGCTGCATACAAACCGCGCTGATCTGGAATTATCATTGCGGGATTCTAATATCCTTTCTATCATCACCGCTGCTGCTACTGCCATGGGAAACACTATCCTCGGCCTGGTACCTGACAAAGTTGTCCAACTATTTGGACTCCTGCAGCGGGATGTGAATTCTAGTGATCCTCATCGGGATGTGACAGAAGGCGTCTATCATATACCTCTGGCCATGAGTCAGGCAAAGCGAAGCGGCACTCGGGACTTTGTCGTGAATACGGCTAAGAAGTATCCGCTACATATCAGGACAAGCTGCCTCGCTACCCGTGTGCTTTTCGAGGAGAATTCTGTCATCAGGAACACACCCAAGGCAATTGGTGTCGAGTTCCTCGAAGGCGACAGCCTGTACAAGGCTGATCCACGGTCAAATTTATCCGCCGCTGGAACCAAGCACCGCGTCCTCGTCTCTCGGGAGGTCATCCTTGCGGCGGGCGCCTTTAACACACCGCAGCTCCTCAAGCTAAGCGGTGTCGGTCCGAAAGACGAGTTAGAGAGGTTTGGGATTCCTGTTGTTAAAGATATGCAGGGCGTTGGCACCAATCTGCAGGACCGCTACGAGGTTCCGGTCATCGGCAAAATACAGGATGACTTCCAGAACATAGCAGAGTGCACGTTCGGGAAGCCTGGAGACCCAGCACTTAGACAGTGGGAGGACCAGTGCGGACCCTATCTATCAAATGGACTCAATATTGGCATGGTGAAGAAGTCCAGACATGCTGATGGGGACCCTGATCTCTTCATCTTCGGTGGCCCTACCCTCTTCGAGGGCTACTATCCTGGGCATTCTGAACGCGCCACCTTCGACAAGAAACACTTCACGTGGGCCATACTCAAGGCTCACACGCATAACCGTGAGGGAACTGTCAGGCTCAACTCAGCCGATCCTCGGGATGTGCCTGATATCAATTTCAATTATTTTGGCACGAGTGCGGCCGCGAAAGAGGCGTCTGAGCGGGACCTTAATGCCGTCGCTGAAGGCGTTGGCTTCGCACGCCGCATCATGGACAAGAACCTAATGTTCGATAATGAGCCCCCTGTAGAACAGTCACCTGGCCATGGAGTCTCTTCCGTAGAGCAGGTGAAGCAGTTTATCAGGAATGAGGCGTGGGGTCATCACGCTTCATGCACCTGCCCTATAGGGCCAGATGGAGACCCAAAAGCCGTTCTTGATTCTCGCTTTCGTGTCCGCGGCGTGAGGAACCTGCGGATAGTTGATGCATCTGTCTTCCCGCGCATTCCTGGATTTTTTATTGTCCTTCCCATCTTCATGATCAGTGAGAAGGCGACTGATGTTATTCTTGAAGATATTAGCGAGACCCGCTGAGTTTGAAGCGCCTCCGCGCCAGTGATAGGTGGCAGCAGTCACTCAGTCTCCTGAAGGGCGCCTTCTCTTGGTGTTCAGACCTTCCATCCAACTTGACAAAAGCGTCGTTGTTCTCGCACCGTTGATTAGTGCTCTTGCGCTAGCTATGTTGATGTTGAGTGATAGCACCTGACCTCGCTGTTCCGTAAGAATGCACGATTGGAGGGTGTATTAATGTTCATGCAACCGGTCACATTGTTGATGTTATCTACTTAACTTGTACTGTGAACATGGAATGAGATGAGAGCAATGACTGACAACCCATCTTCCTCATCGCCCAAGGCCGTCAATTCGTGCCTTTATAACCCATCTTCCTCATCGCCTAAGGCCGTTAATTCGTGCCTTTACAACCCATCTTCCTTATCGCCCAAGGCCACCACCACACATGAAAGTTTCTAGTCTGCTGATGAGAGCATCATCCACGCGCAAAGCCACGCCTGAAGTGCGTTTTAGGGGGGCTCAGGACTTGCCGCTCACTGCTCCCGTATGCTTGTACTCTTGTATGCAGAGCCGCAATAGAATCGATCACTATACCCTCTCTCGTGGAGTTGATGAACTGTGATAAATGTTGGTCGTGGTGTTTGCTTGTCCCAAGGAGGAATCGCGACGACCCCGATACATAATCAGACTAGACGGATAATCCTAGTTTCGAAAGTGCGTTGGAAATGTTAGGATGACTCCGTATCCACTAAACACTGTGTCAAAATCAACGCCGCTAGGAGAAATGAACGGAATTGAAAAATGTATGCATGCTTAAATGCATCTACATAGACCACCCACTTGATAGAGAATCATATCGACCATACATTCTTTCACTTATCTTGGCATTGACACATTTCTTGAGATCTGTGAACATGCATGATGCCAGGATTGCGGCATTCACCATGTGAGACACCGTAATTACCACAAAGCGGCCTCGTGGCTATGGGGTGGCTGTGAAGACGCGGCAAAGTCACCATGAAACGACCAGGCCGATGCCCGAGAATGTTCAGGATATTGAACAATCAAAGATTGACTATGCACCACAATCAATTGAAGATTGAGGCGCTTGGACAGGGCTTGAGAATATCGAGGCGGTAGCATAGATTTGACACATGGAGTGACCAATCGGAATTCTCCGTCAATATATTACCAAGCTATGCAACGAGATATCAACAAGTCGAAAGCGTCATTCACTCGCCTTCTTGTCAGACTGAAAGCCGACTCCGAGTCCCATTCAAATCTAGTACCCAATGAAGACACGTAAAACCTCCAAATTCTGTACTTTACAACGTTCACTCCTCAAAGATGCTTCGTCACTCCTTTTCTCCACGCCTTTTCTTCACGTTGCAATCAGATCCGCCATATTGCTCCGGAAATTTGGACACAGTTTGTCAACAATTTGAAGGCTCCGTATCGGGCAGCTGACCACGACAAGGCGCGGGTGCTCAGCGCGCGCGGGACAAGTTGCCTAAGAACAAGGTCAAAGTCCTATTCCTCCGATTTCCAGTGTGTTTGCATTGAATTGGAAATATTGCCCCTCTCAAGCCCAATTTCGCATCAGCCTCTATGATATTTAGTTCCATAGCCTCTATCTTTCTTATTATCCATCTGTCCATCTTCATAGAATGAAAGGACACAATTCGACTTTCCCCGCCAGTCTTCACTTAGAATACACCAGAAATACGTATGGGTCTGTGGGGGGGGATGATTCCAGAAGAAATTGAACGAGTCATGAGATCATATGTCCTATGGAATGCAAAATGAAATGCTTAAGTATACATCAACTCCGTAAAAACCGCAATGGATATCCTTTCTTAGAGCTTCTGGCTGCTCTTGGCCTGGCGCTCGAATGACGAAACAGGAGGGGCAGAGTTGGGGTTGGGGTGGTGCTTCTTCAGAGCCATTTTGACGTTGTACTCCAGGTCGAGAGAGGCCTTGGGGTCGTTTGTCTTGGGCTTGAACTCAACAACGAGATCATCCTTGACAGCGAAAACAGAGTCGATGTCGAGATGGGGGTCGTCGCTGGGGTAGATTTGATTGATAACTGTGGCGTAGTCGGGGTGGGTGATCATCAAGTGGATGTGAGCAGGGCGCATGGGAGAACGGTCCATGAGGTTGAGCAGGACACCAGCGGGACCGTCGGTGGGGAGAGAGTAAGGAGTTGGGTGATAGCAGTACCAGAAGAACTCTCCCTTCTCATTGGAGGTGAACTTTCCGCGGAGGTTATTCTCGGTCTGCTCGGGATCCTGGAAGTCGTACTGGCCGTTGGCAGAGGCCTGCCAGATATCGAGCACAGCGCCAGCGATAGGAGCGCCAGTCTCCATATCGGTGAGAACACCGTGCATATAGGTCACCTTGCCGTTGGGGTTTTCGTTCTGAATAATGCTGTCACCGAGTGCGCGGAAAGGAGCGTTAGGAGACCAGAAGGGGCCGAGAATGACGTTGGAGGTGGGGGACAGGCCCTGCTCGGTAACAATCTTGTTGGCGATCTCATCAACGAGGCTAATAAAAAAATTAATTGTCTTTTCTTTTGGTCGCCTTGGTGAACACTTACGACTCGAGACCGATCACATCACAGATACGGTGACACTCGTTACGGATGGGAGTGCTTATCTTGCCGATAGAGTTGATGAATTCAACACCGAGCATCCATTCGGCCGGGGTGAGCTCAACCTCGCGAGCGAAGTCGTGAATGTGCTTGATCAGAGAGCCCAGAATGACGCGAGCACGTTCGGGGGTCTTAGGACCCATGGCATTCACGACATAGGGCGTGAAGTTGGGGTCGAAGCGAGAGCTGGTAGACATTGTGATGGTTGATGGACAAGATGAGGGAGAGAGCGGGTCAGACTATAGTTTAAAAGAGAAAGGGAGAAGAATTATTGCAGAGGTAGGAGGGTCTATTATAGAAAACCTGGGGACCGGAAAGCCGTGGCAAGTCTGCATAGTGAGGGAAGCCGAAAGGGACCGCGACGGCAAATGGTTCGGCTCCCTATCCGTGTGGGGGAATTCGCAACGGTGGCCGAAAAATACAGTACAAAGGCTACCGCGACTACGTGCCGACAAAATTGATCTCCTGATGTCTTCAAACACTTAGATTTCCGGTCAATTCTAACAGCCGAGTAGCGGCCGGTCGGAGATATAGAATGTGTGCATCTTCGCGGGGTGGCGGATTAGCACTTAGCCGCGGCAGAGATCTCAGGGTTCCCCGGGATTTCAACACCAAATTGCTGACCCGCGACCCCGCGCTTCCACTGATTTGCTGACTCACCCACTCTCCCAGGCTCGTTAATTGGCGTGCCATCTTTCCTCTTCGGGCTGCCGTGGCGATCCCATTGCCGACCCTGTCCTGGAGCGGCAGAATTGTTTCCTGATATGTGTTGTCCTTATCGGGCCATATTACTCATCACATCCACATATCGACTTTTACGCTATAGGAGCTCATTTTTGGGTAGAGACTGGTCTGCGGGGGGATGGCACGCGAGGTACGAAGATATAGCATCCTCCTGGTTGAGAGACATTAAAGATTTTGAAAACCAATCACACAGGGCGGTCATCACCTTGTATGCTGGTTCCAGCGAGAAACCGAGCCGGACAAACCCTGATGACTTTCAGCTTCCTTAATGACGGATATCGTCAAATATTCTCAACGATTCATTCTGCCATCCAGTAGATCCCCTTATACTGAGCCAAACAGCGGAGGACAAGGCCTGTGATTCTCGCAGTAGACGGACGGTGACACAGGCGGTGACTCACTCGGCACTCCGGGCTCCTTGCGCTGCCGCACACACAGGTGGCGAAGCCGAAGTCAGCATCCGCCCCCACGTGCATAAGATCCATGAACTTGTCAGATGCTGAGACCCGGGACAGATGCTTGATAGACGCTGGAGAGACGCTGGAGGGACGTTGGGGAGTTGGTACATTCACTTACCGATTAAATAACCTTCATCATTTCGGGAAGAGCGTGGGGTTTCTTTCGTCATGTGGAAAGCAATCGCATGAATCGGGAGATAAAATACAGAAGATTGGGCCGGATCTGCTCACCGGTACAGATCTATCAGGAAATTATTGCTTAAAGGGTATAATAACTCGCCATTTCCTCTTGAAACCAATTATAGGAATAAAACAGTTGCTCTGCCATTTGCGGATCAGTCATCGGCATCGTCCCGCTGTCATCGACCAGTAGTACATCATCCAGAACCGGCGCCAAGGGTACGGGGGGCGGAGGTGGTGGAGCCAGGGTGACCGGGGGTTGGGGTGGCAGAAGTGGCTGAGGTTGTTGCTGTTGCTGTCGTTGCTGCTGTTGCTCCAGTTGCTGCTGTTGGTACGCCATTTGACTGAAGATGATCGTGCTCTGATGTCGGAATGTTTCAGCTAGCCGTTCAACTCCCGGACGCCGCTTGCCGAATTCCTCTAATAATACGACGACCGCCTGGATGCCACGACGCATCATCTGCGCCTCGGGATGCCATGGCGCAGGGCGGGACTCGCGCAATGAGCGCGCGTTCTGCTCCAGGCACCATAAGATGGTAATACCCGCGAAGTAAACTTGGCTCAGAGTCAACCAAATCCATTTAAGCTTGCCCACGGAGTAGCTGTCCCAGTATGATCGGATCACCTGGATGCTGGAATCACCACAGCTGACGATACTCGTCACGTCGGGGGTGGGATTGCGCGGGCTGGGGCGATACATCAGGAGTAGAGTTGTGTAGTACAGATAATCGTAATATGAGGTGGAATAAAGGAGGGCTGATGGATACACTGGAGCTGCCAATCGCCAGTCGTCCACCTCGCGGCGAAATTGACCCAGCATGATGGCAACTTCCTGCGGCGACAGGCGAGGAAGGCTGCTGTAAACTATTCCCCAGTCAGGACATGAGTCTGGATAGCGCGCGCGCGAGAGGGAGGACATAGGGGGGATATTGTCAACTCACGGTAACGATAAATGCGCGAAAAGATCTGGCGAAGGCGTATGACTTGCAATGGAATGGTCATGGAACTGGCACCCGGGGCTTCTGTTCCGTCATCATTTAGCTCGCGTGGCAAACCAACACTGATGTCTTCGTCGGCAATGGCGAGAGGTCGGCCTAGCGTGCTTGCGATGAGACGATCTAAATTGTAGAGACTCCAGAATGCCCGCTTAGACATTTCTTCCTCTGCCATAGTCGCGTAGGAGCGAGCTTTGTGCAACCCCATACTGATTGACAATCGCATGGAGGCACCCAGCACATGCCAAATGCTCGGGCCAGCTGTAGCGAACATCGTATATAGCGCCAGGCCCAGCAGGGCCCGCACGGCGGCCAAGTCTTCGTTCTGTAGTGCCAAGGGTAAAGTCTCCTGACTTACACGGTAGAACTCGACAGCCTGCGACGCACCCGCCGACCCGATCAACAGCGAGATCGCGATGATGATATGGTAAGTATTATGAACTTCAGGCGATGGCACACCGCCAGAATATATATGCCGGAGATGGCTCATGAACTCCAGACGTGAGATAAACGGATACTGGTAGCCCATGCTATCAAAGTACTGCTCGGCGACCCGCTCCGCTTCGTCGAGCGATGACAGACGTAGTACTCGCGGAGCTGAGGTCGGACGCGCCATAGACGGTCTGCGATGCTCCAATTGATCGCGAAAGATCTCGCCCACATTGGGTAGCTCGGTGCCTACTCCCGTTGACGACTCCGACCCTGCTGGACCAGCCGTTACAGAGGAGCCGCCACTGCCTGGGCTGGGCATGGAATTCGTGGACGGGCGATTCCCACCGGTCGCAATCATCGCGGGGATTTGATACCACCAATCCGGATCACCCTCGCCATCCACCGGAGTCCCCGTGGCAAGCTCCGCCACGGCGATACCTGATTTCCTGCACACTACCTCCTCCAGCCATCGCACTCTTTTCTGTAAATTCTCCAACTGGTCTCGAGGTATCGAAGCATTGGCGGCTTGGGGGCCGGGTGGTGGGATGGTGCAGCGAACTCCGGCGCGGGTGCAGGCAGTGCAATTGGGATAGCGGAAGTCACATTTCTTCTTGCGCTTGCGACAAAAATCGCAGGCCGTTGATACACGCTTGCTGCGAGAAGGTGGCGTTGAGGCGCCGTCGGGGATGGGTGTGGACTCTGGGGCAGGTTGCGACCAGACCGGAGAGGCAGAAGATCCGATGGAATCGAGACGGAATTTGCCCAGCTGATCGCGGAAGTCCTTGTTACCCGTGCTGCTCATGGTGACGGCGGCTAGAACCGCAGTCCATCTCAGCCACAGTTGTGGAGAGGGGGTGGGGAATGCGGCGGGGATGAGTTTCGGAGAAGTTGGGGATGAGACGACCAAGGCGGAGGTGGGGGAAGTTCGCTTCGCTTAGCGGGAGCCGATCAACTTGTTCCGGTGGCATTGTGCGAGGTGGCACTTCACTCTCGGCAACACCTTCACAGCGTGTGTTACATTCATAAAGTGCAACTTGGCAGATGATCTGCAAGGAACGAGGAGGGGTTGTTTCTGCAACTAATCAACTAGTCTCATTCTTCGCTTTTGAATCCGCGAAGGAGATGAGTGCCACTCACCTGAAGCCTGCCACTGGCTCACATGGACCTTGAATCCCCACTATCATAATTGTTTCAACTCTCTGCTATGGCACCACAGGGGCTTCTTCCATCTGCCGACCTGAAAAGTCCCCCGGTTGAGTGGATCGAGCGGTGCGGCTAGTAGATGCCTTCGATGGACGGGTTATCCTACCATATCCCCTATTACGACCACGAGCTTGATGTTTGGGGATTGACTGATTGACCATGTCGCATGTGACATTGATACGCACTCTTGTGAAGCCGATGCCCTCCCTGAATCTTCCAAGTTAAATAGGAATGGCCCACCCCGATGCCTATTCTAATCATAGGTCCCTCCAGTACAATCCGTCGAGTATACATTTGGATATAAGTCTCTGTCTGAGGACCGCGTCTACCGTCTCAAAGTTGTCATTCTTTTGACACTGCAAGATAATAGGCCAAATTTCATCATGAAGACTGCCACTTTGTCACTGTTTCTTACAGCTGGTGCTGCGAGTGCCCGACTTCTGGAGTCCCGAACCAGCGGGGTTCAGGGCTTTGATATTTCTGGTTATCAGAGCACCGTCGACTTCTCCGGTGCGTATAATGCCGGCGCCCGGTTTGTTATGATCAAGGTAAGCGCCAGCAGTTCATCTACAGCTTAAAAGACCTCGATTGATATTATTTCCAGGCCACGGAAGGCACAACCTACATAGACAGTTCCTTCTCCAGTCATTATGAGGGGGCCACCGATGCTGGTCTCATTCGAGGTGGGTATCACTTTGCCCACCCGGACTCCAGTTCCGGTGCAACCCAGGCCGAGTACTTCCTCGCTCACGGGGGTGGTTGGACAAATGATGGTCAGACTCTGCCCGGTATGCTGGACATTGAGTATAATCCTTCCGGCTCGACTTGCTATGGACTGAGTGAAGCCGCTATGGTTTCATGGGTCCAGGACTTTGGCGAGACCTACAACAGCAAGACTGGTCGCTACCCTATGATCTACACTACCGCTGACTGGTGGAATACCTGCACCGGTGGTAGCACTGCCTTCGGTGCAGATTATCCTCTAGTGTTGGCTCAGTATGCAACCTCTATCAGTACCATCCCTGGTGGCTGGTCATACCAGAGCTTCTGGCAGAACTCGGATTCCTATAGTTACGGCGGCGACTCGGATCTCTGGAATGGCAGCGAAGCAAATCTGAAGACATTTGCCAAAGGCTCGTGAATCGAGCAAGAGTTACCACTCGGGCTATTCTTCCAATTGCCAATAAAGTGTGCAGGTCTGATCAACTTAAAGGCTAAGCTTCGCTTTCTCGGACGAAATGCGGTCAATTCTTCCCAAGATTATAATGGCAAAGCAATAGCCAGGTTTTACCCAACGATTTTGACGAGCGATAGATTCAGTCTTGAAGACCGCATGGAGATGCCATGATGCGTCGAAGGGAAACAGAGAGCATTTCTAATCCATTATACCATTCGGACGATATGCCTTACGTGTGTATGCATGTAGCTGGGTGCGCGAGGTACATCTTCATAGAAACATGGCCTTTCAAGCGTCAAAACCGTAGATCCAGAATGTCGCCGGGTTGTACCCTATCTGCTATATATTCGATGCATCTTTAGCCGGCAATACCTCCCCAATTCCAATAAAGTTCTCGGTTGTCAAGTGCTTCGATCTCGCCATCTCCCGATCCAGTTGAAGTATATCACTGGGCACAAACTCTCTATGGGGTGACTAGGTCATCATTGGTTGTGACGCAAACCCCTCATTGATAAGACAGCAACCCATCACCGCCCCGCGCAGCCCAGCTGGAGGTTTGGAGAGATCGCTTTTGCTGGTTTTCAACCCTTCCACACCTAAGACATTTCTCCTTCATGGATACATTGGACAAACATTCCTCGCCGGCATCGGGGTTGCCTCTGGCTTTCCACGGCACGGTGATACACTCTTGCTCTCTCAACGAGCTCCAGATCCTGGAAAATTGCTTCATCTTGGTTGATAAGGCGGGCAAGATCCAAGCACTGCAGCCAGATGTGGAGGCGAGCCAGATAAATGCCATCGTTTCAGACAACGGATATGCGCCCGACGTTTTCCCGATCAAACGCCTTCGACGTGGCGAATTTCTGTGTCCCGGGTTTGTGGACACTCACAACCATGCACCACAGTGGACTCAACGCGGCGTTGGGCGTGGGCAGACCTTACTGGATTGGTTGGAGAACGTCACATTCGCCCATGAGGCCAAATTCGAGGATCAAGACTATGCTTTTCGTACATACTCTTCTTGTGTGGCAGGCTTTCTCCAGCAAGGGATTACCACGGCATCGTATTACGGATCTCGCCATGGCAAAGCGAGCCGCATCCTCGCCGATATCTGTTTTGATAAAGGCCAGCGCGCCCTCGTGGGCAAGTGTAACATGAATCGAAATGCCCCTGACTGGTATCGAGACTCCTCGATTGATGACTCGCTTCACGAAACGCGTGACTTGATCCGGCACATTCGGGATCTTGACCCAGAGAACCGACTGGTGAAGCCCGTCTTGACTCCGCGCTTCGCCATTTCGTGCGATTCAGAACTTCTATCGGGTCTTGGGGTTATCGCTCGGGAGCATCCGCAGCTACATATTCAGACCCATTTCAACGAAGCGAAGCAGGAAATTCAGTTCACACGGCAATTATTTCCAGATTTCCGCACAGAAGCTGAATTATACAAGAAATTTGGCTTGCTAAATGACCGGTCTATTCTAGCCCATTGTATTTTTTTGGAGGAGGAGGAGATGGTTGCCCTCCAGGAGCTTGGCTGTGGTGTCTCCCACTGCCCAATCTCAAATACCACGATGCAAGAGTTTATGGTTGCACCAATACGGGAGTATTTGCGACGTGGTATCAAAGTTGGACTGGGAACCGATAGTGGCGGCGGACATTCCTCCTCGATGTTGGAAATCATGAAACAGGCATTTGTGGTTTCAAATGCTCGGCAGACACTTACTAACGGCCGAGATCCTGCTTTGTCCCTGTCAGAGGGATTCTTCTTGGCCACTTTGGGGGGTGCGCAAGTTTGTGGCCTCGACGAAAGGATCGGAAATTTCATTGTGGGAAAAGAATTCGATGCACTCGAAATTCACACAATGAATCTGGAATATCCGGGAGTGATGACGCCCGTTGAAGAGGACGACTCGATCTCGGTCATCTTCGAGAAATTCTTAATGACCGGCGACGATCGGAATATTGCTAAAGTATATGTACGCGGCCAGTCGGTCAAAGTCTGATGACAATATTATCAAGTGGACATCCGTATCCTGACTTGTAAGATAACAAGCATATTAATTCGAGATATCCCACCCCAGGCTAACATTCGCGTATTGCGAAAAACACCGGCCGCGATTCTATTTAGACAAGCCAGCGCAAGCTCTGCATTAATTTTCTTCGTTTCAAAAAGTCTCCTATATCTCACCCTTGGTAATGGCCGTCTCACCCTTCCCGTTAGCTTCTCGTCTTAACTCTTCTTCGGCTTACCTTGGGATGTCTGCAGGTATCGATGGTGGTCAAAGAGTCTAGAGTGTTCGTAGCTGAACTCATGATGCCAGACTGTTGCCGTTGTTGTCCATACGAGGGCAAGGAGGGGACACATGCCCGTGCGCAGCGGGTATTTCTTGGTAAGGGGAAGATCGCAATGGCGATGAGGTGGGTCGTCTGTCTCAATGGGGCCCATGAGGCTAGGGGTCTGTCCTCTGCGTCGTTTGCGCTGCGGTAAAATGAGCCATTTGCTCATTAAAGAGTCGATATATCTGTACAATGGTCCTTGCTTCCCTTGTAAGTCTTTCTGATTCCTCACGCTCACTCAGATTGAAAGGGTTGATCTGATTGCCCCGCATCTTGGTTGCACAAGCTCCACCGTTGATCGCTGACCATAACGGAGGCGGAAAAGGAACCATAAGAGTTCTTTTGTTTGCAATGACTGCATTTGTCTGATTCCCGCTTGTTTCCGACAACTTATGCCATTCGCATTTATTTCCTTGTGGTGGAGCTGAAAAATGAAGCTTGCGGTGTTCCGCCCCATTGAATAATACCCTCTCAGGATTTCGAACCCCATAACAATGTATAGAAACATGGCGGCGATAATCCATTTGACGATGAACCGGACCTAGATAGGGCGTCACCTGAAAGAAGGAATTTTGGTCGGTCCTTGGAAGAAATTGGAAATTGTGACCAGAGTACAGGTCATAGGAGGTTTCAAAGAGGATATGGTCCGAATGTTAACTAGATCAAGTCAATTCTGGTGTAAGTATGTCTCTTGATCGGAAGACGTGCGGCCTTAGGGTAAGGCATGATACTGGACGATTGAAATGAGAGCGAGATAAACATCGCAAAGGAAGAAGAACAGATGAATAGATTCCGCAGAAAGACTCTCTGTCTGCCAGAACTTGAATGGAATGGAATTCACACGAGACAATATGCCAGGGAATCTCTTGCCGACGCAAATTGCAGGGGCAGACCCAGATGCAACACACTAGAACGTTGATAGTATGCACAAATCAGTTCAAAAAGAGCGCCTACAGAAGGATCGTGGGATAAGCGACAACGAAGCACAATTCTATGCCAGTATCATTAGTATCATTGCCATGTTCCTTGCGGGGGGCCGAAATAGCCTCGGGCGGGAAGGCGTTTATACGGCGTGCCTTTCCCATCGGCCGTGTTGGTATATACAGTGTTACCCCACCAGCTCAAGGAGCCAGCGGGTAGAATGATACAGAAGAATATGATCAAAGTGGACACGGCAACACCACAGTCAAGTGCAGCGGATAGTACATAGTCTAGAGAACACCAGTTAGATCGACATAATGGACTTGACGAACGATAGAGGGAGACATACTGTACTTGGACCACCATGCAGGCTTCCGGCGGCGTATCAGGCCATTGAACATGGCGTTGATCACCCACCACGAAGAAAAGCTCACACCTGTAGCGGGAGGAACGAGACTCATTGCACCGAAAGCCACCGGCCATGACAGGTAGTTGACAGCTTTCCACCGGCGACCGAGTAGATAGGTGATAACTACAAGCACCGGTCCCACGAGGAAGAACCATAACAAGTTGCCATACATCTGACCCGGGGAGAAGAGACGACCGGGGCCAATAGCGCCTGCTTGCTGCTGAGCGAGAAACACGACAGAAACGACATGGGAACCGGACAAGGAAATAGGAGGAACAACATACCCCATATAAGAGACGAGGAGTAAGTAACTCGTCCATGTGGACAAGTGAAATTGCCCTCGGCATCGGAGGTACAGACCCCGCCGATCCGGGTGATCATGAAGACTGTGACTCCGCACTGAACAATGGCACCGACTAGTGTGGCTAGACCTTGGGCAGCGAACAGAGTCCGCGGAGCAATATGCAGGTAATGCGCCAACTTCATATCAGCAACAAATCTATCATGGGTTAATGGATGTAGCGCAGACCGGAGCGTAATAACAAAGGCCAGGCTTACTCTAGTCCTTGCTGAATGGCAACATAGCCATAGAATTTGAACACCATATTGGCCAAGGGCCGTCCAAGGAATGCATAGCCACCGATAAACTCCGTCATCAAGTTTAACTGATTGCTGCTGATATTGGTGAGGGCTTTGATGATGCCCACGGGAATGAAATAGATCATAGGGAGTATGAACGCCGCTAACACTGCCCAAGCCGGTAGCCCGGTCTGCCAAACCTCATTAGTGACAATGCTGAGCACGAAGGTTAACAAAGTGACGACTATAAACCACCACCAAGGCACATTCTGATAGACAGCCATGAGGCGAGCGTGAACGTCTTGCTTGCTCGTTCCATTCCACTGCCGCCACAAGTCGCGGCCGTGATATAGTCCAATGTGAATAAAGATTCCCGTGAGATTGGCGAAAGCAACCCCAAACGTGAGCGCGTACCCGGCCGGCAAGAAAATAGGAGAGTACTCCCTGTAGGCTGTCTGGTTTACAGTGCCGTCGGTGTTCATGATGCGATCGGTATCGTAGTTGCTACCAGTGTTGTCGAAGGTATTCGAGTTCAGCAGTGGCAGGTAGGCCGAATCCCACGTGTTAGTGTAGTAGATAATGGGGCAAATAAACCAGAAAAACAAGGCGAACGACCCCATGACATTGAGACCAGCCCAAAATGGGACCAAAAGGGGACTTTGATTGGCGTAAACGACTTGGGACCAGTCAAAAGTCAAGACTGACATCCCCAGTCCCGTTATTTGGCCAAATAACTGGTTCACGACCACGTTAGATGGGGCAATCCAGCAGATAAAACTAAAGGTACTGAGGCCGGTGAAGAGATATCCGGGGGCAAAATACCAGACAGCGCCCACAAGAAACACGACGAGAAAGAAGCGTAATCGAGTGATCGTCCAGCCATCGGCAACGGGATTTTCTCGAGAGTGTAGGGTGGTCAGAAGGGCTGCATTTGATAGAACCTGCGGCCATAGCATCGACGCCGGACTGACAAGCCAGCGGGAAGCTAAGCCGGCGAGTCCGAATCCGAAAAGCTGAGTGGTTATGCATAGGAGTATCTCGAATCCGCCATGGGATGGCATGTCATAGAACTTGACAACCGCCTCGATGATCTGCGTTGCTTGTGCCGAGCCAATAGAGACATTGGCCATGATGGTTATCAATCCATGCTCCTTTATATTAAAGTGTCGGTCTGGGTTCAGGGCGCCGATGGGCATCCACTTCGCCCAGGCGCACCCCAAAGGAAAGGCCAGTAATTGTGCTACTAGAGCACTGATCGTCACACTAGGTTGCCGTAGGCTGAAGAATTGGTTGAGACCACTCCCGACCTAAATATAGTGAAATGCATCAAATCTACCGGTCAGAGTTGGGACCAATCCATCAACTTTTGATTAAAGTGTTACCCACAATAGCAAACACCAGGCCAATGGTCCACATACGGACGGAATTGACCGGAAGGGATAGATCATCGACCGGCTGAATGACCGCGCGAACTTCAGGGAATGGCGAATCGTCTGCATCGTATGGCAGGATTTCTTCGGCTTCCCGGTCGCGAAGGATGATTGTTTCATCACTGATTTGATCCAATGGGATGTTCTGCCAAACAGACGGTCAGTTGTTTGTCATTTGTCATGGTCATGCCAGTCCTCAAAGAAGCAGCTTGGCAGCTAGGTGGATCGGCTCATGGGCCACTTTAAAGTCGTGGAGCCTCCCGGGGCCAAACGGGCGAGATGCTCAGAAGTGCCAAGCACGGCTTTCTCACCTGGTCGATCGCATCAAGTGGGGTGAGGGGCCAACGGGGAGCGATTGCCCCTGAAACAGGAAGGGAGCGTATGCGAACTTGGATGAAGAAAGGGGTCCGACCTACTGGGGACCAAGGATGCTGGTGATGCTTTTCCTCTTCGTTATCCATCACTGTGTCCAACCCACACGGGGGGATCCGATCAACAGCCTCTAGAACCCAGGCGGAAGGAGGTGAAGCACAAGCTTTAGATCCCCTTAACCCAATAGAGCTGTTAGACGCAAAGAAAAAAGCGGATCGGGACGCTAAAGCCCACACACGTTCCGGGTGTGTCGGGCATGCGCCTGAAGGTCGGACGGGAATCCTTCCAACGGCTGAAAATCAAGGTTCAACGCGTCCTCGTTCCAAGAACTGGAGAATTTGTCGGAGTTTCCCGCTAGAAAAACGCTCAATACGGACAATGCCGAGAGATATCCTGCAAAGTTGTCCAAACAGAGCGAAGAGCGAAGCAATTCAGGGTTGGGACACGTTCTGAAAGGGACCGACGACATGGGAGTGCGACGCGGGCAACATCGGCTTGGCCCGCCACCCGTGTTCAGTGTGCTCCACTGGTCGGATCGGAGCGCTCTATACCCATAGTGGAGATGGCCTAGCTGTGATTCCTGATGATGCTACCGACATAAGGCCAGTCACAACAGACCCGGGAAGTCATTTAAAAGACTGGAAGGGCTGTCATTATCTCTTACCGAACTTCCCCACGCACATGGAAGTATCACCTTTATCTCTCTCCGGGTCCCGAGGCTGCTGATATCATTTTCTCTCCGGCTGAAGTCTTGAGATCTGTTGGACTACAACGCTTAGGGGCTTTCCACAATGGGTGAAAGTTATCGTGCCCACGATGCTTTTCAAGTGCCTTTCGCACAACAACCCATTGTGATCCTCAGGGCAGGAATTATCGGATGTGCAACGGCCCGTCAACTCCTACTGCATGGCTTCTCGGTTGTGCTCGTTGCGGAGTTCCTTCCTGGAGATCAGGACATCTACTATGCATCTGCCTGGGCAGGGGCCGCGTGGCATGCCGCAGGCGGCATCACTGCAGACCAGCGCTATTACCAGGCCGTTACACATCGCGTGATGCTCAAGATGGCCCAAGACCCTGAATCAGGAGTCAGTGTCGTCGATGCCCGTGAGTATGTAGAGCAGGAACCCGCTCCAGACTCTGCAATCTGGGGGAGAACGGTAGTATCCAAGGTAGGACCCTACTCTGCTCCCATACCGATGGTCACTGATCATATACATGCTATTCAGTTCCGTGAGCTGGACCTGACGGAGCATCCCTCAATCTTCAATTGTGGCTGGGCCTACGAGAGACACCCGTCACCGATCCTACGCGGCACTTGCCGTATCTGAAAAAGAAAATCTTAGCCCTTGGAGGCACGTTCATCCGCCAGCGTGTCGACTCTCTACACGAACTGTACAAGATGTTCCCCGACTCTCGCTTGTTCATCAACGCCAGCGGCCTGGGTAGCAAGACTCTTGAGGATGTGAAGGACGACTGCTGCTTCCCCGAACGAGGACAAAATGTTTTCTTTCGTACGAAAAATTGCAACACCCTTTACTTCCGGAATGGCAAAGAGTACACCTATGTGATTCCTCGACCTCTTTCCCAGGGCGTTGTGCTCGGAGGGTCCAAGGAACAAGGTAATCTGTACGCTTATCTACCCAATCTGGTGGCTCAGTGCTATGATCGGTATGCTGATTGTTCCTGCCTAGTTCTCCCGACGTCAATATGGACATCGCTCGCGACGAGATTGCGCGGGCCCATCGACTTGCGCCAGACATCGTTCCTGAACACCCTCCGGACGACGCTGTGAGCCATATTATTGGAATCCGACCATCACGACGAGGAGGATTTCGGCTGAGACTCGGAAGAGAAGGACCACCGCACCATCCTGTCGGCCTATGGGTTTGGTGGAGGTGGGTATGCGTTTTCGTACGGGATCGCGGACGCGCTGGTGAAGATGGTGGAGCAGGCGGAGCGCAAGAACGTCATCATTTAGATTATTCTCCGTCGTTCAGGGTGTTCTGTCTTCTGTTTGTCTGCTTCCTTATTTGCCGTTTTTCTTCCCGGCTTTCTACGTGGATCGTGGAAATTTGATTGAGATGTTCGATGCTTGGTCCTCGTCCAGTCCTTTTCAAACCACGAAGGAATGGTTGAAGTGTCGATTGGTAAATTTCGGGAGGGGTCCGAAACTTGGTCCGTGCCAGAAGTCCGCCTTGAGACCACACTAAGTACACAATTGGACCTAGGTGAGGGCACCCGGGTATTTGATCCCTCCTTGACTCTTTTTCGCCACCTTGTGTTACAGAAATCGAGTTCTCTATATATACGAGCCTCGCGCGTTCGTGGACTCTGGATCCGGGATAGCGGCTCTGTTCTCCCCCCGCCGGCCATTTTTGCCGTCCAGTAGAACATCGTACATCTTCGGCCGGCTTGGCCGCGTCTCGACCAACTCGAACCATTTTCAGGTTTTTTCGTGGGGCTTGCTAACTTTCAAACACCGAATTTCGTCCAGGCCCTAGGCTTAGGTGAAAGGGCAGGCGGACTAAACTCAATCTCTCAGCTACTTGCATCCCCCTTCTTACCCTCACCGGACTTTCGCTCATTACTTATCGAATGCGATATCACTGTGAATGATCCCTCTACAAGTTTTGTCTCCCGAGTGCGCGGTGCCTGCCAAGTGGCAGGAAGGTTGAATTCGCCATGGTTCTGGACCAGGAAATGCTCCACCTCAGCCTTGAGGATCGCCGGCCCGTTAATTTCGCCATGGTTGTGACGCCACCTGCAGAGAGTGAACTAGGACATCAGGACAAACCAGCTGGTCTATTCTCCGATCCCTCCAACGCCAATCTGCCGTCGCCGTCGCAGACGGCGACGGTGACTGCGAATCCGACTGCGCCCGTAATTGCACCCGGGATCGATGCCCATCCTATGGCCCAAATCTACCGCTGCACACCAACCCCGACTATCCTTCTCGACGGCTCCCTTCGGGTGATTCAGGCTTCAGATAGTCATTTCAACCTCTTCAAATATGATCGCAAGCATTTACTAGGAGTGAGTGTATACGAGCTGACGCCGCGCATCGTCCCTGCGCCGGACATCATTTCGTTAAGTGGCGCGCTTGCTGCAGCCATCACAACCCGTGAGGTTCAATTTATCGAGGACATTTTAGTCCAAGACCACGAATCTGGATTTTCTTTGCACGTGACCCCCATTTTTGACGGCGAGGATCTAATATATGTACTCCTGGAAGCTCAAATCACGCGATCCAAGTCCGTGCGAAAGACCAGTAAGCAGACTTACTTCAACGACACCTATAGGACTCTCATAGATGCCGTTAAAGACTATGCTATTTTCATGTTGGATATCCGGGGTTACATTGTGACGTGGAACTCAGGTGCCGCCATTCTCAAGGGCTACACAGCAGATGAGGTCATCGGTCAGCATTTTTCGATATTTTACGGGCCTGAGGATCGTGAGTCCGACAAACCAGGCCGTGAGCTTGAAGTCTGCTTGCGCGACGGAAAGGTCGAGGACGAGGGATGGCGCTATCGGAAGGATGGTGGGCACTTTTGGGCCAACGTCATGATCACCCCTATCTATCAAGCCGGGCGTCATGTGGGATTCGTCAAGATCAGTCGAGACTTGACCGAGCGGAAGGCTGCAGAGGCGCGGTTGATCGATGCGTTTGAGGAATCCTCCAAATTAAAGACCGATTTCCTTGCGAATATGTCTCACGAGCTACGCACACCTATGAACGGAATGTTTCTCGCTTTGGCCATGCTGATGAGAACATCTCTCAGCCCCGAACAGCAAGAATATGCATCGATTTTGGAGGACTCGACTTCCATCCTGCTACAGGTCATCAACGACGTGTTAGACTACTCGAAATTATCATCAGGATCGTTTTCCTTGACTGCTGACGTCCTGGACATCCCCGCCGTGATGAGTGCGGTGATAAGAAACTGTCAGCCATCACTCAAGTCCGGTGTTGTGCTTGAGACTTTTGTGGATCCAAGCTTTCCTAGGGGCGTCAAGGGCGACTCTCTGCGTTTTCGCCAAATATTGCAAAATCTTGTCGGCAATGCTGTCAAGTTCACTGAGAGCGGATACATCCATGTTCATGTCACTTATGCCACGGATGAAAGCGATCCGCAATCGTACATTATCTCAGTCCAGGTGGTGGACACAGGAATAGGAGTTCCCGAAGATGCAACCAGTACACTTTTCACCCCCTTCGCTCGATTTGCGGACTCGACCACGAAGCGATATCAGGGCACTGGATTGGGCCTTTCAATTTGCAAAAGTCTCGCCGAACTCATGGGTGGAGCGGTTGGGTTTCATGCGAATCCGGCTGGCACCGGTAGTGTATTTTGGATGTCGGCCAAAATGGGCCGTATCGACCGACATGTTCCTTTGACCAGACCAATGATTTCGCGAGGGCAGGAAATTCCATTGGATAGGTCATCTTTGCTTCAAAAAGTGGCGGTGCACAAGACAATTCTGCTCGTGGAAGACAACAAAGTCAATCAAACCATCATGCTCAAGGTTCTAGGATCCTTGGGCTTTGAACGCGTAGATGCGGCTTGGGACGGGGCTGAAGCTGTGCGCATGGTCAAACAGAAACCTTTTGCCTACAATGTGATTCTGATGGACATCAACATGCCCGTCATGGATGGATTGACAGCGACGGAACAAATCAGACAACTTAACATTGATGTCCCTATCATCGCGTTGACTGGAAATGCCCTGAAAGGCGACGCAGAGACTTATCTGGCCAAGGGGATCAATGACTATGTGGCTAAGCCGATTCACAGGCAGCAGTTGGTGGATATCTTGTGGAAATGGTGCGGATCATAAAATCTATTCCATGTGGCCAATTCCGCCATTCATTAGCTTTCTGCCAAGGGTGGGTCTTTATTTACCCCACAAAATCTTCTGGCCCGTCTCCCTGTCTAATCGCTCTATTGCCCTCGGGCATTCAAGTCCCGATGAGTCTTAGTCCTTGCACGTACACACGTGTAGGATTACCCTTATGCCGCTGGACATCACAAAGCCTGATTTGCAATCCCTCGCCGAATGAGACAGTTCGTTGCCAAAGGATCCAAAGATCATGCTCAAAGCCTAGACTTGCTCTGGGTAGACTGCGGCATTTCATGGCCCTAATATACCAAGAGCGACCCTGGGCCAAATCCCAGCTCGAACAGGGCGCTCTGCTACTGCGACCTATGTTCATGGAACACGTGTCTCGGTGCGGTGATCCTTCCTGAATAGGGGTTCCTGGGATAGGACGTGGTCATGTATACAGTGTTATCCCGGGGCTGCTCATATCTTGAGAATGGATTGTGCAAGCGACGCTCATAGTCGAGATCCCCCAGATCATCGATGTCAAGCTTATGAAAAAGTATTTTCACTTCGGGTGTATAGTGTACTGTAGCTGATATCCTGAAATACCCTTTGCCTTTTCCGTCTCCATACTATATGACGAGGAGAGAATCGTACACATAGGTACATAAGATGGTAAGGGTCTGTTGATGGTCATCTTGGGACGTCGGCGCTTTTCTCGCACACATAGGCAGTCATTCGTCGAGTCACTGCCGGCGTCAGATGGGAGGTGCTGCACATGTCTGAGAGAAATATAACTCCTCGGATATCCTTGCGCCCGCACGGAATATTTTGGTAGTTGCAAATGTTGGGGTAGAACTCTTTTCTAAGCCTTAAAACCTTCAAGGGTAGGATGCATGTTGTTAACCCCGTCTATACCCCCTACCCCCTTCTCAGTTCCTAGCGCCCGACCCTTGGTTATAAGTTCAGGGGCATATCAGGATCGTCGCTCATGCTCGATAATTGGTCAGATCCAGAGGTATCCCGAGCCTGTGACAAGGGTTAGGCGATGACTTTCCTGATGGAGACACACTGCCCCCACTTGGTGTCCCTTGAAGTGGAGGTGGGAAACCTTGTCTGGGCGATGATGAAATGGTCCCGCTTTCATTCCTCATATGGATGCACCGAGGCTTGAGTCTTGAATATAATGCTCGACGCGTGGTGGTAAAGTCCAGCCGCTTTAATGATCTCTCATTTCTAGCAAGCTTCACGTGGCGTAAATTTGCCCTTCCGAGGCGAAGAGGCGAATGCTATGGCAAAAAAATTGTGGATTTGACCGATTGACTGCAACCATTTCTCCTCAGCAAGTGCTTTATTTACCTTAAAAGATCTCGAACGTTGCCGACAGGATTCAGAGCAATAAAGATCGCGCTTGCAATGGCATCTGCTCAGGAAAGTCGCCAAAGGCTATGCTAGGAAGGCAAATCAGAATCTTCACATGGCTTTAGCCATGGCCAGAACCGAATTAGAATTGAGCCGGAGCTAAAGTGAAGGGCCGTTCTGTGAATGGCCTTTCTTATGGATGTGACACCTGTGCTTGCAGTCCGAAATTGTAGTATTCCAAAGAAAGCGAAACACTGCCTCGTCTAAAGTCCTTAATTGTTTGTCTAGCTTTTTAGGGGTCCAAGCTTTGGGGGATCGTCCTTTGGCTTTTCCAGATGGGAAGGTCTCTAATGCACCGGTTCGAGAGATAGTCAGAGTAGATGCTCCATTCTAGGCCCGCTATCCCCGCCGATCGTAGCTCCACCACGAGGCACAACCAGCTGATAACCCTCTTTCCATCTTGAGTTGGGGGCTGTACGTGGCTTCTCATTGGATTATTGCTAAGAACAGACAAGAGAAGGATATAAACAGGTGAGCTACGGAGCACGGGGGATAGCGGGGTCACTACAATTGTAGTATAAAAGCTTGCCTCGTCCCAGCATTCCTGGGTTCCGATTGGCATCACATACGAAGTGAACCTGAGTGGATCCACGCATCATGAAGTATTCCGCTCTGTTTATAGGAGTTGCAGCTGTTAGTGCCCTCGCCGTGCCCACTCCTCATACTTATGAGCTACACGAGAAACGTGAATTCATGCCATCTTCATGGAATGAAGGGAAAAGACTAGACGGCTCGACACCATTGCCTGTGCGAATCGGTCTGATGCAGCCTAATTTGAACCGTGGCCACGACCTTCTTATGGAAATGTATGTTATGGCGCAATAAAACACTGGATCAAGGTGCGTACTACTCTATATGAGCAATAGTTGACGAATTGGATACCCCAGGTCGAACCCATCCTCGAGCCGCTATGGTCAACATATGTCCGATTCCGAGGTAATTGACTTGTTCGCACCGAGCCAGGAGAGCGTGGATAGTGTTCTTGGATGGTTGGAGTCCTCCGGTGTGGCTACAGATCGTATCTCGCAATCTGTGAATAAGCAGTGGATGCAATTTGACGCCGACGCCGAAGAGCTAGAGAAGCTGCTCCGCACCGAATACTATCTCTATGCCCATTCTGAGACCGGTCGTTCTCACGTTGCATGCCGCGAGTAAGGGTCTTGATGAGCTTAGAGTGTGTTCTGTACTAACACTAAAATTGATAGATATCATGTGCCGAGCTCAGTGCGCGAGCACGTCGACTATATCACTCCGGGTATCACTTTGCGTGAAGTGACTGGTGTGGGAAGACGGAGTGATCCAAATATCAAGAAGCGCGTTGCAAACGGGCTGCCGCCCATCCTAGAGCCTATCGCAATTCCACTTGAACAGTTGCTCGGGCGGCTGCTTGATTTCTGCGATGTTGCCATCACACCCCAGTGTATCCGGGGTAAATCGCCAAGTATTCATGAATTTCGATGTACGCTAATGCTGCTCTTTAGACATGTATAACATCACAGAAGGCACATCGGCGAATCAAGGTAACGAACTCGGAATTTTCGAAGGCATTGGCGACGTCTACGCTCAGGAGGATCTTAACCTCTTTTTCACAACGCTTGCAAGGTACCGTGTCTCAATCTCAGAACCGGTCTATTTTCACTGACTGTTGCGCTAGCGACATCCCTACTGGAACTCACCCGACCTTGAAAGCTGTAGATGGCGCCAAAGCCCCTGCTCCTTTGCAAAGTGCGGGGCCTGAGTCTGATCTGGACTTCCAGATTACTTACCCGATCATCTGGCCTCAAAACTCGATTCTCTTCCAGACGGATGACATGGTCTACGAGGAGGACTACACATTCCGTGGCTTCCTCAACACTTTCCTGGATGCTATCGACGGCTCATACTGTGATGAAATCTCGCCTCTTGACCCCCCTTACCCAGACCCTCAGGCTGGCGGCTACAAGGGCACGTTACAGTGCGGTGTCTACAAGCCCACCAACGTAATCTCGATCTCTTACGGGGGCGATGAAGCTGATCTACCTGTTGCATACCAGCGACGCCAGTGCAACGAGTTCATGAAGCTTGGCATGCAAGGTGTGTCGGTTGTTGTCGCTTCTGGTGACTCTGGCGTTGCTGGAGCCAGCAACTGCTTGGGAGAAGATGGCAAGGTTTTTAACCCTGACTTCCCGGCCTCATGCCCGTACTTGACGGCCGTGGGGGCAACTGTCATTCCCCTTGGTGCCGGTGCCAAAGACCATAAAGAAGAGGCTGTAACCCGTTTCCCGTCTGGCGGGGGGTTCAGCAACATCTACGAGCATCCCGATTACCAGTCTCAAGCTGTGGCTGACTATTTTTCCACGGCTAAGCCTACCTACCCTTACTATGAGAGCGTCAATAATAACAGTTTTGCGGCCAACGGCGGCATCTACAACCGGATTGGACGAGGCTATCCTGATGTTTCCGCGATCGGGGACAACGTTGTCATATTCAACGCCGGTTTGCCAACCTCAATTGGCGGTACCTCGGCTTCGGCTCCAGTCTTCGCCTCTGTTTTGACCCGTATCAATGAGGAGCGGCTAGCTGCAGGCAAGACAACTGTCGGTTTTGTCAACCCTGTTCTGTATGCGCATCCGGAGGCCTTCTTTGACATCACTAAGGGCGATAACCCAGGCTGCGGCACCAATGGGTTCTCGGCTGCCGTGGGCTGGGATCCAGTGACTGGATTGGGTAGTCCTAACTACCCGGCCTTGCTGAAGGTCTTCATGAGCCAGTGAACGGCACTCCAAGACTTGAATTAACAAATACAATTTCATTGTAATTCAACCGAGACTTGCGATCTTTCAACAGAAAGACGTGTAGAATATGAAGTTCAACGCTGTCGCAAGAGTGTGACTCTTGCCCAGTCACGCACATGGCTCTAAAGGGCATGCCAGTTAGGTACGAAATACATTAACTCGCGGAATGTCCAGGTGCCGGTTAAATATACATTAACTGATTTCAAGGCGTGTTTAGCGGTTCAAAAGGTTTCAAATTCACATTGAAGTTGCGACTCCACTTGTAAAGAGAGGAAGTTGTGGACGGCGTCACCTGTTGGCAGTGTATAGCCAAAAACCTCCAAGACGTCAAAGTGTTGAGGACAGCGAACTAGCCCACAATCAGGATTTGGAAGCTTGCCAACGAGCTCAAACTAAAAAGACCTGGGCCTCCGGTCGATTGCGCGAGCCGACTGTCATGCAAACAGCTCTTACAAAAGTGTTTCCGTTCGGAGTAAGTGCGATGGCCGAAGCGATCGTGCCGACGACCCCGGCGTTGGTCCGACCAGGCTTTCCACGTTCTATTGATACGACAAAGGTTTAAATTGCGCAATGAGCTTTACTAGGCCTAATCTGGTGCCCGACAAGAGACTGCAATGAAGAACGGAGCTATGGAAACTATGTTGCAAGATCTTGATTGCTAAGTCGCCCCGCGAATCAGTAAATTATCCGGCTTGAGACGGGTAATAAATATGACATCACGAATTAAACCAGCAAGTACTGGGGGGGGGCGGAGGGGGGCCACTTCTTGGGAGATGCAGTCGAGTTCATCCCTACTGCCATTCGGAAAATTTATGTTAATATTATAATGGACGGATTGTGTTCATTGAGTCGACAATTTATTCCAGGTGTGAACCTCAGCTTGATTTAAGAGGGGACCCTGTGCGGTGAAACCGCTGCTATAATCGCTGCCGATCCCGACTCGGTGGGGGTCTACTCCGAAGGAGGGGCAGCGTCGGAGGGCGAGATCGCGGTATTGTTAAACCCCGCCGGAGACACGTCAATGCTTTATTAGACGTGGCCCCTCCCGGAGTTTACTCTCCATTTCAAGCTTCCTGCCTGTTTTTCCATCTTAAATCTTTCTATTATTCAACTCACAAGATGTCTCTCGGCAAGAAGGTTACTCTTAACACTGGCCACCAGATTCCGTATGCTCTCCAATTGAAATGCTGAATGTCGAGATATTAACACGCGCGCACAGCCAGCTAGGATTTGGCACCTGGCAATCTGCCCCCGGCCAAGTCGGTGAGGCCGTTTATGAAGCCCTGAAGGCTGGTTACCGCCACCTGGTACGTCTCCATTCTATGCAAATATGAAAATTAAGACTAACACCTCCTAGGATCTTGCCACTATGTATGTCGTTTCGGTTTCGCTTTGGCGCTTCAATTGCTGCCGAATCTTGTTTTGCTGACCAGACTCTCGTCTTCTAGCTATCAGAACCAGAAGGAGGTTGCCGCTGGCATCAAACGCGCTTTCCAGGACGTTCCCGGCCTCAAGCGTGAGGACATTTTCATCGTGAGTACTACACATTCGCTTGGGAACATTTGATTGAATAGAAAATTCTGACAATTTATCCGCACATAGACTTCTAAGTTGTGGAATAGGTAAATTGCGGAGGTCGATATCTCCTTTCATGACAGACGGTTCTGACTGCGCACAGCCAGCACCGCCCTGAGGTCGTCGAGGCCTCTTTGGATGCGTGTCTTGCCGAGCTTGAGCTTGATTACCTCGATGTATGTGTGATTACGCTGCAATTCGGACGAATAGCCACTGATAGACTTAGCTTTACCTTGTCCATTGGCCTGTCGCTTTCCAGAAGGGCGAGTCGTACTTCCCCCTTGTCGCCAACAGCACTGTCGAGGGCGGTGATGTGATCATTGATGACGGTGTTTCCATTGTTGACACCTGGAAGGGTAAGGAGGCTCGTGCATCGCCTGGAGCAAACGTGCATTGACTCTTTCTCTGTCAATAGCCATGACCAAACTCCCTAAGAGCAAGGTTCGCTCGGTCGGTGTCTCGAACCACACCATTGAGCATGTAAGTAGAGCTCTTGCTTGCAGTGGGTATCTCGAACATGCACTGACGAAGGACTTGAATAGCTTGAGGCCCTCATTAACGGCACCGGTGTCGTTCCTGCTGTCAACCAGATCGAGCGCCACCCTGTGCTGCAGAGCAACGACCTGATCGAGTACTGCCAGAAGAAGAACATTCACATTACTGCATACTCTGTATGTGTCTTTCCTGTTATCACGTGAAGTGTTTCGGTGCTAACATCATCAGGCCTTTGGTAACAACATGCTCAACATTCCTCTCCTCATCACCCGTCCCGAGGTCAAGGAGGTCGCTGAGGCGGTCGCTAAGCGTACCGGCACCGAAGTCACCCCTGCCCATGTCATGTAAGATGAAACTCCCCACTTGATGCCAATCGCACCCTTTAACGATTCCATTCAGTCTTGCCTGGTCCCAGGTCGGTGGCCACAGTGTTATCCCCAAGTCGGTCACTCCGTCCCGCATCCGCGATAACTTCAAGGAGATCGAACTCCTGCCAGAGGAGGTGCAGAAGGTTAGCCAGCTGGGCAAGGACCGCAAACGTTACAATATTCCTTACACTGCCAATAAGCCCCGCTGGAATATCAACATCTTCGGTGAGCCTGAGAGGAGCAGCCTGCTGACCACAAGGTGATTGTCTAAACCTTTGCAATGTTCGAATATATGATGAGATATGTAAATTCAGTTCAGTCAATTGGTGCCAGGAAGATCGTAGAAATTTGATCCTCAAGACAATTCGCCAGATACTCTAGATTGTTCAAGCATATTCATTGATTAAACTTTCAGGATTGGAAAAGACGGGGCTGGGGTATCTAGGCGAACGGACGAATGAAACAAAGAACATTGTCAAGCATCACCTTGACATTCATAGATCTCTCGGTCTTCTCTGAATTATTTTTCATCAATAGCTGAACCGCTTGTACTCACCCTCAAGGTCTTAGCCCTCTGGATTTATTGGTTGCTGGTGTGTGCTGAATACTGGCCCGGCATCAAGCTCATGATGTTCTTGCACGGGAGTCACCACGCACGGTACTTCATGTATTGACCTCCCATCTAAGAAAGCTGACAAGGGTCCAATCGGTTTGCGGTTCACGGGTGCGCTGGTCAGTGGCGCAGGCGACAGAGGTGAAGGAGGGGACATATGCGAAACAGGTTGAAGGTTATATGAAGGAACGGGCTTGTACTGGGAACTGGATGGTTTCTCTGGAAGTACTGCCAACGAGAGCGAAGAATCTGCGCAGCTGCGCCTGCTCTTTTGCTGACGCCTATGTCGAAGCATGTACCGTAGTAGAAGCACTATAAGCAGAACTATGACGATGACACCTACCGTGATCCCCCCCCTTGGCGCCGGCTCCAAGTGAATTTCCGGATGATCCAGACGAGCAAATGTATCCGCCGTTGAAGACCCCGTCCGATCTCAGACTGTCAAATGAGCTGCAAGATATGATTGGCCATGTACTTCATTTGACGTTTAAAACAGCACTGCCCTTCGGATCCACTGCGGGACTTGATTACTGTGTGGTGTACTGTAGACGCTTTGTTGATCCACGGCACCCATCGCAATTGGGTCTTCTGGTAGAATTCCCTTTGTTGCTTGGAAAGCTCAATCTCATCGATAATTAGTTTCCGCCTCTGGAGAAACTGAGCCGCCTAGTTCTACGATTACATTGGCCTCAAGATGAGATTTCGGTCGAAATGCAAAGGCAGCAGCATTCGTCGATCCGCGAAGCCAATTTAATCTGGATATGTCCTACAGGTTAGAGAGTATTTGATCGAATGTGTCTGCCTGGATTTCTTTAAATCCCGCTTTCTACTCTACCATATGCGTTGATCAGCAATCGCCTTTCGCGGAGAGGTCTTCCCCAATAACATAGTACATTGAGAGACTCCGCCCGGAGAGAAACTAAGACGAGGCTACTAGCTGAACAAACGAAGTCCTCTGGTCGCCCTGCGTAGCCACGATGTAATTCGATACTCTTTTCGCACATGATCCTCCGAAGATATCTTCTGAAATCTTCCGAGTCGGTTATTATGTTGTACTCGTGCTCCGCCCGAATATTGTTCTCCTCCGAGATCCTTCGTATTCGCATAACTTCACGGATCACGTACCTGATCCCTTGTGCTGGCGCCAAGGCCTTACTGAGTCAGCATATGCGGGGAAGTCCTCTCCGCGTTGCGTAGACAGCAAGAGCGACAGCATCGACCGATTTGCCTCATGAGAGTGGCCAAAGGCTGCCGTCGGTGTCGCCATCGCCATATTCGCTGTGTGATTGCCGCGGGGGCCTCTGTCTGTACCCCGTGTGCGCGCCTCAACCGAGTATGTCATCTCGATGCGCGCTTCCACTTCAAGGCTGTGCACTACATATATCAGAATAGCAACGGCTCGTCCGCACCTTATGCCTTTGTATGGGATGAGCAGCAGGTCTGGGTGGATGTTTCACAGCCAAGTGCGCTAAATTTCCTATTTTCTTTCTCTGTGTTAATGTTGATGCCACAGTTCTGTTCGTCAACGAGGCCTCTCATGGATGGGAAGGAGATGACCTTGTCCATGAAAGCCCCGCCTCGATCCCAGCAAACACCTCGGAAACAAATCCATCGCCTGGCCGGCAACTGACTACGCTGTCAGACATCACGACGGGGTTCAATTCGTCTTTCCAACGCGCTTCCATTCACCATGAGCTAGAACGGACTCAAACAAATACTTCCATGGCCTTGTCTCGGCGAGAGGTATCTTTGATGACACATTTCATCCAGAAACTCGCTCCATGGGTGAGTGGCACCAACCTCACTGGTCTAGGCTTGGAAGTCCTCGCGATCTAAAGGAACCATAGGCAGATATATGTGACCCTCAGTCGCACTTTAGCAGCGTCGTGCCTCGGCGTGCAATGGAAAACCCCATGGTCTTCAAGGCAGTGATGGCTCTCGCGGCGCGGCACGACGCCATTCTCACTAAGACAAATGACTGGGAAGCCTCATCCTACCTTGGGCAGTGCTTAGAATTGCTCATCGCAGCACTGGACCGTCCTGAACACACGTACGACGATGATCTGTTGGTGACGGTGGTCATACTGCGCATCTATGAGGAGTTGGAAAACAACACGGATGAAAAGTTTCACCTTCTCGGATCCAACCATCTTATCAATCTCATGTCTCGCGCTGCCTCCTCAGGTGGAATGGCCGAGGCTGTCAGCTGGCAGTTTTTGCGTCAGGCCATCTACGCATCCGTAGTACAGTATCAACACTTTCAGTTGGACTTGCGCAATTACGAGCGGTCATTCATGTTTCAACGGAACGAAGATGCCGCATTTGCCAACATGATCGTATTTCATTGCGCACATATCATCCAATTGTGCCGAAACTTTCCCAGACAGGCAGTCGAAGAAACTGCCTGGCACCAAATTTCTGGAGCTGTAGACGAGTGGCACGGGAAAACAACCATCCCCTGGCAGCCCATTCGATACCAGGCACCCGATCTGACTGCGAATCGCCCCTTTCCTGAAGTCTGGATGATGTCGGCCCCTGCTGGTCTGTATCTTACGCGGCCCTTCGAGAATGACTTGACTGACGACGGGCACTTCAGTGGTGGGAATGCAGTATTATCACACGGCTCGCGTCTTCCTCACATTGACAGATCCTCGATCTTTTCAAATGAACGATTATGCCAGAGCTCGATTTCGGCACCAAGCCGAGGTATGGTAGGATTGGAAAAACGTAAGTGTCTAGGCTGACTCATCTTTCCTAGAGAACTATTGCTGCGCACGTTGCAACCGTTATCGGTCTCTCTTTATCGAATGAGAGTGTCCATAATGCATACTTTATGGCCTGCCATCTCCTTCACCGCTGTTCGTTCGACTCCGATCGGGGTAAAGGCTTTTGCTGACGATCATCGATCATATAGATGGGCACTGTCTGCGACATGCCGCCGAGCAAGAAGGATCGCTGGATTTCCTCGGTCGCGCTGAGCATGTGCTGGGTTGGCGAACGGCATGGATCCGGGACGAGTTGGGGAAGCAGTGGGCCGAGATGGCGGATGTGTAGACAACAGTGCACACTGTGGGGGGTTCCGTCCTCTACTCTGTGCGCTAGAGGCCACGGATCCACCTGGTTTCGAGGAAAGCCGATCGCCCCGGCCAGAATCCACTTGGTGTTCGGATTTGGGTTCGATCTCCGCGTGAACCGGACTTGCACGTAATCTCCATGGGTGTCCTATCAGCATCGGAGTGGGGTTTGAGGGCGTCTCCAAGAGCTGCGGAAATGATGATTCATAGCGATAAGAGACCTGTAGCTAGACTAAGGAAAGCCTCTCGACTCCGATCGTTTTTGCGGGTTTGTGATTTTAATACCGTTATCACCGATGACATCAAAGCTCGAGGTTCTCAAATTGCCCCTCACCTCAGTGGCTTTGCTTCCCTACCTATCTTTAACTGTCAGAAAATTTCCCCTGTCAGATCGATTCCTCTTCCATTATATCAGGGTCCATCATGTCCTTGCCAACCTCATACAAGGCGGCCTTGTTCAAGGAGGCGGGAGCCCCACTGGTCATTGAGGACGTGCAGTTGACCAAGCCCGCCGCGGGCGAAGTGCTGGTCAAGGTCGAGGCTTGTGGTGTCTGCCACTCGGACACAATCCCTCAGGCTTACGGGATGAATGGCAAATTGTAAGCAACGAACGAGATACCTTCGGCGCGCCGACTAATCTCCGTAGCCCGATCATTCCTGGTCATGAAATTATCGGAAAGATCGTCGCCTTGGGTGATTCGGTTTCCCAGTGGAAGGTCGGCGATCGAATTGGCGGCCCATGGCATGGAGGCCACGATGGTGCGACAAATTCGCATTTATCCAGAAAGCAAACCGTGCTAATTGGGTCCAGGCACCTGTCTCGCCTGCCGTAAAGGCCACTTCCAGATGTGTGACCTTGGGATTATTAACGGCGTCACGAAACACGGCGGATGTAAGATCGCCTCTCTCCGCTAAGATGATGACCAACTAACCCGGGTAGATGCGCAATACTGCATTCTCCGTGCCGAGGCTGGTGTTCGCATCCCGACCCACGTTCGGGCGGCGGAGTATGCGCCCATTCTGTGCGCTGGTGTCACCGTCTTCAATGCGATGCGTCAGATGAACGTGCAGCCGGGCTCCACGGTGGCCATTCAGGGTCTTGGTGGCCTGGGACATCTGGCAATTCAATACGCGAATCGGTTCGGATTCCGTGTAGTCGCCATTTCGCGTGATGCGCAAAAGGAGAAGTTTGTACGAGAGCTGGGAGCCCACGAGTATATCGATACCAGCAAGGAGGACGCGGCCGCGGCGCTGCAGAAGCTTGGTGGTGCTTCACTGATCGTAGCCACCGCACCGAACCCACAGGTCATTTCGCCACTCTTGAAAGGCCTTGGTCCCCTCGGAAAAATCTTGATTCTTGCCGGTAAGGAACCGCCCCTGGAGAATATAGAAGCGACAGGATTGACATTTATCTTCAGTGGCGGGTGAGGTGCCTTTCGACACCTTGGCGATGGTAGGTATTTGTCCTGCTTACGTTGTTGATACTACCAAGGTCCTTCTAATACTACGAACAGATTTCCAAAGGCCTGTCGGTTCACGGATGGCCCAGTGGCCATGCGATGGACTCAGAAGAAGCCATTCAGTTCACGGAGCTGGAAAACATCAAGTGCATGGTGCAAGAGTATCCGTTGGAGAAAGCCAACGAAGCATTCGGTAAGTCTTAGTCTCCCATGTCGTTTCAAGGCTTCACGGAACGGCTGACCGCGGATCAATTCCTAGATGCTATGATGAAGGGATCGGTCCGATTCCGCGCGGTTATTACGATGGATTAAGGGTTTGGGCGGAGTATAGGGAGGATGGCAAAATCACAACATGGTTGAGATCAAGATCGCTGTTTCCTCGTGTCAAGTTTGCGTAGCCAGTAAAACACTAATCTCGGGTAGATTGACACCCAGCAACATTCTTTTTCAAGGTGTGCACGGCAAAGGCAACGCTAAAAAAGCGGCTCAGGAGACGAACGGGTATAGAACGGGGAGCGCGCAATTATCTATGATTGGCCTATTCGGGTCGAGTTAGCATGATCGCGGGGAAATTGGAGCACACGAAGCAATGGAAACACCACCCAGCTCGCATGTACTTGCTCTTCGTGGCCAAAGGGTCATCTTCTCTCGGGCAATGTATTACACATGTGCAGACTCGTCTCACTCGAAAGTCCCCCACTCGATCATTATTTAAAAGCTCCCATTGTCCGGCCATCGGTTCACTCATATGCTCCTCGACCATCAACCTAGCATTTGCTCTTACTCCTCAGCAGTACGGATACATCAAAACCATGGCGACAGAATCTTGGGAAGTACTTGTCCAGATCAAACAGGCCGAAGCCGCGGCCAAAATACCTTTTCCATGGCGTCTCCCTGCTGAATACACCAACATATCCGAGACGGCCAGGATCAACGTGCTGGACGTTCCGCGTCGTTGTGGTCTTCTGACCTCTAAACAATTAGAAATTACTGAAAACTACGATGCCACCTCGCTTCTAGAGAAACTAAGTCGCCAGGAACCGTCGGCCTACGAAGTTACGGAGGCATTTTGCATTCGTGCTGCGATTGCACAGCAGGTGGTATGACTTCTCTCTCCAAGGTCCATGACAATGGCGCCGCTGGCTGACAGTTGTACATAGACCCGGTGCCTCACAGAGACATTCTTTGATCTCGCACTTCAGCGAGCGAAAGATCTGGATCGGCATTTGCAAGAAACTGGGCAGCTCGTGGGACCCTTGCATGGATTGCCCATCAGCTTCAAAGTATGCAAGAGCCTCTCATCATTTCTCCGCGCGCACGCTAATGTGTGTGACTTCCATTCAGGACTGTTTCAACGTCGAAGGGGTTCCCAGCACAATTGGATTCACCTCTTTCATCAAGAATAGCCCTGTGAAATCGAACTCAGCACTTGTGGGAATCATCGTGGGTCTTGGGGGAATCCCTTATGTCAAAACAAACATTCCACAGACCATGATGGTACCCACTCCCTTCACTTTTTTGCTCTATCTGTATGAATTTCTAACCTTTCAAAGGCAGCAGACTCTCACAATTTCGTTTTCGGAAGAACACTGAATCCCCATAGTTCTAATCTGACAGCAGGGGGAAGTTCAGGCGGAGAAGGGGCACTGATCGCCATGCGAGGATCCATACTAGGTATCGGTACCGATATTGCTGGATCGATTCGTATTCCAGCCATCTGCAATGGGGTATATGCTCTGCGTCCTTCAGCGGATCGTATTCCATATGGTGGCCAGACAAGCTCTGGCCGACGCGGTATGGTTGGGATCAAGGCTTGCGCTGGGCCTCTAGCTACCCTCTGTTCGAGATTTGGAACTTTTCATGTCACTTATAAGTAACGCTGATCCGTGGAAAGTGGATTCATCGGTCATTTTCTCGCCATGGCGGACTGTAACTTCGAAGTCGCCGCTGCGTCTAGGTGTGATCCGGGAAGATCCTCACTTCCCACTGCATCCACCAATTCTTCACAACTTGGAGCGAGCAATCCAAAAGCTTCAAGCTGCAGGTCACCAGATTATTCCACTGGAGACACCATCAATCAAGGACGCCTGTGCACTGGCATTTCGCATGTTTGCCATGGACCCGGCCGGCACTGCATTCCAGCACATTGCTGCCAGTGGAGAGCCGATCATACCGGCGCTGGCTTCAACATCTCTTCCGCATGAATACCTGCAATATGACTATGCTCCGCTAACCCTTGAGGGACTCTACGATCTCAACGAGCAGCGGTCCAAGCTCAAAGAGGAGTTCCGCTCACTGATCGTGCAAGCCGACATTGATGTCATTATCATGCCCGGTTACCAGGGAACTGCCCAAACTCATGATCTCTTTGGGTTCGTACCGTACACTGTTCTCTGGAACCTCCTTGATGTAAGTGCACCCAAATGATCCCTACGAGGTGATCCATCACTAATACCACTCAGTACCCGGCTTGCATCGTGCCATTCGGAAACGCAAACAAGACTGCAGATGCAGCATTCATTCGAAATGTGGAGTACAGACCACCTTGTATGTATAGAGACTCTCTTTCAAAACTACAATTGAAGCTGACTTTAAATGACTAATAACCAGATATGCCGGATGAAGTGGAAAGCGCACCTTGCTGTGTGCAATTGGTGGGCCGAAACTTGCGTGATGAGGAATTAATGAAAGCTTCTCGAGTTGTTGCGGATATACTCGCGGCTCAATAAGATACTTTCTGGTACCAGGGCTATACATTCTTTTCCTGTTCTCCGCGTTTTCTCATCCTTGGAGAACTCAAGATTCTTCAGTCACGCATGTTATCTCTATGACACTGTATCAATTCAAGGCTTCCGTGATATACACATGGACAGGCGTGGACACTGCTTGAGTGGTGACCACGTACATTCCACATTTATGTGTAGGCACTCATGTGACTGATCTGATCAATCTGGTAGCCTCTCTTATGTAGAAACTCATGAGCTCCGGGGCGGTTAGACGTCTCTAGGAATTTGACCTCTGAGATCCACTAGCGTCAGTTCTTAAAAGGGCCTCAATCTGCACCAGCGATCATTGAGATGACTTCTTTTCGGCGCGTCTTGTTACATTTGCTATTCCACTTTGGACGAATAGTCAATCAATTACGTAGCCGGGCAACTGCGGAATGTCCGTTACAATGAGATTGAAACCTGAGATTTACGTAATTCAAGCTGGAAGAAGCTTATCAAAAACTTTTCTCAGCATCAATTGCAAGATGCAAATATCTTGTCTATCCCTTCCCTTGTTTTTCTCCTCGGAGACTCGGTTCAATCAGCCTCCACGATATCCCTAAAACCACCCTTTTAAGTATGGATTGTAGGTAGACGACGGCCAACCAACCATCAAATTACGGTGGCTGGAGAGACCGGCTTTGAAGCATATCTCTCTTTGCAAGAGCGAAAAGCCTGAATGTAGGCGCAATGGAGCAACCACTTTCATTTTCTCGCTCTGATGGAAACAGGTCCAATCCCTGGAGTCTATACAAAGGGTTCGCGAAAACTTCCGCCCATTTGGAGATTAACTTTGGACAATGTAGGATCCATAGGATGGTGTTCTGGGTGACACTATATCAAAATGATGAAAAAGAGATAGGATAGAAGAGAAATATAATTAATCCACACAGAGTTGCCAAGTTCATCGCATTGGCCGCCGCAAGTTCGACTCCGAAAATCCCCAACACTGATATGTGGGCGATCCCGCGTGCGTGTATAACATGAAACAAGTAACAAAATCAGAGTGATATGTGCTCTTCGTTCTCGTGCTTCTGTAGGAAGAGCGCCTTCATCGATGGATAAGTGCGCACTTCCAACTCCTCTGATAGCACAGAACTTCCTTCCGCATTACCCAGCCCATACGAAATAGCATTAGGTATGCTATCTTTCACGCGTTTAGCAAACCAAATTGCATGAATCCAATCAATCCAGACTTCAAATCCGGTGCCCTGATCGTGAATCATGATGGTTGTTCCTTCTTCCGCCCGGAAGCGATTTTCGAGGCTGATCAATTCTTCCTTACCCCATGAGCTTCCAACCTTAGCATTAAACATGATCTGACCTTGACCTCTTCGGATGGACATATGGAAGATTGTCTCGTTCGCGGCATCTGTTATGGAAATTTGAGTCATGTCGATTCCTTTTCCAGGGCTGACCAAGTCGACAGTCGCTGACTCCAGCAAAATGACGCTATCAGCCTTGAGCTGCCTGTGGAACTTGAGGGTCGTGTGCAGTGGCAAATTAGCTCGAGGCCTTGCTGGTCTTGAAGATGTCAGAACTCGAAATTTCTTGTATATAGCTCTCCGTATCAACCCACCTTGGAGCTGGAGGTTGGACCTTGGGCTGTTTGAGCTCTGGATCCAATGCTCCATCTGCGCCACCCGTTATGGTGGGCTCTTTTTGGAAGTTGTCAAAAGCTGGCGGTCTTGCAGGGTTTTCGAAGAACTTGGTAGCATTACTGCTGCCAATTATCTCCAAGTCGAGCTTTTCAACTTCATAGCGAGGCAATTCCTTGCCATTCTGGTATCTCATCAGTTCCATCACTCATCTGGTCCTCACATATCAAGGTCCCTCACCTTGACAACTCGCCAGTAGGCCCTTTTCTGTAGATAGCTGAGAACCTCCTCTCGTGTCAATGACTTGAGTTTGCGACCATCACGTAGTAGCTTGTAAAGTACAGGCGTAAGCGGGATATAGGCGGTCGACTTGATACGAACTGTCTGGCCGTTTTTGCAATTTCCACAGACAGTCGCCCCGTCAAGCTCCGGTTTCTGGCTGAAGTTGTATACTTCTGCAATTAGATCCGTCACTGGCACTTGAACTCCGTCTTCTTGTGCCAAATACAGCTTGACCCAGAATGGCTGCCCTCCCAAAGCATACCTGTTTTTGTCATGAGCTTCATACCTTGAAAAACCTGCTTGGAGACGACCGACTCACTTCACAAATCGAATACTAAATGCGAAGTCCGTGATCTGCAGTCCGCCATCAATTTGCTCCACCCCATCGGGAGTCGGAGCCTTCGAGTCTAAGGCCAGTTCTCGGGAGACACCGTACAGCTTGTTAATCGCGGTATTCAGATCTTCCGCAAGCAAGGATTGATCAAAGGATTCATTTTGATAGTATTTGGCATTCCATCTTTGAATTTCCGGGTATGTGTACCCCAGATTGGGAGTGTGTCGCACACCATCTGGGGTCCAGTAGTTACCTTCTGCATCCAGTCTGAAGGGCTGCAGAGGTGTATCGGCGCCAACTGCATGCTCTTTGCCGAAAGAATCCCGAAATAGTGGCGTTATCGGAGGGGATATTGGTGAGCCATTTTTCTGGGTTCAACGCTTGCCAGATAGCAAAAATGCGATCGATATTACTGCGAGTAAAAAACTTGTTAGCTTCGTATCAATGCGCATTGCAGGATGAATGACAAACAGACCAATGGTGCAGGAAGAATAGAGGATCAAAGGACGCGACTGGTACATTTCCCATGTGCCCCTCGGCACCAGTCCATCCGTGAATATTGTTGTGTATCTATTTGAAGCTTTCTATTAATTCAACTGAGCTGTTGAACCTGGAAGAAAAGACTCACGTATTCGATATTCAGATCTTCATCCACACTTTGGTCTTTCGAGGCGGGATTTGTACTCGCAAAAGTAGTGTAATCCATGGGCACCGTGAGCAGTCGGTAGACCATCTCTGCAGCAGGACCATGATTCTTGTCATTGTACCCCATGTGTGCGTTGAACGCATCGGCAACTTTGCGGTTGTTGACCACACCGTGACGCCAGCCTTCGCTAGTAGGCTTCTGATCTTCTTCGTCGGGCCATCTGCTGGTACCAATCGCATTGCCAAACTAATTTTCATTAGATGAAGAGATCATAACGGGGTACATCGTTGGACAGGCTTACATTTTTGTACTCTTCTTGATCTGCGTCGTTGGCCCAAGTGTTCTCAGTGCCAACACCTTCACTCCGCATGGGCTTATCTGTTGGCATACGGAATTGGAACAAAGGATTGTCAATGCGCATTCTTCCCCCTTCTGGCTTCGGGACAGTTATGGTAGGATACTTGGCAAGGTCGGGAACCCGACCACTTCTCGCCCAATCCCAGAATGGAAGACGCCAGGCGTCAGCCTTTTCCCGCCAAGCAGCTTGCTGGTCCTCTGGAAACTGGGGAATTACTTCCATGATCATGACGTCGTATATGGCTTGCTATAGATCGGTCAATGTCGAACTTGGGTTAGAGGCTTGGGGCTTCGGCTAGACCTCGAAGAGAAGAACATATGGCCTGTGCCAAATTGGAAAGATGATATGCGCATGGAAGCAGTATCCATTCTTCATGGGCTCAGGACTGGGGTCATCCCAGCGCACAAAGGGTTGACCGTGAATACCTTGATGCATGTCAAACTCAAACTCAGAAAATGGAAGAAACAGTCAATCATTACCCGCGACTTGGAAATAGGATAGTCTCTCCTTGGCTATAGCGAAAGATCAGCACATCTATAGGCGAACTTGACGGTGCGAGAGAAGGATCAAATGTCACATACGATCCAATTTCTGTAGTTTATCCAAGCCCATGATAAAAAGATCAACCTGCCCTTTATTGGACCACTTGGAGCTCCAATCGTCAATGTTTTGACGAGCAAAGACTCGTCGGTTAATTCCATCTTCAGCCCTGGATTCTGTGTCTGGGAACCGCGCCCTGACAGGGTAGTACTCATACGACGGCTCAGGTACCATCATGTCAGTATTTCGGGCTGGTGTGTGGGAACGTCCGTTGTAATTTTTTCTCAATCGTCGGCCGAAGAGGTGCATTCGCGCGTTGAATTATACAAGAAAAGAAAAAAAAAGGGATTGCCGGGGTTCTCGGTATGAGAAGGGTCTTATGTACTCTTTTTTTCTTTCCTGGTCTCGAGCACGAAGCGTTGGCGTCAATCGTTGGTTGTAACAACGGCGGGCTCCTGGAACCTGTGGAAACGTTGCAGGAAAGGCTGCTCTGTCACACTCGACGCAACCCTCATCGGCAGCTCAAGTTGACTATCTTAGCTCCATCACTTGAGACATGCCGTGGGAAATATTTGGCGAGGATCTGTCACGGTGGCCAAGTTTACAATTGACAAATAACACCTCAAGGCGTTGCCCCGAGGTGCCAGGGATCTTTGGACTCCAGGCATGTCCCGTCCAACCAACCGAGTCGCTCGGGATTCCCACTTGGGCTGCATCGTGGCTTTTTCCTTGGGTGCGAACGGCGGTTCATGACACCCACCGTGATTACCAGCCAGCCACACATAGTCGGGGGGCTGCCTGAACCCCTCCACAATCTAACATTCTCTTCCAATGCCAACCAGGGGCATCTGCTGAGTGATTGTCTGGTCCAAAGACTCGCAGCCCACGTTGGCCTTGAGACGTACTTCTTGAAGCTACCCACACGTTGAGCGAGATTGCTCGAACACCTGCAACCATATGATGCGCTGGATACGAAAGCGCCAATCCGGCGCATCCAAGGTCCGTTGAAGGGTGTTTGCTTTTCGTATTCGACGCTATCTTGGATGATCAACGCCCAGATGTCCTCTTCTTGACCACAATGTACGTTCCATTCGTATGACCCCGGTCGCTGATTTCTTTCGCTGAGCTATACACATCTAACGCGCTTTCGATGCTCAGACAGTGAAGATCCGGAGGCACAATCAGCCGCACTTGAGGTATGTTCTCGTTTCTTCTACTTGTCTAGACGAACACGAGATCCATAAACTTCCCAAATCATCACCAACTGTGCGCAATCACAATCTTGGACTGCCATCTAGATAGAACAAATTTCTTCTGCAGCCCTTCTCGCCTGTTGGGTCGGGTAATACCGTGCCAATTAGCCCAATAGACTCCTCGCTAGTCGATGCAAGTCGCTTCAAAGTGACTTGGTTCCCATGGTTTGCAAAAAACGATGGTCAGTCCCTATCAATCGTCCCACGATGTAAGCTCGTTCAGGGCTGCCATCCCGGTTGTATTCAACTGTATAAGTCTGGGACGTTATTAGCCAAGGAGATTCGGTGTTCAAGGAGAAATTCAGAGGACCAAAGTTACCTCCACTCTCGCTTCTCCATCCGCCTCTGAATTTATGGGTGGAATCCGGTCCGATGGTCCAGAAGACAGCTCCATGCTGTCCGGATAGAAGTTCTGATTCTTTCGAGGCTGGGTCGAAATGCAGATGGCATGCTGGTAGGATAAAAATCCCCCGTTGGCCAAAATCAGCCCAGTTTGCCCGGCTCCTCGACGCAAACGTCGTACCATCTCAGTGAGTGCCTGTGGAGGAATTATTAAATTGATCGCATCTCATACAGCATGGAGATCTCATACATGCATCGAGTAGTTGTTCCCAGCGCCCCCGAAGAAAGTGAGCCCACCAAGGACCGTGATGGGTTTCTTTGGCTCGGTGATGGACAGACCCAGATGATGGCAGGCAAGTTTTGGCACGATGGGAAAGCAGGAGTAGAAATCATAGAGATCGATTTCATTAGCAGTGAGCTCGCTGGCACGAAGACACTGATCGAGTGACTTCGAGATGGCCGAGCTTTCGAAGAAATTGGGTCGCTCCCAAACTGCTTCACGTTAACTAGTGGCTGCTGAGAGGTGCAGGGTGCTCACGCACATAATTCGCGCTCCTTGAATCCAGCACCTCCAAGTGGATATATCCATTTCTCACGCGGAACCTGTAGTTCCTGGGCAAATTCGGCGGAGGTCAAGATACAGGCCGCCCCCAAGTTGACAGTGTTGAAGGCGTTCATCAAAAGTGGATCTAGTTGCAGCCGTCAACAACGTGCCTCTGGAATTGTTTCCAACAGACTGACATGGAAAACAGATCATGCGATTCCTTTCGGACACCGTTCCAATTGTCTGTAAAGACTCCTCTCCTTTACCATAATTCCACGAATTCGGGTTGGAAGCCGCGACTTTGCTAAATCCTGCGTAAAGGGCGGTCGACTCGTCATGGTTGTCCTTGATCGATTGGCCACGATGAGCGCGGAATCCGTTCTCATACAATGGATAAATATGGATAGGTGCGCCCACGGAATGTATGCCACCAATGTCTGAGAAGAGTTCTTAGCGATGAGGCTCCGCCTAACTGGACACAGACAACTCATACCCTTCCCTAACTCCCTGGTAGTCGGCGAGAATACACTTTCCACCGACTCTGCTGGTGAGGTCCATCCACGGGGTGGGACTTTTCCAGCTTTGACGCAGGCAGCCACTACATCATCAGCATGACATGTGTGGAATGTGAAACATAATGGTGTTCGTTCTTACGAGAGGCCAAGGCTTCCGCTCCTGTCAGTACGGCGACTTTGTTCTCGCCGGTCGCGATTCGACGAGCAGCTTCATCCAACAGCTTAGCCGGCTGATTTCCACCGTGTTCACTGTAGCTTCTATGCTTCGTTTGAATTCCCAGTTTTTCGGACAGAAGTCCCGGTAGATCTGAATAGGGCCAAGTCCAAGTACGAACGACGTCTATACTATCGATGCTGGAACGTATAACGTCGGCAAATTGAGTTGAGATGCTAGCATCTTGGATGCATCCCTGAGATTTGACGTGTTAGGGAGACTAGATTGACCCGGTTGTGAGAGAACATAGTACCTCAATCGCCTCAAGCATTAGAGTCGCCGGCTCTTTTGCATCCTCAACTGCCGTTGACCGATTCTTGACATCGGCAACGCCAATAATCACCGGTATCATGCTGTGTCGGTATAAATTATATATGGCTAATCAAAGAGAATCCACGAGGCTTAATGACCAAGAGATATAGGAATGCAACGAAGTCCATGGATACACCGCTATCTGAGTAGCGGGACATGGGCCTGTGCGCAGTGTGAAGCAGTGAGATGAGGTTGACCCTCGGCCCGAGCAGCGTTCGCATGGGCAGCAAATGTCTGGGCAGATGGTAAGCATCGGCAGGCCCCGATGACTGTCCATGGACCTACATCTTGAACCAGAGGCAGGACGAGGAACCAGATCACTCATATCGACATAATCTTAATAATTGAATGTTTAAGTCGGGTAAATTATATACACAGCCTCCGTCTCGTGCGATTGCCGTCGTCACGTCACAGACGCGACGGAACCCATTTCGGTCGCGTTTTGCGGGCAAAGGCCTCGACACCGATTTTGAAATTCTCCCCGGCGACTAACTTGTTCCCATATTCCTGTCTTGTCCTCGATGTTGCTTGCTCAACGCTGGGGTTCTCCCATCCTGACGCAGAAACGGGTTAAGGTGGGGTTCGGGTTCAAAGCGGGGGTAACGAAGCGCTTACCTTCTCTCAACCCTTGTCGGCTAACGATGATACCGTCTGGAGAAAAGCTTGTGATGCGACCCGCTAGATCCAGGCATTCCTCTACAACGGATGCCGGAGTCTGGGCGACCCGATTGATCAAGCGCCACTCGAGAGCTTCCTGCGCAGAAAGTCGTCTTCCCGTCATCGCAATTTCCGATGCAAGCTGAAGGCCCACGATGCGAATGAGTCGTGGAAGACCACCCGCAGCGGCGTATAGTCCCACGGCGACTTCGGGCAGTCCAAACTGGGCGTCGGGGGATGCCACTACCATATCACTGCGCGGATTAATGCCAGGTCAAAAAATTCCTCGGAGATTGTTTTTACCAGTTGAGACAAATTTCAAAGCCGCCCCCGAGAGCGAATCCATTGACAGCCGCGAGAACGGGCTTCTGTAGATAGAAAGAACGAAGTCAGTCGAATGAGGGGAGAACATAAGAGGGCGTAGGAACAGATGCTAGTGGAACAACCACACCTTTCCCCTGCGCTGGCTTAGCCCCATGAACCCGGACGGTGGATGGTTCATAACGGCCAGCTGCTCCGCTGTCTTTGGTCCGCGACGAGATGCATTCTGCTCCGCTAGATCTTGTCCTGCGCAGAATGCTTTCTCTCCGGCGCCGGTGACCACGGCCACAAGGAGCGTTGGCTCCTCATCAAACCACGTAAACAGATTGTGTCCGTCCCAATGAGCATCGGACGGTAATGAATTCCGCTGTTTCTCCCGGTTTATGGTGACCAGCATGACACCATGTTTGGGGAAGGACAATCGGAAATGTTTGGAAACCGGAGGCGGGGAATGTAGCAAGTCTGCCATGTTCGCTATATGTTTTGGACCGTCGTGATGGGTTTTTCGATAAAAATTGGAGAGCTTGCCAGGTCTCCGAAGAAGAATGTATAGCCTGTATGAATAGAGACGAACCGTTGTTCCCAACACAAGACAGTGAAAGTATGGGCTTATATGCAGATCAGGGCCACATCCGGATTGAGGGGGGGGCTCGAATGTACCTCGGTCGCTTGGATCCTACGGGGAACATCACGAACAAGGGGAGACTTGAGCCCGTTTAGACAGATGGAGACAGAGTAATTCGAGGATGAGCGTGAATTAGTCCTTCCGAGTGATAGCAAATGTCAAAGATGAATTGTTTCGCAGAATATGACTACTGACCATTGACTTACCCCAGAATGCTCGGGCTTGTGGAAAACCCGTATCCTTCATGAAGATAATGGGAGAGCTTGTCGCCGCTTGTTTTCTTCCTTTTCTTCCTTTTCTTCCTTTTCTTCCTTATCTATCTTTTCTTTTTTTCTTTTCTTTTTCTTTTGGTAGCAAAGGGAGAGGATTTGGAGTCCAGAGCCCTTGGCAGCGTCCACGACATGAAGAGATCCCCGGAAATAGTTCACCATGGACATAAATTCACCCAATGTACAGGAAGGAGGTGCAAGAGAGCACTGAGTACGAGTCCCATACATCCAGTACCGATGTATGCCTTGATTGGTGTTTCCATTGGGCCACGAGGGACAATTTGATATGTAAATCATCATTGAGTTATTTGATCTATAGAGTATTTGACTGAGGGAACGTTTACGGTCTTCGAGCCAGAGAGGTTTGCTTTCATCGGGAGTCGTGAGCCTACCTTTGCTTCGCACTTTCACCCGCAAGTTCTCTGGAGAGACGAGCGCCTCCCCTAATTTTCACCGCGGCATTTGGTGAGCCTATGGCCATTGGCAAGGACATACCAAACATCTACCTCTCACGATTGCGGGGTGGCGAGGAGAACTTTCTTATCGTTGCGGGGATCCCGTTTTTTCTTCTCCCTTCCAAACGTCCGGGCGAACATCTCCCGCACCTAGACTCGCCATTCTTACATCCTACATCATCCTCGATCCTTCGCGATAATCGGACCCAGCTCGACCGTATCCTTCTTTCCCGCCGATGGGCTCTCCTCACGAGGCCATGTAAGCATCGTCCTTTGCATGCCGCGCAGAAAAGCCGCCGACCGCACGGGTCCGGTGAAAACCCGGTCTCGCAGCGGATGCCGAGAATGTCGAGCAAGTCGAGTACGGTGTGACACCAAGAAGCCCGTGTGCACGAGATGCTGGGAGAAAGGATTACCGTGTTCCACCAACCTGGTCCTGAAATGGGAGTCGGAATTCGTGAGTCGGGGCATGGCCTTTGGTCGTGCCGGTGTCTGGAGTAAATCCCGAGACGCAACCTCATCGGCCTCGGAATCATCGCACACGCGCAACTGGGTTTCCATGCCATTCATTCGACCATGGGGATTTGTCAACGCCGGAATTGCCACATTCGAGCACCCGGAGCAAGCGGACGTGGTGCTGAACGAAATGCAAGCCCTCGTTCCTTTGACGACTAGCAACAGCACTCGGTCGGCGGGTGAGTTGGCCATTTCCCATTCAAATCTGGCACCATCCGTGTCGCTGTTCCCAGCGCTTTCTCATCTCGGGAATGGAGAACTATTCGATTATTATCTCCAGCAGGTGTGTCCTCGTACGACGGCGAGCTCAACGGAGTCTTCGCCATTCGCATCGGTGATCTTGCCCTTCAGCACATCCGCCTCCTCTACACTCTTCAAGGCCATTCAAGCCTTGGGCGCATGCCATCGGTCGCGAGCCGATCCTTCCTACAGTCCTCTTGGGCTTCGCCTCAAATCTGAAACTTTGCGCGACCTCCGCCGTCGATTAGCCCACGAGGGGTCCTTGAATTGCGCCGGTGATCCCGAAGTCCTGGTGATCATGATGATGCTTTGCCTATATGAGATTGTAGATAAATGCGATCAGCACTGGACAATCCATCTCAAAGGCGCCAAGGATCTAATTCGCCTTCGAAGGCAACAAGCAGCAGCCCTCACCGAGTCTCCTGACGCACCAGACCCTGCGACCGCTTTTGCGGAGCACTTCTTTGCCTTCCAGGACGTCATGGGTCGCACTGCTTGTGCCAAGGAGGTCTTATTCGGCAGTGATTACTGGAAAGCCGATGATAGAAATATTGACTTGTGGATGGGCTGCAGTCCAGAATTGGTCAATATCTTGTCGACGATTACTGATATGAGTCGGATGAGACGACAGCCGGGTTCAAACGAGACCCGCGCTACGTTTTCTGTACGTGCCGCTGCTCTTGAAAATCAACTCGAGCACTTGGTCCAGGAAGTTGAAGGCGGTGACGACGAGATCTTGGCATCTGCAGCGGAGGCAAAGCGACTGGCAGCCTTAATTTATCTACACTGCGGGCTATACGGGGCGTGTCCTACCACTCCTCTGGTGGTGGACTACGTTCGCCAGATCCTTCGCCTGGTCTCGGATCTGCTGGACCGTGAAGTCCTACCCAGTATGACCTGGCCCGTTTTCGTGGCGGCCGTAGAGTTGGACCCTTCGCATGATGAGCTCTGGTCAGATCCTCACCGCGGACCGACATCTGGGCGGGCAACTGTCCTGCGAGCCTTGGCGGCCATGTCCGAATCCACCATCGCCAACATCGCCCGAACGCGGGCCGTCATTGCCTCAGTGTGGCAGGCGCGCGATCAGGACCTCGTGAAAGGTCCGGCGCAGGGCGAATCCAACGACTGGGAAAAGTACGTTGTGCCGATCAGTGATGCCATGAGCTTAGCGTAATTTTTTGTATAGACTAGCGGTTCTATAATTGTACAGCATTCTCTATGTCCATGCCTCAATTCACTGATTACTCCGGTTATAAGGATGAATAAAATCGCAAGCCACCTAAGGTTTAGGTCGTGTATCATTTTGAATCATGGGTATCCAATGTAAAGAAAGGGGGGGTGGGGGATCCTGTGTACAGAAGCAAAGGTAGTGTGGAGCCAAACGTTGGCTAAGATGGATGTGACTCTATGCTGGTCTGCTTTCTCGAATTGGGGCCAAGTAGCGAATGAGGACTCCGCTTTCCTCAATTAATGGAACGAGGCTTTCCATGCGCACGGGCTTTGTCAAGAACATGTCCATGCCGGATCCTATTGAATCGCGTTGCAACTCGGTCTGCGCGACGCCAGTCAGGGCCACGATCTTGACATGGCTCTCCACCCCGGATTTTATCTCGAACTCGCGAATACGTCTTGCTGATTCGAGGCCGTCCATAATTGGCATAGAAATATCTGAAAGTTTAGTCAGTTGGTGAAGATTACTCACGAGTAGGCGGCACGCCAGAAGAACAGAGTCCACTTACCCATGAGAATCATAGCAATCGAAGAGGCATTTGCTTTGAAGTAATTCAAAGCCTCCAATCCATTAGATGCAGTATCACAAGGGCATCCTAACTTCTTCATGAACTCAACCAATACTTTGACGTTGATGGCGTTGTCATCCACGATGAGGATCTTCATTGCCGAACCATACTGAGGATGGGAGATGTGACTGTCCCCATTGCGCCCATTCAGCGAAACCTGAGAATGACTGAGCTCCAGATCTTTCAATTGACTGTTGAGATCTCTCATATGTGTGTTTAGGATGGGATCGTGCGGCATTGATTCTACCGAAAGATCTCCTTTGCTGTCGGCCATCCGTCGCCGCCGTTGACGTTCAAAACAAATCTCAATTGTCCGTGCCAGCTTGCGAGGTCCACATGGCTGACTGACAAACTCGACAATGTCCTTGCTTTCTCGTTTCTGGGCCTCAAGAAACATTGAGTGTGCGATCCTTGGGGACGGACAAATAACTATCAGCGGAACCGACTGCCGCTCGTTTCTGGAGTTGACGATGGTGTCCATGTCCAAGTTGCCCTTGCGCATGAATTCAAGGGTCGATATGTAGAGCTCACAATGAACGGGACTCATTTCACTTGGCGGAACAGGAATTGCGTCCATCTTGAACCATTCATGGCACAGTTGTTGCAAAGATGATGATAGAGCCAAGTCCGAGTCCGAAGACATCGGACCTAGAAGACCGACCGGTTTCCCAGAAACAAGGTCTTTGGCTGCATCGAGGGGCGAACTGGTCCATGACTCCGGTGCATGAGATAAATCAGAAACATGGTCGAGATCGATCGAAACGCTTGCTTGGGTACCAACTCCCTTTAGGGAATCGATCTGGATACTACCCCCGAGAGACAAGACTGTTCGGTGGGTGATGTTTAGACCAAGCCCATTACCGATCGTCATGCTGTTTTCTTGCGAGAAGGCGCTGAAGAGGTTGTGTTGCAGGAACTCAGATCCGATACCGCAGCCGGTATCTTTGACGGTCACCGCAACCTTTGATCTCAGGGGTTCACCATTCTCTCCTCGGGCCACCGGAGATGCCTTCACGGACACATGTATGTGACCATTGGTTGTATATTTCAGTGCATTTCCAACAAGGTTCGTGATAATGACATGCCAGGCTCCTGGTCTTGTGGAGAATTTCCAATCACATGCGCTGTCGATATCAGTAATAACGCGGAGTCCACCCGGCGAGCTATCCTGGATCGCATCAATAGATTGTGGAACATTGAAAAATGAATAGCCCGCAAAGACGGTTTCGATTGCGTCTTCAATGACTACATCGAGTTGGACATAGGATTTTTCATCATCCTTGCCCGTTTGCGAGCCAATTTGTGGCACCGCGGGCTTTTCATCTAGGGGTGCCTTGTAGCCAAGACGGACGAGAAGCTGAGACGCGGTTGTATTCTTGAGGTCCTTGATACTCGCGTATTCCAGAAGTTGGTTAATTGAGCCGAGAAGTGTGAAAGCACAAGACGAAATGGTGTGGACAAACTCGCGCTGCAAATTGTTCATAGCAGCATTAGTCAAGAGGTCTGTCATGCCGAAGATTCCATGAAGAGGAGAGCGAAGTTCATGGCTGAGCCCTGCCAGCAGGTTCGTCTTGGCCCGCTCCGCAAACATTGCACCAAGCCTGTGTACTTCCGCCATGATGCTGTTACCGAATGCAAACATAAATGCTAATTCGTCGTCGGATGTGAAAACCCGATGAGGGGATTTGGTCCATGCAATGCCCGCGGAATACCACCGTTCTTTATGCGAGTCCCACATAGGCGAGAAGATGATACTTCGAGAATCGGGGGCAAGCTGAAGAAGTGTTTCTGCATCTTGACGTAGAACTGTTTTCCGAGTCCTTTTATATCTCTTGCCTCGATTGCGAGAATCACTCCCCGAGCTAGTTCGATCACCACTGCGCTGCAGGAAGTTCTTGAAGGTGCTGTCGCTCGTATCACTGGACGAAATTGAGCCGTCCTCGGAGAAGTTGAAAATCTTGCCTTTGGGGTACCTACGCAGAAGGCCCGCAAGGAATGACTCAGACAATGCAATCTTTCTATCGTTTTTCAATTCATCATTGACGCTTGAGGCACTGGAGGTGGCAAACCCCAATATTCCACATGGATTCGATGTCTTTTCGCCAGAGTCATCGGAACTGGCCGTACGACAAATTCTGCGCCTGATCGAAGCTGGAATGTGTTCATCGCTGGATGAATAACTGTCTCGGCCACTACTGTCATAATCGGATCTGTCATCGCTCACAAATGCGCCGGGTGAGCCGAAGTTGGCGTCAAAAAAGATGGCCGCTTCGACTTCAATGCTTTCACGAATGATATTTGCGGCGCGCGAGAAAGCCTTTTCGACCAGCTGCTTCTGGGTTTCCTCTGGTAGCTGGCCCGTCTGCTCATGACCATTTGAAACGGTCAATTCCGGAACTGTTTGCATGGAACGCGGGCGCGTATGGCTTTTTCTCACTTGCTTTGGAGCCTGCGCTTGCCATTGCTCCTCACGTCGGTGTCGAGTTGTACCCGCATCAGGTCGCATCGTCAGATTTCTCACAGCACCACTTCCGGTCATAGTCCGAGCGAAGTCGTCCGAAACTTGCTTATCTTGCTGCTCCTGGTTGATCATCCCCTCTGCGTCACCGTCCTCTACTGGAGGGCTACGGCCCTCGGTAGCATCGAGCCAGGAGTGCCGCAGACTGCCTTTGCCTTCCAGAAAGCTTCCGAGTCCGACAATCATGCGCTCCGATCGAATGTGTTGTGACTTCGATCTGGCCGCATCCAGATAATCCATCACCGTGGTCGCCATATCTGACATGAACTTCATCAAATTTGCGTCCAAGGATCCACGGGGTTTGTCGTCGAGAATGGTGTAGGCACCTATCACAAAGCCCTTGGGACTGATGATGGGGCTCGATGCCAAGAACCGAAGATTTGGGTAACCCGTCACATCGGGGTGACTCTCAAACTGCTCCTCGTGGGTGAGGTCGGGCACAATCCACACATGATCGCCGGGGTTGTCTGCAGGCGGCACAACGGGTGTCCAGAAGCTCCGATCGTACGACATGGTACAGCTCCCAACCCAAAGTGAATCGCAAGGCTTATCGTTCGTGTCATCCTGCAGGCTAAGGGATTGTGTCGCTTCGGTCAGGATGTGCAGTTCGTCTCGGCCGTAGAGAGAGATCAGCGCGCGTTGGGCGTCCAGTCGCAACGTCCCTAATTGAGCGAACGCGGTGAGGACAGGGTCGGGCGATGATCGTGCATCGATGTCCGTGGAGCAAGTGCCTTTTGAGACATGCTGTAGCGGCGTTTTCAACCGGGACGGCGGTAAGTATCTGACAGGCGCGTTCTTACAGTCAGTCTACGTGCTCCCACCGCAGGGCCTCATGGCCTCGGAGGGGGCCTAGGCTTTTATGTGCATAAGCTTCGGGTTTACCTACTTATAGAACTCCCGTTCTCTGGATGTACCATAGCTGACATGGGGTTGGAAAGGGAATGGCCGTGGCCGTGTCATCTTCCCGGATCCCTTTTGCGCCAGAGGGTGAGCCTGCTTAGTCCACAAATGGTTCTGGAAGCTTTGAAAGTACGAAAGACGGAAAAGATACGAAGAACAAGCACCCCCTCCTCCACAAAAAAGAAAAAAAGAAAAAAGAAAAAAGAAAAAAAGGGCGCGAACAATGTTGCAGCGTGGGGTCGATTCAACTCGGAGGCGCTGGCCCATCAATCACATTGCAGCGATGAGACGTGGGAGATTCAAACCACTCTGTTTCCCCATCGCCACCTTTCCGAGACGGGTTTAGCCGGCTCCAGGGGATCGCTCTATTTTCCTAAAAGATCAGTCAAAAGTTTGGAATGCTCCACTTCGGACTCGATACGAGCTTTACTGTACAGTCGAGGGCACCGTGTCGGCATGCAAGTCCGAGGGATCCGGCACTGTGAACAGGTCTCATCCATTTGATCAAAGTCCAGACTTTTCGTGAACTGACCCTCTCCTCCGTATCTGTTTATTCAGATTGCAGTTACAAATCTCTCCTGGTCTCGGCTGTCTATCGGAAATAACCCGGTGGGTGGCCTGATCCCTCGGCCTGGTCCTCTTGTTCTTGAAGTAGAAGCCTACGTCTCCTGTTGTGCGGGACGACTACGAGTCTCATTTCAAGAGGCCGGACCTCACCTATGAGATGGCAGGATGACTATGAAGACCCTCGTTCGTCTAGGAAAAAGGATGTCCGGACTCTATGTAGCTTCCGTATGAGCATCAACTGGGGCGGTCAAGCGCCTTTGACCTATCCGAAATAACTTTCAAAGCTACCTATATATGTCTTCAAGGCTACTATCACACTTTAATACTGACCCCTCGACGGTTGACGTCTACCCGGACTTCACGATCGATTTCGTATCGCGAGACAGCGCGGGGCGATCCGTTTTGGGTTTAGCGCCTCGTCGCAGCCATTTGCGCTTCATCGTGATCGAACCTCTTTGTTGAACAATGTCTTTTGTTATCTAGCCCTTCTATCGGACAATGGCGCAGGTCCGGCCTTCAGCGCCCGGGCGAAGCTCATCTGCTCATTTGTTTGAGAGCAAGCTCAGCCAACAACTCTCCCAACCAGAAACCGTCCGCCCGGAGCATACGCGCTCCCCAAATCGCGCTCTCTGTCCGACGCTTCGAAACCAACGACGCCCCAGCCGTCGACGGGGGATCCTGAGCCGACCGCCCAGCAAAGACGATAGTGCGCTTCCTTCGTTGCCGGCAACACCGAATCGATCGTCGAATCAGGCGAACCTGTCTCTAAACCTCTCCAACGCGCCTTCTCCTTTACTCCTTAACCGCGGACCTTTGTCACCAAAACTCGATTCATCTCAAAGTTATGGGTCGCCAGGGTCGGTCCTGCCTCGACGTTCACGAGGTCTTGACTTCTCGCGCGCGTGCACCAACCTTCATCACTCTACACTCGCAGAGTCCTCGCCCGACTCCTCCCCGACTGTTGGAGGACGTGGGATGACCATTCCTCAAAGACGTGCTTCACAAGGCTCTACCTCGATTCCACCGTTTTCCACCTCTGCCTCTGGTCCCGCCGAACGCACCGCCATCTCCAGTTCGGTGTCGAGTGTGAACATGATGGAATCCGACACCAGCAGCAGTGACGATGAGGACGAAGTCATGACGGGCGACCGTGACGATCCCATGCTCACCACACCGCAGGCGGCGCGGATGGGCAGCGGGCCGAGTCCTTTTGCAACGGGTAATATCCAAAGTCCTGGAAATGAGTGGATGGGCGGCTACTCACAAGCCGCAGCCAGCCTCATGAGCTTTCAGCGAGCTCGCTTCCGCAAGGGACGTAGTTGCCACAGTTCAAGCAGTGCCAGTGGGAGCAGCTCCAAGCCCAGTCCCGGGCCGCCTCATTCTCCTCCGATCATGAAAAGCGTCGAAAGCTCCACGGGGGGCTATTTCGGCCCGCGGCAAACAGCCCCTTCACGGCGGGAGAGTCTGAGTCTGGGCACGCGTGATCTTCGCCTATCAGATCTCAGTGACGATGGAGAGGGTCGTGCCGTTAGAGCAGGGAGTCCGACTGCCGCGACTCATTCAGACGGCGGACCACTGGGAGTGATTCGTCGCGCGGTCACTCGGCGAGGGAGCCTACTAGTAAGTGTTCTGGGTCGTCAACGATACTCAATCTCACCGTCTTACCATTGCAATAGCCCAAAACCAAGACATTTGCTCGTATTCGAGCTGCTCTCATGGAAGAAAGCGCGCCCGTCGACAGTGACATGAAACGGGAGGCAGAGGTCATCCAACAGGTTCGCGACACTGAGCCCGAGACCTCCCCTACACTCAGTGCTTTCCCATGCCTCCAGCCACCGCCAGATGAGGCAGCGCCGGACGTCGATCCCACTCACGCGAAGGCTCGTGAATCTTCCAGTAGCTTCAGCAAGCAGGCGAGCCGCAACTCGGGCGGGGTCGAATTTTGGAACTCGTTTGATGAGCGCTACCGCACTCCACCACCACCGCCGGTGCGCCAAACCGGCACCTCCCTAGCGGATGATGATATGGTGATGGACATGACTCCATCCACCACCATCGGGTCCACGGCCGACTCGAAAGCACGTTCCCGCTCGTCAACGCCCCATCCTCCTGGAATGGCCATTGGGGAGATTCGGCGCAAGAGGCGTCGGGACGACGACTTCGATCCCAATCTCTTCAAACGCCGGGCCGTATCTCCCAGTGTGAGTGCCCAGAGCAGCCCGATACTGACCCATTCCTCTGTGATCGACAACGGGCCTAATATCTGGGGGCCGCCCTCCAAGCTGGGTCCACCCTTCTCCGAACGTCCTAGTACAAGCTCTGATAATGGACATGGAGGCAATAACACTAATAATAATCGGACCACACCTCACGCGGGCGGCACCAAGCGTGTGGGTCTACAAGGCATGACCGAGGCCAGTGATGGCTTCATGAATATGAGCATCGAATGAATTTCACATGATTTCGAGATGATGCATTGCGGGAAAGTTTTCAAACTTGGTACCTGGCGAATGGCGCCTTTTTTTTTTTTTTGTTTTTGTTTTTCCATGTTATATTGGCATGGCGTTGGGGCAATTTTGATATAACGTTATTATACACACTCCTTTTTAAAGCGATGAGATAACTTACATTCTACTGGGCCATTGATGTGAATACTTGGGATTCAACTTGGTAGTTCTTTCTTGCACATTGCGAAGTAGAGTTGCCGCGCTTGAACCACGTGTGGATCGCTCTCCGCCCGCACTTGAGCTCCCTTTCTCCTACACCACAGCTTATCCTTCCCACCACCAGGTGCTGCACTTCTTCCTTGCTATGTCTTCCAATATTGAGCTTGCGTCTGCTTTTATCGAAGGAGCCCCCCCCCGGTGAGGTACGCCATTGTTCTGGGAAATCCACCCCGATTGTCCCTCCGCCACCCTGAAGATACCCGCTGACATTGGACCCGATTCCAATAGCTCGCCGATGTTGTTGCCGGTAATGCACCCTCTTTCCGCTCCTAGCCCTATCCCGTCAAATTGCGCATGACCATCATCATTGATCCCAATGTTGATGCTGACGCTCCGGCTACAGATGTACAGGCCCTGACCGAGGGCGATAACATTCTCTCTTCCCTCACCCCCGCATTCGAGCGCTACAATGAAAGCCAGCTCACCACTGTGAAGCTGCCCGGATCGAGCCAGGAGGTAGGTTCAGCAAGCAGATGCCTACTCTTTCGCACTGGCGGACGCTGACCTCGGCTTGCTCCAAGGTTATCATCAGTGAATTCAACAAGCTGGAGGGCAATCGCTATTTCGACTCGGAAAGCCAGACCTCGTTTGAGATCGACCATATCACACAGGTAGGGCGAGAGTGACCAGATCCGAACCACAACGTTTTGAAACTGACCACCTGGGTTTCAAGACCGCCTCTGGAGCGCAATCGGCGCCGTTGGAATCCCAGAATGCCGATTTAATGTAAGAGATCGAAGTTCATGTGGGACTTTTCGAAGGAAGACTAACCTTGCCACTCTAGCAAATCGCTTCTAAAGTCACTGGCCATCCACGCCCGTGAACATTACCCCAGCTGCTCCTACGGTGTCTACCCCATCGAAAATGATTCTGCTGTCGCTATATTGTTGGTAGCGAACCGATACTCCCCCAACAACTTCTGGTAAGTGAACCGTTGTAGCCTTGAGGAGCCTCGGGGATAGGCTGATGATCGCTATTACAGGAATGGCCGGTTCCGATCCATCTACCAAGTCCCCATCTCCTCTTCGTCCACGACCTTGACCGGCAAGATCCACGTCGATGTGCACTATTATGAAGATGGAAATGTGGCTCTTAACACCAACAAGCCCGTCAATGTCTCGGTCCCCTCAGTATCCGCCGAATCGATTATGTCACGCATCGCTACGGTTGAGCGCGACTATCAGGAGGAGCTGAATAAGGCATTCGTTCAGATGTCAGAGGGTGCATTCAAGGGACTTCGAAGACAACTCCCCATCACGCGACAGAAGGTCGAATGGGAGAAAATTGGAGGGTACCGTCTCGGCCAGAACATCCAGGGGAAATAAAACCGGAGTCGAGTGGAAGCGATATCATGCGGGTGAAATTATGAGCGTCGGAACCATATATCCCTACTGGACTACAATCTTCGATTCCTTGCACATTTATATCTTCTAAATGATGTTTGACATTGCATTTGGCCTTCTAGAAATTCCTGGGCTTGTGCAACCCGCAAGCCACCAAACTCTCAGTCCACTTCACACCTCGCATTGCTTATCAAAGTGTAGAATACAATTAGCACTCCGGGGAAATGCCTCCGTGTTTTTTTTACGAGAATCGGCGCTATGGTGCGCTATAAATCGCTTAATAAGCAATTTTTTCAATCTAGCGGCACACCCCGATGTCAACTCATATTTGCTTCTCACCACCGCCTCAGTCCCACGGATACAGGATGATTGCACACTTCAATCGCTTTGTCAACAATGGATCTGGCCTGGAGAAGACCCTGCGCCTGATCCAGTCTGTGGCGCAGATCGTTGCGGTCTTTAGTGTCGGGAGCACCGCAGTGCGATTGACGACCGTCAAGATGCAATTGGCCCTGAGTAAGTGACCAATGGTCCCTGAAATGGTGTAAAGGTGGCCCATGTATGCACTTGATGCTGAAACTGCTTTAGCAAGGAGGTATTTCCGCTTCTTTGGCTTCATTGAGTCATTTCAACGCGTGTCCGCGCTGCTAAGCAAGGAAGGAATGGGTTCTGTGCCGGGCTGGATTGATCTGGCCAAGTGGACTTGTTTCGGTCTTTATTTTGTGCTGGAAGATTTGACTATTGTAGGTTTTTCTCGACATGTTTGCAACTGTGCTAACACTGGAATAGTTGCATACCATGGGCGTCTATATTGTGCCTGGGAGGAACGTGTCATGCGTGAGGCGAATCAATTCTGGTTCTACGCTCTGTCCTTCTCTCTCATTGGCGCTGTTTACGCACTTCTCTCGCCTTCTCCAGCATCTAAGTCGAAAGGGAAGAAAGGTCAGAAGGATGAAAAGGTTACTGCGCCCACAGTCAATACTTCGGCTTTGGTGAAACAAATTGTGGTTGAAAGCTGTGATCTGTTGATTCCCGCGCAACTCTTGGGCTGGTATCCCACCGGTGACTTGATTGTGGGCATGACTATGGTTCTGAGCACACTGATAACTGGCAAGGCCATCTGGTCGCGGGTGTGAAATGACCTCGGGCGAAAGTGGGGATTAAAGTAACAGAGGCCTGGAAGTTTCGGTGTTGACCTTCGGATGGACATATAGAATGCTGGCAAAATATTCGCTGAGAAGACAGTCTATCATACATAAATTAGAAGCGATTCAATAGAGCCACTCTGTCTATTGCAGGATCTCAATCCAAGACAATTAGCCGGACGACTCAGTGGACCTAATGACCTCTTAGACACTCACACGTAGCCCTGAAGCTGCTGAGGTGCATTGAGTTATATTACTTGACATGTAAATTCACAATATACTATGTACCTCAAAAAGATTCTAATCTGTAGATGCTTACATTGGAACACTTTGTCTCCTCATACAAGAAGTTCGTCGAATCAATGAGGCGATTGACCAACCTCAGGAGTTGGCCGTGGTACAACCACGTGCTTTTCGAAGTGGCTCGGAGGAGCTGAGTTGATAATTTTTGAAAAGAAGCAATACTTCACACCGCCGCGTGTTTGGCCGAGTGGTTAAGGCGCTGGATTCAAGCTATTGCTTAGCACCGTTCAACGGAGTTTGGAAATCCCAGTCACGGAAGTGGCGCAGGTTCGAATCCTGCAGCACGCAATCTCTTTTTGCTTCGTTACTTTGATTCAAACTGTGGGGCCTTTAAATTAATCATGCCGTAATGAATTGATTGATTTAACTTGGGCAAATGTCTCTTTTTAAAGCCTCGCTCGTCCTGGTCACCGAGGGTGGAGCGAATACTTGACTGTGATGATAGGAACCGGATGAGATCATTTTTGTTCACTTACAAATATCACAGTCATCGTTGTGTATGGACTATTCTGCACTTAATTTGGGTTCTTGACTAAGCTAATCAAACGGAGGGAGGGACCTTGTATAACTACATAAACGTCAATTCGAGGAAGGGAGGAATCGCAAGAAGAGGTCGGGGCAGGCTGCTTTAACCACTCCTACTATAAACAATACTCCCCCGGGCGACAGTCAGCTAGCAGCTTCTACTGGGAGCATCCCCCACTAACAGGCTGTAAGCCTCGAAAACCCTTGTGACTTAGTCCCACTTTCTACTTGTCTTATACATGTAGCAGAGGGTGCGTGTGATCTTTCTAGGCAGCTTCTGGCTTCATTTGATGTATTATCACTGTTTTCCGGGAGAGTCATGACACAGCAAATACGAATTCCGGTGTGGTATTAGTAGATGCAACACATGGGTACTCAAGTCAGAAAGGCGAGCTGTGCATAGATTGAGATTGCCGCTGTGACTGCCTTGGTTTTAATGGGCGGGCACCTTGACAGAAACTCAAGCAGTACGTCTAGCAGAAACCCTCGCAAACTAATAACTTATTTAGCGTGTGTGAAAACCGTCGATGATACAATTATATATATTTATTCGAAGCAAACTTCTTGTTCGAATCGATCAAAGCCATGAGATCCATTTTAGCAGACACATATGTCGTTCAAACCCGGTCACCTTAACCATGGAGTCCTTTTTAATAGAGGCTGAAAGCTCTTTAAAAACTTCCCTGTTCTTTTTCTGTGTAGTGCAAAAAGATTTTCACCTTCCGGAAAGCATCCACGGGAGAACAAAAAATGGACTCGCGGGGAATCGAACCCCGGACCACTCCCATGCTAAGGGAGTATTATACCACTAAACCACAAGCCCAGCTGATGTCTGGAATTCTTGAACTTATGCTATATCAATGCAGAAAATGGGAATCTGTGAAGTCTCCAACGCCGGGGTGCATTCCCTGACGGCAATGCTTTGTCGCTCGACAGTGCAACAAGAGCTCTCTCCTCTGCAGAACAGGGAGTGTCAATTTGATCCGTTTTCTCGGAGTTTCTGTGCTGACCTTCCAATATTGCCAGTCCAGGACACCCGTATCGGAGATGCAACGGTAGATAATGCCCAGGACGCCGCACTATGGTTCCCTTCGGGTACTGCATTTAGAACGAGAGAGATGAGAGATCAAAGCTAGCTCAAGAAGATCGATTTGACTAAGTAATAGCTTGGCATGCGAGCTGCGCGAAGTCTGCAATCAAACGTCCGTTCCTCGACGATGACGAAGGTGAACGCAATTTGATTTGAATTGCAAACGTCAAGTCCTCGTTTGTTGACACATAGATTCTCCCACCCTTCTCATTACAAAGTACCTCTACCAGCGCTACAGTGCGGCAGCTCTGCCCAGCGGCCGTGATGGCTCGCAACAAGCTGCGTGTCCTGCTCGCATTCTACTCGCGTCCCAACGATCCAGGGATCCACACTGCCCTCCTCATCACGAAGAAGATCAAGTCTGGAGCGAAGAGAGAGATCATCTCAGCCAGAAAGTGGCATGTGAAAAATACCGTTCAGCTCATCGATCATGCCCCCGCGCGACCCTGGCGTCGCGAAAGAGAGATAATCCCCAACATCGACAATGACCTCCGCCTGCTAGCCTGTGCGGTGATCGCCAAAATCTACGACATCGGCGAGGTGGAAACAATTTTGAACTCCGTGCCTGTCTACCAACCCGAGGACGTTGATCAGGATATGGCGTGCGTATTCGACTCCAACATCTGGGCGAAAGAAGCCATGAAAGAGCTGAGATGGGAAAATCTCGTCAAGGCGTCCCTTTTCACCAAGGCGGAGGAAGCCTTGAATCTTTACATTACCAGCCATCCAGCAAGACGGAACTTCCAAAGTGAAAATGACTTGCAGAAGGAGCCTCCGATCGTTCCCATTATCGATATGTTTACGGGGAAGATGCTGCGGGAGTGAGAGGATGTATTGAGTTGAGCATAGTCCAAGTCTATCAATGGAAGGATGAGCAAAGCGGAGCCCTTTGCCACAAGAATCAAGTCATCGCGGTCTCCGACGGTAGCGAGATTCATGTTTCTACTAGAAACAAACGCTGGCCCGGCATTGGGATCTTATCCTCTTCCACATTGACAACCTTGTTCAAATCGCCTATCTCTTTCTTCTGATTCTTCTCAATGGAATCTCTAATTCTCTATCCTTTTGTCTTATAGTCTATGGAATTCGCGGGAGGGCCGGCCCGTCCTGCGTCCACTGCGTTCCCCCGGCTCGTTCAGATTCCACCCAACTTGAAACCTCCACCTTGTGCTCTATTGTCTCTCACTTGCGCTCATTTAGTAACTCAGCGATGTGTCCATTGAGCCAATAACCCTCAAGTGCCTCCAAAGGCATCGTCTTGGCGCCCGAGATCCAGCCTTTGCACTCCTCGGCCCCACAGGAGCATGTGAATGCCTGATCCATGTCCCACTCCGTACTGGGATAGAAGAAAGTGAGGGCATCGCCTTTCTTTAACGGCTTATCATCGACCACGCGCACTTCCATGCGGGCCATGTCAAAAACCACGCTCGGCGCACATGAATGATTGCAGTAAACCACTATAAACCCGCGTCAGTCAGCTTAACGCGACAACTGCGACTGGAGAACTGCCAAGAGCTTACAGTCAGAATTCAGCTCGATGTGTGAGTCGCGTCCCGTCTGCACACTGGTATAGGCCTTCTTGCCGGGCGTGGTGCCCGTGATTTTGGCAAAAAGCGCACCGGCCGGCAGATCAACAAGGGACTCTGCACCGCTGCCAAAGGCTTTGGCGCTGCGTTTTACGTGGAGACGGTCGGGATGGGTCGGAGCGGGGAATTTGCTGCGGAGCATAAGGGCGGCGGGGATGGGATCGACGGAGGGCGACATGATGGAACTGGTGGACTGGGATCAAAAGCTGAATAGGGATAAAACGTGGGCAAGTCAATTGAGTTATAAACTAGATAATTCCCTTCAACCGAGGGAAGAGTGGAGCGACAAGTCTGCTGGTCTCGGATTGCAACACGGCCGAGGCGAAAAGGGCTATATGACGCCAGTCCGCGGAGAGAGAGCCTAAAGCGACTGAACCCCACCAACGTAGTAGATTCCATCGTGGGGATGACGCTAGGAAACTTCTAGCGGGCGATCGGCCTGGTCGCACCGGCGCAACCACGAAAACATCTTTCGGTGAATCCGCTTTGAGCCCAGTCCGGCTACAAGTGGAAAGATTTCCGTAGCATGTGGGAAGTTCATCGTACCTGATGCCGAGAGTGAAAGGTGAAATCCTAAGAGGGGCACGATTTTCCCCTATGAATTGCAGTTTACAAAACGTGTTGATAACATGTGAAAACGACTCGGCTTAGTTCATCTTGCGTAGCAATTCTTCACCGTTCAACCACCTCTCCAGATTCTCGGCAACCTCTTGGTACCATCCATGGAGCAGATCCTCTTCACCATAGCCCATATGGGGTGATAAAATCACCTCAGAGCGTCCATCCTGGCCCCAAGGAGTGGTTCTCCAGGGGCTATCCAATGGCAATGGCTCCGGATCAAACACGTCTAACGCAGCGCCCCTAATGTCGCCCGCGTTCAAGCATTCCAGCAGATCCGCTTCATCTATGAGAGGTCCACGTGATGTGTTGACGATGATGGCCTTCTTTTTCATCATGTCCAGTTCCGCTTTAGCCACAATGCCACGAGTACGTTCAGAGAGGACGTTATGCACGCTGATCACGTCTGCGGTCGCAAAGAAGGTCGACTTGGAAGGAGGAACCACCAAGCTACCAGCAGGCAAGCCATGAGCTCTAGCTTGCTCGTCTGCTTTTTCTTGCGTCAGATTCGTCGACCAGGCGATGACCTTCATCCCAAATGCTTCAATGGCGATCTTGGCCGTTTGCGAGCTGTTCAAGCGGTTAGCTTAGTAAGAGGACATGAACGATCCGCCAGATTTCATCACCCTAATTTGCCGAGTCCTAAAATTCCCAGAGATTTCCCGCTAAGGTTGAATCCAAGAGATCCCTGCCAGCCACCGTGCTTCACGGCGGCATCGTCCCTCGCGATGTGTCTTGCCAACCCCAATATCAGAGCCCAGGTATGCTGCACGGTCGAATTCACACCCGGGGGGCGACCCTCAGTACCAGCCACAGGGATTCCTCGCTCAGTGAATGAAGCGAGATCTAGAGCCAAATTTCTGGTCCCAGTGGTCAAGAGTAGTTTCAGGTTTGGGAGAGCCGCAACAGTCTGGATGAGTCAGTACACCGAACCTGCGATGCAGTTGTAGGTAAATGCTGGGGGAAAACTTACTGATGCGGAAAAAGGCGTGCGCTCACGCATGGCTAGCACCACGTCGAATGACAGGAGTCTCTGGATGAGTGCATCATGCTGTTTTGGGTCGCGGGGATCGAGGGTATCGGGAAAGGAATGGATCTCGATGCGCGACTCGAGGTGGGTAAAATGTGAGGGTCCAATGTTCTGATAGTCGTCCAAGATGGCAACTTTAGGCTTCGACATGGTGATAGGGTAGTAAGCTAGATGGAGAGGCTTCGAACTCCGACCTAGCTGCATCCAAGTCAGAGTCGCGGGGGTTTTCGGCTGTTCCTTTTGCCGTAAGTGGGGTTCGGGGATAGGGAGGAAGTCCGAGGTATATACATCTGTGACGTACGTAGGACCGTAGACGGAATGCACTGAACCACCTTTTAAAGACTGCGCCCATTGCTCAAGCGGGATCGAACTCGGTGAATTGAAAAGAAAAATGACATGCCCGGGACCAAGCACCCTGGTCCTTGCAAATCTTCGGCGCTCCTTATGGAGCTCAGCTAGGTAATGGGACAACACTCAGCTGGTCCCCAAAGGAACGAGTAAGTTAATCCACTCCATATTCCTCTATTTGTGAGAGAAGTTTATCAGGTCTGGTCTGAATGTGGCTCTCCCCTCATCCAGCTTCGAGGCGAGCAGCGAAGGAAGTCTCCGTCTAGACTAGGAATAATGGATGGGGACGAAGGATCCATTATTGGCAAGGAGTCTAGGGAAGTTACCGCCTAGAGCAGACACGACAGACAAGTGCAAGAGCAAGTTGCACAGACGCTGGGGAAAGGGGGTCGAGAGAGCGAGAAGCATGAGGAGAAGAGATCTCGAGGCGCCGACTACGAAGGCGCAGGACAACAGCACAGATACCGAAAGCAATACTTGCAAAACCTCGAGAACTGGGACACTAACAAGAAAGATAAAGAAGACTGCATTACTGGGCAACAGGGTCTCTAATCATTATTGTGAAAGATTCCTGGCCCATGCCCCCAAATTGTGACCGGTCCAGGACAATCTCGTCAACTGGTTTGAACCCTGCCTTCAGATACAGCGGCATTCCCTCCCCAGTAGCCTCAAGGTACAGACGACGACCCGCGGCATCTGCTTTCAAAGTGCCCCATTTGAGCATGCTAGACCCGATTCCACGGCCTTGATAGCCCGGTAACGTGGCCAGCAGATCCAGCACTAATTCGGTGAGCTTTTGACAGGAGGATGAAGGATGGTCACTCACTCATATCGTCATCCGTGGCATGTTTCTCGCGAGATGTCTCCAAGAGCTTGCGGAACTCGGTAAAAAGAGCCTCATTCATGGGCTGCGGTGCAAAGCGGATTGGGTCTTGAGCGAAAATTTGTGCCTGTTCACTCAGAGCTGGTCGGCTGGGAGATTCCACCGACGCTGGAATCAACCACCGAGCATAGGAAACGACTTCTCCGCTAGTAGGATCGGTAATTTTGAGAACATGCATTGACGGATTGGCCAGGTGCTTCATGGCGTTGATCGCTTTATATGTCCGTAGCGCCGCTTCATTAGCTTTTGGGAAAACATTATTGAGCAACCCTCTGCCTTGGAAGCTCTCGACGTTGATCCGAGCGAGGGCTGGGCCATCTGCCTCCGTGGCATATTCAATCTGGTACGCCATGGATGTTCTGGAAACGCTCATCCAGCTACTCGCCTAGAGACTGAACAAATGCGACGGACCAAGTGGTGTTGAAGTCCAAAGGACACCGGAACACAGAACACACTCACGACGCGGAGTAAGCGCGAAGTTGACTCACATCGGGGTCTCGGAGCGGCTTAGCCCCCTATTTTAGTCACCCTTCACCATTTTTACAAATAAGATGTTCAGACATCAATGGTACCTACAATTACCATAATGATGCTCATGATCAAAAGAAAATCATCTTGGCGACGCATCATGGATTATGAAAACTCATGTGGGATAAGACAACATCGAATTCGGTACCTAGACCAACTCGCCCCGCACATATACCCCGCTTACAAAAATTTCGTAGACTCCATCGAACCTATATATGAGAGCCACTTGGCGCGACGAGTAATGGCATGTAATCTACTTTTCTCCGCCTGTATATTCACTGTGAGAGTTCAATTTAAAGTGGGTGTCTTGATGACTTCGCAGCTGATCATCATTGCTAGACTCCATTCCCATCATAGTAGTAGCTCCATCCCAGTAATAAAAGTCATTGATCTCCATCCCATACTGACAGCGAAGTTCGGAGAATAAAGTCCGAATCAGAAGTGAAGATGAGATATGGCGAGGCTCGTGCGGCGCTTGGCCGGATTTAACCACGGAGATAAGTCAGTGACACCAAGACAAAATGGTCTTAGAACTTGTTAAATAATCCTCCCATAACTTTGCTCGAACAGTACCATTTCTTCCCTGTTTCATAAAATTCTTGGTCTACACTCTATCATGACCAAGCTTCTCGTTGTCTTCGGGGCCACTGGGCAGCAAGGTGGCTCCGTGATTGACGCAGTTCTAAACAATCCTGAGCTCTCAAAAGAATATTCCCTGCGCGCAATCACCCGAGATGCTACACGACCATCAGCCCAAAGTCTGCGAGATCGAGGCGTAGAGACTGTCGAGGCCGATGTCGATGATCCCAAATCGCTTCCTTCAGCTCTAGCGCAAGCCCATACCGTTTTCATCATGACTGTCTCTGTCTACGATGAGCATCTCAAGACCCGTGAGCTTCGCCAGACAAAAGATATAGCCGATGCAGCGGTTGCGGCAGGGGCTCAATACCTCATTTACAGCTCCTGTGTGGGTGCTGAGAGACTTTGGGGGAAACCAGTCACCGCATTTGATTCCAAGGCAGATTGTGGTTCGTCGAGAAGTGAGATCGACTATAGGAACTCGTTAACTCTTCTATAGAGGCTTATATTCGCACTCTGCCTGTTAAGAGTGCATTCTTTGACCCGGCAATGTTCATGCAAAACTATCTCACGAACCAGCGCCCGCGGCCAATGCCAGGGAAGGAAGGCGACGAGATTACCTATGCCATTGCCAACTTCATTTCCCCCGATGCGCCTATCCCACTGATTGATACAGTCAAGGATAGTGGCAAGTATGTTGGAACAATCCTTGCCAACCCTGATAAGTATGCTGGAAACACATTCTTCGCGGCGACTGCCTTTTATAGCTATCGCGAAGCTGCCGAAATTATCACACGTATCACCGGAAAGCGAACCATTTATGTGCAAATCCCACTTGAACAATGGATCAGCTACCTGCCTCCTGGATATGAAAAAGCCATGACGGAGATGATGCGGTGGATCGAGAACCCAGGATACTTTGGTCCACAGAGCAAGGAAGAAGTCAAGTGGACAGTACAGCAGGTCAAAGACGACTTGACCACATTCGAGGAATTCGTGGAGAGACATGCTACGGATTTAATCTAGCAGCTAGAACCTTTGATGTGAATCTAGTATTTACCTTGGAAAGAGATATATCTCGGCTTTGTGATTGAATCCAAAGACCGAAAATGTCTCTACAAATAGGAGAGGACACCAACGCATCATAAATGGCGCTTACATATCAAATGTGTGGAAAATACCTTAATATTAGTGGGCGTAGTCTATTTGTCTAATTCAATTTCGCCTCGCGGGATTATAGCGTAGCCAATAGGCCGAGTCGATTGATGACCGTTAAAGCTTGCAGTCTCGTTTTTAATCTCAGCCTGAGGAACCCTGTGAAACCATGGTCGATACTCGGCTAAGAAACATGCTAATGAATGTGAGACGGCGAAAATCACTAAGCGCTAGTCATTAGATCTGCCTAGGAAAATATGGTTTCGACGAGCGAAAAGGGACTTTTTCGAGGCACAATTGAATATATATGTGCATTGAAAACGCTGCACTTTAGAGTGAAAGCGAATTAATTGTCAAAATTATTGATAAAATAAGACAAGATAGCGTCAACAGTCATTGAATTCAAGATCAGAGTTTCTCTAAGTTGCTTCCACTCGGCTCGGCAGGATTCAGGATTCACAATTCAAATTGGATGAGTTGTTTCTGTAAAAGTCAGATGAGACAGAACTGGCACATTGATTCGTTGTGAGACCCGGATATTTTCGCCTCCAATGAGCTGTTGTAGCTAAATTTGTCTTGTTTCTCCATCTAAAACATGCGTTACGTGAGGTTCCAGCGCAGCAGTACCATCACCAACGATGGACGGGGTCCGATTACCAATCACCCCGGTAGCTTCATCCGGAAGGGGCAAGCAGGGCTATCCATGGATGATTGTTACTCGGCGCAAAGCCATCAGAGACTAGTACTGTAGGAGGTTCGGGGGTATTGATGGTCAAATCCAGATAGTGCAACTTAACTCGACAATATTAAAGACTCCTCGACCCCTTGAGTTGTATTCACATTCATATCCAAACAAAAAAAAGCAAATGAGGCCTCTCACGATCTCCTTCATTTTACTTTTCTCTATTTTTTTCAATAGCACAAGAGCAGTTTTATTGACGGACCCTCAAAAAGTTTCTGGTAAGACATATGACTATGTTATCGCCGGTGGAGGACTCACAGGTCTCACAACGGCTGCACGCTTAACATCCGACGCAAGAATAACTGTCTTGGTTGTTGAGAGTGGCTTCTATCAGTCCAGTCGAGGCCCAATTGTGGAAGACCTGAATTCATTCGGACAAGCTTTTGGAACCACACTCGACCACGCCTTCCAAACTGTACCCTTAGGTATCAATGGCCGTCAATTAACTATTCACTCCGGGAATGGTCTCGGTGGCTCGACACTTATCAACGGGGCGACCTATACAAGCCCGTCTAAGGTCCAGATCGACTCCTGGGAGTCACATTTAGGTAACAAAGGATGGAACTTTGATAACATTTCTTCCTTTATCCGGCGAAATGAAAAGGCCCGCCCCCCTTCACCAGAGCAGATTAAGGCTGGCCACGAATACAGACACGAATGTCACGGAACAGACGGTGACCTGCATGTTGGTCCGCGCAAAGGCCGAATTTCTCCGATGATCAACAGGCTGATGGCAGTGGCCAAGAAACGCGGGGCACCTATACGTCGAGATCTATCGTGCGGAAGCCCGGTGAGGCTCAGTCTTTCTGCCTGTATACTTCAACCGATCTTGAAGACTGACTCAAAGACAGAGAGGGGTCTCGATGTTTCTGAATACGAATCATGCCAACGGGACTCGTTCTGATACAGCCCGGGAGTATCTACTCCCGCACATGACACGGCAAAATCTGTCGGTGCTTGTGGGGCAGAAAGTTGGTCGAGTGTTGATGAATCGAAAAGGCAGATTACCATCAGCAAGAGGTGTAGAGCTTGGAACTGATGGACAAAGGTTCACGGTGTATGCCAAGCATGAAGTCATCTTAGCGGCGGGTGCCCTCATGAGTCCTCTGATTCTAGAGTACTCAGGAATTGGACTCAAAACTGTTCTCGAAGCCGCTGGAGTCCCTCAGATCGTCGATCTACCTGTCGGACTCAATCTTCAAGATCAAACTACGACCACCATTGTGGCAAAGACTCAGGATGAAGGTCAAGGCCAGGCTGCTTACTTTGCGACACTGAATGAGCTATTCAGTACGCAAGAAATTGGAACAGCCTATGGACTCTTCCATTCTCAACTGAACCAATGGGCGGATGATGCTATCGCCGCAGGAGCATTCTCCGGACACGATGCCTTGAAAAGTCAACTGGAACTTTATCGTCATTGGATTCTGGATGAGAAAGTCGCATATGCTGAGCTTTTTATGGATGTGCGCCCTTCAGCGGTTGAGTTCAGCATCTGGGTGCTTTTACCCTTCACCCGAGGCAAGAGTAAGTATACCCACATTTTTTTGATCTTCGTACAAATCGGTCTGATTCTTTTTTTTCTTCGAAACCACCTCTAAGTTACTTTCACAGTTCACATCACTCACAAGGACCCATTCCTGTGGAAATATGCCCTAGACCCACGGTATCTACAGAATGATATGGACAGGTTGTCCCAAGCAGCTGCAACTCGACTGGCCCGGAATCTTCTCGATGAAATGCATTTAATGGGCTTCAACGAAACATTTCCCGGCTCGGTTGTCCCGGATAACGCGACCACAGATGAATGGATATCATATGTGGCTCAGAACTTTCAGCCAAATTTTCATGCCATTGGAACATGCTCAATGATGGCAAAAGATTTAGGAGGCGTTGTGGATCCCTCTGGCAAAGTTTTTGGAGTCCGAGGTCTTCGAGTGGTTGATGCGTCGATTATTCCAACTCAGGTTTCTGCACATACTTCGGCGTTACTCTATGGTATCGCGCAAAAGCTCTCGGATCTGATTCTGGCTGATTACCATAGAAATATGGACCGTAGAGAATGAGACACATTGTTCTACACTAAGTATGTTCAAATTTAAGGATCCTAATTAAAGAAGAAGAAGAAGAAGAAGAAGAAGAAGAAGAAGAAGAAGAAGAAGAAGAAGAACGTAAATGAGCATTTGTAGTGAGTCGGGACTCACTCCGCTGGTCTTAATGTCACTTCCCGCTTGAGCCTGTTTTCTTCTGGAGAATACGGCTCATTCGCCTCCTCACGAGCCATGTCGTTGATCCAGCGTTCATTGGGCTGAATGCTGACTCCTTTCGACAACTTCGACGCCAAATAAAACCACGATAGCATATTGCCAACGGTGCTCACCTCGTCGCTCACACTGCTAGCCGCGTATGTGCTCATGCGAGCATACATTTCTTGGTCCATCCACAGTTCAAAGAGATGGTTAGCCACTGCTTCGGTGTCGCCGACCTCGACCAGAAATCCATTCTTGCCATGTTGAACTTGCAGCGGGATTCCTCCGGCAAGGGTTGCGATCACTGGTTTGCCCAGATGGAGTGCCTCGGAGACCTTAACTTCAAACCCTTCGCGGGTGGAGAGCTGCAGGACGATCCTCGCCTTGGATAAAAGAGCGTGAAGCATCTGGTCACTGGGGCCGATACGCATAATACAGATCAGTGACCGAATGTGCTCGAGATGCTGCTTGACAAATTCCAAGGCGGCCTCATAGACTATCGAACCGTCCGGATCATCGACGGATCCGTGTCCGCAGATGAGTAATTTAGGGGGGGGTTATGTCCGGACGTGACCCGACGAGACGTCTATGGAACGCTTCATAGGACGTAAGGACATCTTGGATTCCTTTTGAAGGGTCAAATCGAGCAACCTGTACAATGTAGTCCTCTAGCTTGATATCAGTTCAAGTGATCCCTTAGATAGGCATGTGGAAAAAAGAGGCCCCGGGAATAGCTGACCTTCGGGAAACGCAATGTTAGGCATGTACCGTTCCCGGCACGTCGAGTTGAAAACCCGCCCGTAGTAACAGGTGCACCAGTCCGTCATGGGCTTATTCAGTCCGTCGAGCCAGTCTGTGGATGCGGGCAGATATCCAAGCTTTTCTGGCGGCACATTTTTCGGAACAAAGGCGCGTATGGGATGACTCAAAAAGAGGTCTGCTTGCTTGATTGCCTCCCACAAGAACTCCCAGGACTCAGCCTGCGGTGTGCCCGGTGTATCGACCAGATCGCCTCGGATCTGGATGTGACTACGGAAAATGACCGGCCGGTCCGGAGTTCGTTCCTTGATGAGTGGAATCAACCATGGCAGCTGCGGGTCGTCAACGACGATCACGTCAGCCCCTCCCTCCCACGGTGGCATTAGAGGGCCATTCTTTTGAAACCATGGCGGGGCCGGCGCGCCATATTCCTGGAATAACCGATGGACATGGGGGCCAAGATGCTCCAACCACGGCGGAGCTTGGGACGCTGTTCCTTTAAGCCAGTAGCGTTCCGCATTCTCAAGGACCCAATCATGGAGGAGATTCCGATCTTCCAGTGTGAAACGCGTGCCGGGAGGTGCGACACCCTGCAGGATATTATGGTTGTTCTTGGTGATTCGGAAGACCCCATGCCTGGGCTTCGGCACATACCTGATATGGATAGTGAGCAGAGAGCACAGGAAAAGAATTGGAGACGCGATTGAGGCTCGCCAGAACTTCCTTACCACTTAAGATCGACTCCAAGTAGCTTTGCAAACCGAACCATGGCATGTCGCATTAGGGCGACACCACCACCCTGCGGAGTCGCGCTGAAGAAGGCTATCTTTATCCTGCGTTTCTTTAGATCATTGGCGTACGTGTTGATTGCCGCCCACGTCGCAGCTCCCACGGTCTTTTCATAGTCCGGAAGCCGGGTCATCTTTACATGGAATGCGGCATCAACCTCTACTAGGCCTTGGATACCGATCTCTGGAATAGGAACTTGGCTAGGGCCAAAGAATCTATTTGAGAAGTCAGACAGAGACGGGTCTGGTTGTGACAAGACGAAGGTCTCACCGGATACATTTCCTTGCAATCGACTCGGCGTGTTCGTCCAGGGACCTCGATGCTAAGTTATCTTCATATAAACCCCAACTGATGTTTTCCTCCGATTTGCGGAGAACAATCGGGATGATGTCCAGCTCGGCCCAAAGGCGCGAGCAGAGCTCGGGACACCGTTCAGACAGCTCAGTCGACATGGCTAAACCGATGAACTTTTGACTGTGGTTCTGCTGATAGTCCCTCACCTTGCTCAAGATGAACTCGGAGAGCCCAGGCCAACCGTCTCGCCGATTGCCACTATGGAATTCATATTGCGCAAAGTCTAGCGGGTAGACGCTATCGCGCACGGTGAAGGCAAAGGTCGCGCCAGCCAGGAGATGGAAGTGAGCTGCGAGACCAGCATAGATAGCCTGCGACAGGTCAATATGCAATTTCTACCATCATCAAATAGCTCTATACATTAAATGGTGGCCCAGCCCAGTTGTCCTTCCGTCGCTGGAGTTCATCACTGCTCGCAAAGGTGGCAGAAGCCATGGTGAACGTGCTTCAGTCAAGAAGTGTCTAATCTCCCGAAAGAAGAACGAGAAGACTATCGAAACAGCAGTCATGAGAGTCATAAATGACGTGACCAAGCGTAGAGGTGTAGCCCATGCCTAGAACACCAATCCATTCAAATCTTCAAATGCTCCAGTGGCAGTGGCATGATCGGGGCTGGCCATGAACACAATTTACGGGCGCCACCCATGGTTCACACCGCGCCGACACTGTGTCATTACCCCACTACAGTCCCCGCATTTCTTGGTACGACTACTGTTAGAACAGATTTGAAAAAGATGATTCTCCGACTGTCGCCTGACGCGCCACTGGCGCTCTGCTCTGAGCTAGCCCGGACATTCAAGGAGGACAGACCGTGGATTACGAGGCCGTGGTTTGTCGTGCCGCGAGAGAGATGATTCAACGTTTCTGTAGAGTGCGCCCCGGCTGAGAATTTCATAGAGGAGATCACTATCCTCCAAAAGGAATAAGCGATGTCGGTCTCTACATCTCTTTGCAAGCTCGGTCGTCGAGACACGCTTGAGGGTCTCAGCGAAATCGACCAAACCAACATTCCAGAGATCGAGAAATTCAATATGTACGAATGGGCTCACTGAAGGCTCGAGCAACCCGATGAATAAGCGATCTACCAGCAACACCCTGGATTTGCCTTCCAACATTTGAAGGTTTCTGGAAAGAGAGTCACACTGCGGTTACAGGACAACGGTAGGATTGGTCCCGCTCGTGTCTTTTTCGGTTGGGAAGCTATTCAATACAGCGCGGTAAGCTCCCAGGAAGCAGGCTATGCAAATCTTCGATGGCTTATTGGATGGTGTTGAGATGTTTATGGTCTTGGGTCGTCCGGGGAGCGGCTGTCTGACTATCTTAGGAAACATATGTGGTGAGCTACTCGGACTAGAATGACCAAGTCCCCGAGTCACTAGTAGATTTATGGTTACACGTAGTGGGAGTATGCCATTGAAAATTTTTCGATAAGATAGACACCACTGAATCTCATGTGCCAGTCCCGGAGAGCAATTTGTCTCGTCGATTGCCTGAGTACCATCCGATTTGACTGAAATGTTACCTATCTTTTGTGCCAACGTACTCATTTACGATCGCGTGTCAATGTCCAGACAAGGCCGATTGGAGTTTCTCAAGCTCGCATGAATAGATTGAGTCGGAATCTTGGCGCTGAGACATGGGAGTAACAGACTTTCACATGCTGCTGTCTGTGGATGGTTATGCTAGAAGTCGCAAGCAGTCTGAGTCTGGTACATGGAGGTGATTTGCGTTGATATGGAGCTCTGTGCATGTGAACAGCATGCTGTTGAGTCCAGTATGAAACATCCTTTTTTCGCAATAAGAGCGGCTCTTAGCTTCCGGCACGGGCTGCATGTGGTTGACTCAAATGCAATTTTTCCTTCGTGTTCTCAATTTTCTCATGCATCGAGCGCATCTTCCGCTTGGTCAAAGTGTAGCCCTCAATTCCAGCAAGGACAGCATATGAATAGCTCATAGAAACACGAGACAAGTCCACGCCTCGTTCAAGAAGAGAATGGTGAAAGGCGCGAAAGTTGGCCAGATGGGGCCGGTAATGACCACTGAAAGTATTAGAAAACACCTTTCCCGATTTGCAACTGGAGCCATACCTTAAAGGAGCTAGCTTGCGTAGTTGACCGGCCTTAATTTTGAGGAGCCCAGCAGCTGCAATACGCCCTCCACGTAAGAAGGAGGAATGTTGGAAAGCTCCGGGCTCTTTGATCCCAACATAGATACGAAAAGATGTATCAGCGACCTTTGGCAGAGGGTTAGACAGGTAGGAAGGGGGACATAGTTCTAAGACTGACAAATATCCACATGCCCTTTTTCACGGAGAGACTTCCTGCAAAACGATCGTAAATTGCCGCGGGGTTAACGTTGGGAAACTTCTTGGTGGCCTTTTTAAGTTCGTAGTCTTCTTCCGTGGCAGAAGTCGGCTCTTTATTGGTCTTATTGACGGCCAGTCCTTGTGAAGACGAAGAAGGCGAGGAAGACGAAGAAGACGACAATGGTGAAGAGGCCATCTCAGGGTCAGACGGCTTCTTGTCGAGGGTCGAGTAACCCTTAAATCGAGGTGCGTTGTCTTCTATGGGAACTATGCCATGAAGGCTATCCCTAAATCTGACATCATTAGTTTCTACCAGCTCGCCGGTCTTCGCCCATCGAAACAAGCCATCCTGGCCTATGTTGACTAGATAATTGAACCTCTCGTTGGCAGTGAGGTATCTGATCTGTTGTCTCTCGAGACGTTCGCGTGGTACGTGTGGAACCTCGACATCCCTTCCGTCCCCGTGATCCAACCAGTAAAAGAAGTTTTGGCTAGAGGGAGATTTCTTCCAAAGAGCATGGTAGGCACGCAGATTCGAGCCATGACGGTGCTTCGAATCTACCATCTCCAAGAAATATTCGAGATCCATATGCTTGGCGCTGGTCGCGCGAGCGGTCTCGGACTCTGCGTCATCGCCGCTGGCTTGAATAGCGACGCTGACAGCCCGGTTCCAGTTTTGGCGCGCTGGGTTGGAACTGCCATCAGCAAAGTGAGCCTTGGAGCCCCCGAAGAGATCTCGTGAATGGTTCTCGCGTGAGGGAGTCAGCTAGAGAAAGAGCAAGAGCAACGATCAGTTCTCGCGCTGAGAGAGAGCATAGGCGGGGTTTTTACCTCGCGGCGGGAGGCAGCCAAATCAAGTCCCCTGAGTTCTCTTCGAGTTCGGTAGCCCCGATAAATTCTCTATGGTCCAATATTAGCATATTAGCCAGGTTCTATCGTCATATTGGTGCACTCCCCCATCTCGTACCTGGATCGTGCTAGCAGCGCGCTCTAGATCCAAGCAAGGAGTGACGTCATTTGAATTACGTAGAGCCATGTCGCGCGAGTGTCGCTCGTCAAATACGAGAGTAGTCATTTTTGCCAGCAAGTTACTTTGGAGGAAGTGAGAGCCATGTATATACCATTTGGAGGATCAGGTCTCGGAGGGGTACACCTAGAGGGAATGGACAGGGACCATGGGTAAGACTCCGATTTCCAAGTTTCGATCATGAGGCCTCAGGTGTCAACTTTGGCCTTGACTCGGTGGCTGTCAACTTGAGAGCCTTAGATTTCGGACCGCGATGCTCCACGCGCTTTCGTGCTCCTCTCGGGCCTGTGCCCGACTCCAGGTCGGATCACGGAAGCTCCGTCCGTGAACTGTTCCCCTCATTCCCCTCATGCGGAGAGGGGTCTTGCATTCCTGTGTCCCATATACCATGGCATGGCCCCAATCTTCCAAGTAGTGCAATGGTACTTGATCTAGCTATTCAAGTCAATTCAATTCCCAATTTCCAGCAATGCCTTCCATTCATCCGCTCATTGACATTGGTCTTACCAAAGGGGACCCCAATCTCGCTGGCGGTCATTTGCTTTGCCGCTGTGCCTCCAATTAGGTCATCGTTGGCCTCAAAAGCAACATTGTCCATAACCACGCCTGTGGTTGCAGCAAGTGTTGGAAGCCCGAAGGAGCCCTCTTCTCTGTTGTGGGTGTTGTACCCAGGGATTATCTGTCAGTCGAGAAGAACGAGTCGAAGCTGAGAATAGTCGATTCTACTGCCGTCATTCTGAGACACGCCTGTCGTGAATGTGGTGTACACATGTTTGGTCGTATTGAGAAGGCGCATGCCTTCCACGGTCTTGATTTTGTCCACCCAGAGCTTTTCGATCAATCAGGATGGCAAGAGCCCCAATTCGCAGGCTTTCTCTCCTCGATCATTGAGCAAGGATTTGATCTCATGGTAGGTTCGAGCTGCTGTCTGTATCTTTCTCTGCCAAACAAAAAGATAACTGAGGGTTCCGTATTGGCATAAAAACCCCTTCAATGCCTGCACTACGTGGCCTCGTTGACTCTCGCGGCAAGATAAATCATTGTTGATGAATTCTTACAGCTTCATGAGTGTATGATACTTCTTAGATATCTTGTGGAGTGAGAAATGGCGATTCATGTTGTGGGTATTTTTTGTTCTAGTACAAAATATCCTCAGTATCAAGATCGTATGCTAATTACTTCTGCAAATGATGGGTCCGACCATCGCGCGAATCAATCGGTTCAAAATCCAGGAACTATGAAAGCCATTTTATACCTACAAATATCGGGTACTAAGTGTCTCTCAATCCGTTTTTCTAGATTATCTCTTTCCGGGGACAGATCTGAAAAGCTTTGAACATATACTTCCAACCTGTTATCATCATTATTGAAATTCACGAGGGGTTCCCTGGTGGCCACTATTCATGCCCATGGTGTCCTCGAGTTGAAACGTTTCCTCGGGGTTACCCCCTTCTTGAGAGATAAATGGCCGCGATAGAGCCTGCTCCTCATCATTCAGCCGAGCAAACCGTTCTATGGCTGAAGACTCAGTCTTGTTCCAAGGCTCATCACAAAACACCGATCGCAGAGGCGGATAGTAACGGCGATAGGAGAACCAGCCCACGAGCATACCCAGAAGTCCACCGCAAGTCACATCCCACACATCGTGTCTGTAGTCGTCTAGGCGTGAGATAGCAACCAAAAGCGCACATAGCAAGGGAAAGAACCCCAGAAGACACCGGCTGAGGTCCGTTCTCGGGCGAAAAACATGCATCTGGCCGCAGAGGAAGCTTGGGGGGAGAGTCAGCAATTTTTATTTGAATATATGGTGGAGTGATACCTACAGTGAGAAATAGCCAAGGCCGGCAAATGAGAAGCTACTGTGTCCACTGGGGAAGCTGCGCCAGCCTTCTTGTAGGATTTGCTGGTTGGTCTCGGTGCAAACAGTCCATGCGACCAGCACATTGGCTGACGTGCCCCGAGCAGGTTTGCAACGTGATAATAGATCCGGACGAGGTCTCCCTACTGCATTTTTGATCAAATCCGTCAGGAAAGATGTCAACATCAGCGCGACCAGTAGCCCGAGCATCGTGACTTGCGTCTTTTGCACCCCGGGACGCAACAAAGCGGACCAAACGAGGATAATACTGAAGGGTACCACGCCGGCGAGTATGACCGACCATACTATAGATAAGATGAGTATATACCGATCGAGGAGTGGCTTGGAAGAGTCGTACCAACAGGGACTCGCTCATGGACGGCGAATGGGTACATGATGGCCTTGTTGTCAAGGTAAAACATGCGGTGGAAGGGGTCCATGAATTGGATCTGCGCAAGGTACAGAGTATGTTAGCATATGAAGCTCATTGTGAGGCGACGATTCCAACTGACCAGGACCCAGCCCAATGCGAGCAACCCCAATGCAATGTAGTCGGCCGCATAGGAGCGCTGGCCAAAGCGAGCCAGAGCCCCCGCGAGGCCCACCCGGTGGAGGACGGGGACGGACCCATTGCCCGAGCTTTGGGACATTTGATGATGCTATCCAAAGCCAAAACAGGTGGAAATCCCCCCTTGCACAAGAGAAACCCAAGTGGATGGAAAGTCGCGAGGTACGGAAAGTGATAAGAGCACAAAGCACAGACCCACACACCTTCCGCGGCAACTGGCAACTTATCCTCTTGACACCACCTCGTCAACCTTCACCGTGAACTAATTGTGTGGCCTTCGCTTCTCCAACTTGGCCGAACAGAAAATTATGGCGGACGCAAACCAACAGCCACCAGTCCCCACGGCCTTTGCGCCTCCGCCGCCTTTGTGGAAATACTTTACGCGCGAGAACCTTGACGAGCTAGAGAAGATCAAGAAAGAGGCGTCCAAGAGCGAGGATGGACGCATCAATCGTCATAAGCAGTGGTCGCCTTCTGAATTGCGCGCCCTCGATCTGCCCCCAAAGCTGCGCTTCCTGGTGCCACCCGAGATTCCCACCGGGCAATACTCTGTCTTTGGCGAGCTACAAAGCGTAAGTGGCAGTTATGAGTGGTTCTTTGGAAGACCTCGACTGATTTCATTTGGTACAGCTATCGACGAAGTTACCATCTTTGCAAGAGCAGGGTATCGAACAACTATACCCTGAGCCAGAGACCGATACCTCAAGCGACCCTTCCCAACCCTCCACACTTAACCACGCCTATTACCTACTGAAGATCAGCAAATCCCTTCTTCTCAACTTCCTGGAATTTGTTGGCATACTGTCAGTGTCTCCTGAGCAATTCGAGTCCAAAGTAGAAGACATACGCAATCTGTTCATCAACGCCCACCACCTCTTGAATCTCTATCGACCCCACCAAGCCCGTGAATCGCTCATCATGATGATGGAAGAACAATTGTACCGCACCAAGGACGAGATCAAGCAGATGGATAAAGTCAAGGCGGATATCGAGAGTGTCTTGGATCAGCTGGAGGCCGAGGGTCGCCAAGTGGGCTCGGTTGAGCAGCCAGATAACGCCAGCGACTCAACGCAGGCTACTCGACGCGCTCTTGAAGACGCCCGTCTGATCTGGGACCTTTTGGACCAAGAAAAGTGATGGGAGTGTGGCCATTATTCGATCCCTTCCACTCACCGTCGCTCAACCACGTCGATTTGACGTATGAGACAGTTCACTTCCCATCGACTGACAAACTGAAAAGCCAAGCATAGGAAAATACACTGGATCATCCTCATGCGCTGGTGCCCCTTACATCGAGCTTTCCCAGTGCTCGTTCACGCCCTGCAGACTGCCCCGCCGAGCGCCGATCGTTCAACAGCACCGCATCTGCCATGCGCAAGTGAAGCCCACGTATGAATTTGGATATGCAGTGAGGCCCCCCCGGCAACAGTGGTATAGCCTGCAAATCTTGTGCGCAGCATGTGCCCCGCTTAGAGAAAACACGTGTTAGTGGGCTCGCTGGATCGGAAAGCTACAAGTCGGGTTGGCTAGCAATGTAAATAGCACTTTATACCCCATGCGACTCCAGCCGAACGACTCGGCTCAACCAGTAATTGCCTGCGGAGCATCAATAGTTGTTGACAGATACCATGCAATTTTTGAACATGATGTCTTGTCATAATCAAGAAAGGAAATCAGGCGTACACCTTCTCCTCATCAAAGAATATTCAACCATCAATCACCTTTCGAAGTACTATGTTCTTACAATACAGGTTCTCATATTATCGTCCCAGCCTCATCTATGTGCATGTACTCAACCTTAACACCTTGTGTGTTGCTAAATCACAGCCTTTCCCACGCCTCTTCTGACGCCTTGAGTAACTCGATGGTAACACAAAAATGATCTATAACGCAAAAAAAAAAAAGGGAATATTATGGAGACAGAAGCGAGCAACGGCTCTGCTCGAGCCACGCCTTGTCGATAGCGGCTTCCGCGAGCCGTTTCAGCTCAACCACAAATTCGGCCACCAGCTTGAGGTGGACCGCTTCATTATCGGGCAGCTTTCGTAAGAAGACGCGTTCCATCATGCGCGTTGCCATCTTCAGACGACCTAAATCGTCGCGTGAGCGAGGATCCAATGGGTTCTGAAGGATACTGCAGAAGATGGAAAGCAGCGCAGACATGGGGTAGAATATTAGAGTCCTAAACAGATATGAATTCCACAAAATCTTTTGGGGTATTTGGGTAACATACCAGAAGACACCGTCAACCAGGACGTGTTCTGCCGCCTCCAAATAGCATAAAGTCGAGCGGCTGGCTTCAACGGAAAGTGCTAGACTGGAGCTGACCCCGTCCATCATGCCACTTCCTTCCTGCCATGCTTTGCATCGACTACTCGCCTGGTGGATGATGCTCATGCATAAATAATAGTTCAAACGTAACATGACCGAATGCATGCTGATGTTAGGATCGGACGCCTCGGGTGAGAAAGACATGGTGGGACGCCAATGAGGCGAAAGTGAAAGTCGCCATGCTTCCAACTCATCATCCAGTTCACGGATCGACTTGAGAAGATCGGCATCGCACTTTTTCATCGCGCTGACGGAATACAAGGCACTGTGCGCCCTTGACTTGATGATACTGAGACGCAAATCGAATGGAAACACTGGCTGGTCGAAGTACACATCTTCATTTTCGACGTCATGGTGAGCTTGATCCACATAACCCGGCGGAAGAGTCAAGTCGCAATTCTCATCAGCAATGGTAGGTGGCTGTCCGGTCCGAAGCGACACATCCTTGTCGAGGGTGTAGCAAATCCAGAAAAGATTCCGCAGCAACTGATGCTTTTTCTTGCCGCGCTCACTGGAGCTCATTCGAACATCCATCAAGTTTGCACCCAGCATGAAGAGCAGACGTGCTGCAATTGCGGCAAAGTAGTTTGTTGCTCGCATGTTTCCAGACGACAGTTCATATAGAGTCTACAGTGTATAAGCTATGAAGCCAAGGAATGAAACGAATAAAAATGATGTTCTTCAAGACGAAACTTACTAGCATAGTCACCGCCTGTGCTCCTTCCAAGGACGCCGGTTCCTGCAACATCTGAGAAAGTAGAAATTGGGCTCGGGTAGCCATAGCATCGTGGTCTATCGGGATGGTTGTGGAGGCCTTGACCTGGGTTTGCACTGGCGGCAGGCGCGTGGTAAAGGCCACAAACGCGATGATGCAAGCTCGAGTGCTCGCTTGCCCAAACTGAAAGTTATTCGGTGACTGTTGGTAAGCTGAGGTTACGGTCTCTTCGAACAATTCAGGATCAATGACGGGGAATATCCTCCTCATCAAAACAGAATTCTTGAAAGCGTCCACGTGGAGACGAAGAATGCGCGGGTCTGGCAGCTCGAAAGGATCATGACTTCGGAGGTCTATCAAGATATTGTTGGTGGCCTGGCCACGTTCCTTCTCCCAGGGTGCTCGGGTCGGGCTGAGCTTGTTGCTGGCGATGGTCTGCCCGGTGCGAGCCTGAATCCATGCTTGGCCTTCTGGGAGCAGGAATGGGATTCCAGTGAGTATGCTGATACCCCCCCAGCTCTCGGCCGGCAAAATGCACCCCCACTGAAGATGAAATCAGGGGCTGGATGGTACTGCTGTTACTGGGCGAATTGCTCGCAGTGGTACTAGCATCTCCGATCCGTGACAGATCTGACGGCACTGTCCCGGTTAGTTGAATCATTGGAGTCCCTCAATAACGCATCAGCATACCCGACCCGGGGTCTCGCATCAGATTCTCCGCCAAAAGCTGCTCGATACGACTAATCCGCTCCGAAAGCTTCGAGGCTTTGGGCCGATTTCTTCTGATATTAGTGGACGTGAAGAAGAGAATCACGGAAGAGATGAGCCCCAAGGCTTACCCATCATCATCGTCCCCAGTTTTTCGCTTGCGTTGTACCACTCGATCGAAAGTACAGGGAAGGTTGTGGTGGCTACACCAATTACAAGACGGAAGAGCCGCGTCGCATTTGATCTAGTCGGTCAGTACATCGATAGCTATACAAAGCGGACTATATATACCTTGCGTCGGTAGCACGAATCGCACGCACGCGCGGTGCGCTTCCGTGGTTCCTCAATTGGATGCATGGGATGCATGGAGAGTGAAGAGATTCGGCGATCATCTTCTCGGCTCATCGTGGATGCGCTGAGTAAGCGGATGTGGCCAATCTGATCGTCGAGACAGGTTCACTATCGGTTCGGCTTCAGTAGTTGTGCTTTCAATATTGGCTCTATTGGTCTACTAAGGCCGGGATCCTTTGTTTTAGTTTCTATGTTTGGAAGTAAAATGAAGATTATCATTTGAACTCAGTTGCATTGTTCAGGCACACAGCACACACCGGGATATACGGGAGATAGTCAAATACAGACATTGAGAGGAAACGAAGGAAAAAGAAAATGAAAAAAAAGGCAGGAAAAATGAAAAAAACAACCAGAATCAGCCAAGACCAAGTGCGCAAGATATATTCTTCCCAACTGCCTCAAATTGTCCAAAACGGTCATATCCACCGAATGGCACGGGCTCGGGGGCCTTGTTCACATTACCGTGCAGATGCAGCAGTCACATTCTTCGTCACCGCAATCGCAGCCAAAGCACGGCTTCGATACCGTTTTGATAGGCTTTTTGATCACGCTGCTCGAGCTGGAGGGGAGAGTCCAGTCGACAGGAGTGGAGACGAATGAAGGGGCCATGGTACACGCCAGCCCTTCAAGTCACGAAACTAAGTCTGGAAAAGAGGACACGGCGACGATAGGGATGCCTGATAAAGAGTCAGCAATCATGACCAAGCATCGTGTATAAATAACATCTGACCTGGAGACCAGAATCGCCTGGAAGCAGATACGAAGGTGGAGGGGGAAAATGCAGTTCTCCCAAAAAGAACCTCCCAGGCAGCCACTTATTTATTTCTTGTGGTCCGACAGTGAGGAAACGCACCCCCTCCCTAATCATAGCCCAGGTCACAGCTCGTCTCGCATCGCGCATTTCGCATTTCGCATATCATCTCTCATTTCTCATCTCTCATGTCTCGACCATCGCCCCGCCACCCACGTCACAGGGTCCCGGCCCAATGGCTGTATCAACCCTGTCCGTGTCGAGTATACAACGCTATGGCCAGACCTCAACCCAATTCCCTACTTCTGGCTCCTTAGCCTCGTCAATTTCGATGAGGTTTCCCTGTTCTGTAAGTTTGGCTCGTTTTTTCAGGTGTCGCAAGGAACGGGAGGTGACCACCGCCCACCGGAATGGCTGTGCACTTCTCAAGAGTCGAACATGATGTCAGACGTTGAGGGCAAGTCTACGCTGTCTACGATGGAACAATCAATGTGGGACTTAGAGAGCGGATACGAAGAAGAAACAGATCATTTCAGATGCTTGAATATGTACAACATCAACTTTTTTTTTTTCATCACTCATCACTGGAATTACCGCTAGAGACAGGGTATCGTCTAGTCATCTCGGGCGGTTCCAAAAGTCATCCGTCTATACCATTACACGTAGTCCAGCCAGGGGGTCATCAAAAAGGTCCGTTAGGAGCAGGTTTACAGCTGCTCGACCCAGGGGGCCGCGCCCGCCTGCATCTGGTTTAGCCACTTGACAAGCTCAATCAGCTCGGCACGGCGCTCGTCCTCGAGCTGATCCTCGTTGCCAGTCAGAACAGCCTGGAAGACGGGAAGAAGCTGCGGGGTGAGACTGCGGATGGTCTCATCCTCCCACTTGTACAGCTGGCAGATCATGCGGTACAGGGGCTCATTCTCCTCAAAGTCGTTCTTGAGGGGCAGAATGCCGACCAGGACAGGAAGGACATCCTTGAGAGGGACGCTCTCGCGGCTGCGGAGAATCATGCGGCTGACACAGCCAGTGGCGTTGTCCTGCAGACGAGAGACGTTCATCGAGAGGCAAGACTCCAGACGGGTGAGAATGGTGGGGTACTCCTTGACGACCTCGTCAGAGGTGGAGTGCTCAACCAGGCGGCCGACAGCGTAGGCAGCGTTGGAGCGAGTCTGGGGGTCCTCGTCATTCAAGCGGTGCAGAAGCAGCTTGAGGAAAGTGGAGGTGAAAGGAGTCACGGCAGCACCCATACCGTTGATGCACTCGGCAAGGACACCCACGGCGGTGGCGCGCTCCAGAGACTCGGTGCTGCTGGCATAGCGGAGAATGGTCTTCTCGAACACCTTCCACAGCTCAGCGAAGCTCGGGCCCAACGCAGCGGCCATACCGGAGACAACGTCAAGACCGGTGTCAACAACAACCCAGTCAAACTCAGAGGTCTCCTCGCCGGCCTCGAAAGCCTCCTCCTCGGGACCGAACTCGATCTGGCAAGGGTGCTGCTTAGTGATGATGTCGGTGATCATCTGAATCACGTTGTGAAGCACAGTCTCATCAGCAATGAGAGCCGGGCCGCAGAAGCGGAGGTTCTCGGCCATGTTGCGGTTGATGTCCGCGACGGTAGCACTAGTTTCCATCAGTCAGTATGCAAATTGACAACGATAGAGCGAACATGGACATTGCAGAAGATAACAATGGGAATCAGGAGTAGACTTCGCCGTTTACATCAAGCACGACTTTGCGTGTCAAAGTGAGCTGGGTTAAGCGGATGGGATCATCATGTAAAAGCCCGAAAAGAAACAAAAAAAAAAAACAAGAAAAGAACAAAAAACGTACCGATCATCTTCCTCGGTCCACATCTTGATTGTGGCGGTCATGAGGATTTCGCCGAACTTCTGGACCTCCTTAGCCGGCTGGACTTGAAGCGGCAGACCAGGCTGCCACTTGGGCATCTGGTTGCTCTCCTCGGCGATGGCAAAGAGCATGGCGTAAGAGCGGTGCAAGGTGCTGATAGTGCTCTTGCGAACACCCTCATAGGGATGCTCTGCAAGGGGCATGACCATCTCAATGGTCTTCTCGAAGTAAGGTAGGAAAGAGTTGCGGGTGTGAGTAACCAGGTCACCAATGACCTCAACAGCGATCTCCTTCTCGAGGGACAGAGGAGTAGTGGCAGTGATATCATCCCAAGCGTCATCGTCATCCTCGACATCGATGTCCTCGATATCACCCTCGAGGTCATCATCATCGTCAGCACTGGCAACCTTGACTTTGCGGCCGGCAACAGTCACTTCCTGGCCGACAAGATCCTTGGCAGCTTCGCCAAGCTCAACCTCAAGGTCAGTCTCATCCTGTTCAATACAGTCGAACAGGCCCTTGGTGACCCCGTGGAGGAAGGGCGAGAAGTGCTCGGAGTAGACCTTGGCCATGGCGCCCCAGAAGATGTAGGTACTCTCCTTGAGACGAGAGTGGCCAAGGTGGAGGGCCTCTTCGGTGGCACGCATGAGGGGCTCGACATAAGGCTGGTAGCGCTCAGGGCCTGCCGCAGCAGCCATCTCGCCCATAGCGTCGGTGACACTGGCACGGAGATCGAGCTCCTCCTCGGAGTCCTTGACGGTAGCAAACTCCTGGAGAAGGTGCATGGTCTCATCGAAGAAAGAGAGGAAAGAGTCACCCGCAGAGGAAGCAAGCGAACCGAGGGCGCCGGCAGCGAGAGACTTGATCTTGAAGTCGGGGTGCTTGAACAGGTTGTGCAGGATGGGAACGAGCTCAGCCTGGTAGGGGGCAACGTCCTTCTCATCCAGACCATCGACGACAGCGTCGATGGCGCTGATACCGGCCTTCATGATGTCCATGGTGGGGCCATCCTCCTCACCCTTGTACTCCTGCATGGAGCTCGCAAGGTTCTTGAACAGGAGAGGCATCAGGCGCTCATGCTCAGCGCTGAGGTCCTCGGCCAAGTCGTCGGCCAGACGTGCAACAGCATGCAGGGACGCCTGGCGAACCTTGGGCTCAGGATCGGCAAGGAGCTGGAGAACCATGGGGAAGATCTCCTGCATCTGAGTGCTGATGAAATCGGGGGCACCCTCAACGCACATGCCGAGAGCCATGATACCGGCACGGCGGTAATTAGCGTCGGTGTTGTTGAAGTACTGACCCAGGGTCTGGAGCAGGGGAACAACGACCTGGCTGGGAGGCAAGCTCTGGGAGAGCATATCCAGGAGACCCAGAGCAGAGCGGGGAGGAGTGATGTCGTCGTCAATGGGAGAGTCATCCAGCTCGGTGACAATGTGGAGGGCGGTGCGGGTGAGCTGCTCACCGAGGCGCATAGCCTGGATCTTCAGTTTGCGGTACTGAACGCACTGCATAAGGAAGCTGATGGCCTGAGTACGGGTGTCGTCATCGGCTTCAGTGTTGGCAGAAAGCTCGTTCATGAAAATGACAAGATCCTTCAGGTGAACAGTGAGCAAGGCGGGGTCGCAGCCGAGCAGGGTCTGGAAGACCTCGAAGGCCTGCATGACGCGATCCTCTTCACCCTGGTCAATGGCGTCCTTGAGAACGGCAACCATGGAAGGCACGAGCTCCTGGAAGGCCTTGACGGGGGCCTCGTTCTCGTCGGAGTCGAGGACCATGGCAAGCTTGCTCAGAGCCAGGAGAGTGTTAATGCGAACCTCAGCACTCTCGGGGTCCCGAATGGTCTTGCTGAAGAGGTTGAAAAGGTCCTGGAACTTCTCCTCGAAGCCCTCACCCAAGGTCTCCAGAATGGTAAACAGGATGTAGAGGGCCACAGCACGCTCGTCGGGGTTGGCGCTCTCGCCGGCGCGCAGCAGAAGGTTGGGCAGGTCCGGCCACTCGCCATCATTCAAGTCAATCTTGGCCACAGCCGAGATGATCCGAGCGACGGAGTGACGAACAAGGGACGAACTCTCGCCCATGGTGGATCGGAGTAGCTGGTCCCGGACCTGGGGCTTCCGATCAGCGCCCACCTTCAGCCAGTGCTTCTGGACAAGGCCACGAGCCTCAACGGCGGCCAGCTGACGGAGGTTGGGGTCTTCATGGCCAGTGGCAATTTGGATAAGGAGAACGAGTGACTCCGGCTTGCTGTAGTACTCTTTCTGGAGGACCCCGGTGGCCTCCTTCACATTTCCCTGGGTAGCTTTTGGGAGCATTAGCGCCAGTTGATGAGGTCAGATGGGAAGAGAAATCCTTACGATCAAGAATGATAGAAAGCTGAGCCAGGAATCTTTGAGAGTCCATCCTGAAGGATAGATATGAGCTTGTGTCAACACAAGCCCGGGTATCACAAACAAAAAAAGAAAAAAGAAAGGGGGATGAAAGAAGGTAAAATGTGGGAGGGGTGTGGAAAGAGAAAAGAAGAAAAAAAATTAAGGCGGGGCGGTCCGGTCGAATTCGGTTTAGGCCGACGACAACGCGAGCCGTAAAATTCGACCTCCACCTCACTGTTTGGGCAGAAGTTTGGGTCGTGTTCACTAGTCCAATTAGAGGGAATATCAATGGTTTGATTAGCCTGACACGGGTCGACGGACTTTTCCTATCCTCATATAACCGTGGTGGAATGGGCCGAGTATAGATGTGACCACCCTCTACAGAGCTCGACCATCTTTTTCTCGAACAGCATTTGAACTAGGAAGGCTCGAGGAGTATCTCCTTGAGGGATAGTTACCTGAAGCCTAATTCCAAATCCGATTTGAAAGGTCTCCTGAAGAATTCTGAGCTAGCTTTCTACACAACTACGAAAATTTTGTCCTAGTGGGGCTGTCCACGCCCGCAGTCTGTAGTTCCTACGCTAGACTACAAGCGGTTCGGTAGGTATGCTGGGACGCTAGAAGGTGTCAAACGTTCCAGAATGATGCTTATTGTTTTACGCATCTTGTCCCTGACTCCTAGACCGTTCTCAAAACTCCAAGTTATCTCCTTAATCCGTACTCGTGACTCAACCAACCCAACGCAATGGACCCCAAGGTCCTTGTCGATCCGTTGAATAGTAGCCACCGACCAATTATGCAGACAAAGGGCGGAGATCATCATCATCATGATCATTCAAGCAAAGATTCCAATGGCTTAGAATTCGTCGGAGTCGTAGTCATCATCGACCAGCAATGAGCGGTAACCCCGCGAGGCAAGATTGGCTTCTAGACCACCATCCGAGGCCGGGTCAAGATATCCTAGTACAGGTTAGTTGGGAAGCAACGGAAAGGTCGGAACCGATGGGAACGATTGAAACATACCTCCTCCGCCGAAATAGCTGAGAGCCACAGGCAGGAAAATAAGGGCGTGTATGGCGGCAAACACAACCAGTGCGAGCCACACGCGGAAGTAATAGATCTCGAAGATCTTGCTGCGAGTAAATGCCAGAACACAAACACCTAACAACTTCGTGATGGTGATGCCACTAAACACACTCCCGCCGACGTTGACCAGTGCCGTCCAGGCACGAGCGTCCTTGCCCCGAAACTTGACAGGGGCCTTCTCCATCAAGGTGCGCGATGGAAACATGAAAGCCCGAGCAATATGGGCGCAGAATTCCACTGAGATACCAACACAGATGACCAAGTTCACGAGAGACACTGCGTTAAGAGAGACACCAGCAATAGCCATGGTTCCGATGATATCAACGACTGTCATCACAACAGTCGTGGTGACCACTGCGCCCGTAGTAACGGAGCCCAAAATGGCAGAAGTCAGGACGAATATAATGGCAACAGCCGATCCCAGAAGGGTGCCAGTGAGCTGTACAATGGAGACATACTGGTCGAAGAAGATGTAAAATTTCGAGTATGGGAATATGTCGATTTTGTGCTCGCGAGAAAGGCCATCGGCAATCCGACGTGCCGCAATATAGGACTGGATGAAGTCTTCTTGGGTTCGCAGCGGGGTGTGACTGGTTCGGAAATGACTGGCATTGATCGTGGTGCGTTGCTCGTCGATAACAATAGCGTTGCTGTAGGGTGCTTTGCCGCCCAGGGGGCAAGAAGCATCAGTTGGCGAATCGATCCATTTCTCCGCATAATGGATGAACTCGGATCCTGTAGGCATTCCGTGAAGGGTGATGTTCCACAGAGGGATACGGTCCTCGAAGCACAACTTGCCATCTTCTTGGCAACAATCCGACTGGGGATTCAGCCAGTAGAAGAAGTCATCGATCCAGCTAGCAGCGGATCCAGAGAGGTAAGAAACATTTGGACGCTTGGATTCTTGTTCCAGAACAAATGGTAGCGAATATTCCTCGCAGGTAGTGAATCTTCCACAAAGTTGTTGCTGATGTTTTCTCTCCGTCATATTGACATTGCGGGTCACAAAATAGACGGGGGGACCGGTGCGAAAGTAGTCGCTAAGATCATCGAAATAATCGATCAGGTACGAGTCGCTGGGAAGCGCGATCCGCTGATCCAGACCGAGAGCGACCTCTGGAATGAAGGCCAAGCCGGCAGTCAGAAGACCTAGGAAGATAATTACAACTGCTGCCTTCACCCGACGATCCAGGATGAAGGGGGCATACACCCGGCGGATGAAAGTTTGCAAAGAGCTCTCGGCCTCATGGTCATCGTAGATCTGCTCCTCGGGCAGGCCGAAGGAGTTCGCCTTTCGAACGGTAAGACAGGGGAAACAGTCCGCGCGAAGGCTTTGTACTCTCCTCTGATTCAGGGCAAGCACGGAGATGAACATGGTCATTTGCAGAATGGCATTGATGAGCACGGCTCCCGCTGCGTACGCTGCGAAGTTCTTGACGGCAGGCATGCCGACGAAAGCACCCAAGGCAAATGCCACCGTCTCAGTCAGGGCAGACAAGAACACACTAGGACCAATTCTGCCAGCAGCACGAGCAACTCGCTCATCGACCTCTTCATTGGGGTGGCTAAAATTGACCCTCTCGAACTCATGGACGATAAGGAAGATGTTGTCCACGCCCACTGCCAAGACCAAGAATGGGATGACCTCTGCAATGATCAAGGTCACCTTGACACCCGCAGCTGAGAACAATCCCACCGAAGCAGAGACAGACATTAGCACGATCACAATACCTGCGATTCCCAAAGAGAACTTTGATTGCACAAAAGCATTGGCAGGATTGGTCAGAAGAGACTTCCAGGTCACTGTGACTGATCCCAGGGCGAGAGAAGCATAGATGAACATAATCACGTAGCTGATGACCACGATCTTTGCATCGGTATTAGTTGATTTGTTCAGTTCTTGTTCCAAGCTGATCTCGGCATTGAAAGAAACGCGGAGGCCACGTGCAGTGGCTTCCTCCTGGACTTTGTCGAAGATTTCTCGAAAAGCATTCTCCCAATCGATAGCCTTCGCTTCTCCTTCACTTCCTTGTTCGAAATTGTTCACCACCCATGTCACAACCAATGCCTTGGCGTCCAGAATATCCCCGGTTTCATCGTATCCACCAAGGACCATCTCCGGCTTCAGGGGCTGTTGGAAATCTGGGAGACAGCTTACATCGCCGGGGGACTCAGTGCAGTGGCGTAGACGGTCCTTCCACGTATCGGGGTCGAGATTTGAGTTAGAGCCACCAAAGTAGCCCGTTAATGACTGTACAACACAGGCATTACCCATAGGCTTGAAGCAAACGTCCTCCAAATTGAGGCCCATATCCACGGACAGCACTCGACGCACTCTGGTTTCAACGTCAAACCACCATGTGAGTGTTTGGTAATCCAGAACTGGACCAGTGTCGTTCACCAAGAAGGCTTGCTCTGCCCGGAAGAAGGGTCCAAAATTTTCATCAAAGAAAGTCTTTTCTTGCGCGGCCGCTGATGATGGGCTCACCCAGAGGCGAACTGGGTCAATTTCGACGGTGAATCGCAGCCAGCCTAGGCTAAGCAAGATTACCGCAATGAAGCTGGAAATGATTGTGATGGCAGGGAAGCGTGCACAAGCACCACCAATGCGATGAAAGATTGCCGAAAGCAAGGCGTTGGGCTTGTATACTCCCTGTGGCTGTTCCAGGTAGCCCCCGCGATGCACGATCTCTCCTTCATCCTCGTCATCGCTTGGCGTCGGGTCCTGAAGCAGGCGTACCCGCTCCGGTTTGCGGAATCTTCGTTCCTTGAATGTGACATAGGTAGCGAGTCCCATTACCAGTAGCAAAAATGCAGAATAGATAATGATGACTGCAAAAGAAAGACATGGCAAGAGCCCGACATGGCATGCTTCCTTTGAGTGCACAGCAGGCAATTCAGGGCAGACGTCAGGACAGTCGACACAAGAGCAGCGGAACGACTTGTCAGGGTCGTTGCAAGCCTTGGGCGTTATTGACAAGGCTCTCATGCCATCTGGATCCGGCCCACTGGGCTCGGTGAGGTAGTTGATCTGGAACGGACTGCCCAGGAACTTCTTGTCGCCCAGGAATTTTAAGAAATGCGGATAATCCTTCGCCCCTCCACCGATGAAATCAATCGCCTTGCCGCCGGACGCGCCGTTCTTGACGTTCTTGCAGCTGTCATAGAAGCCGCTTTGGTATTCCTCCGACCAAATATTGTCGACCTCTGTGACCAGCGTTTTGCCGGCACTAGTATCTTCGGTGTTTGTGACATTGACGAAGAGCGACTGATCAGGCGAGCAAGTGAATGTACAGAAGATATTGAAAAAGTTATCACGGCAAGCCGGGCAAGAAGCGATGATGCCTTCTGCAAGACGCACGTTCTTTGCAAGTGCATCGATCTGCAATGAGAAAAAGATCAGTACTGATTGTGCAAAGCCGATGGTATCCCCGGATTGAAAGCTGGGACTATCCTCACCTGTTCCTCGCGGCAACAGACCGGGCCCTCCTCCCACTTCGGGCCACAGAGATTAATCAGCTTCTGTCGCACCGAGTCTTCTGGTTGGTGTGCTAAGTCATTGTCGGGGCAGGGCAGTTCCCCACCAAAGATAGACTGCTTTCCACAGTGACCACGGAAGGAACAGCGACCCTCTTCATGTATCTTGGTGTGGCCTTGCGCGCCGACCAGCGTAGGTTGCAAAGCAAGGGCGCCCAATCCAGCCAGCGCAGAGACCCAAGTCAGCTGCCGCATATTGTATAGCAGAGCTGAAGCTCAGGCTCTATGCTGCTATGCTATCAGATTATTTCGCGTCTCGGCTGTCCCGATCTCCTCGAGATCGATGACCATGCAACGTGCGGAGACGGTTGCGATGCCGAGCTCGGGGGGGCAAGGAGGAAGAAGCACGGACGGCTCCTAGGGAGAAGGTCAGGAACTCAATACAAAGCACGACCCGTGTTGGAAGGTAGAGATAGTTGAATAAAGAAGAGCAACAGCTAGCAGGGAATCTTGGAAAGTGCCTAGACGAGTAGCATGACGTGAAGAGCGGAGGCGGGAGAACCGAGCTAGAACTGGAAATGGGACTGCGCGGGTACCTCCAGCCCCGCACAATACTCCAACTTTTCAGCCCCAGGGACCTTGCTCCCAAGGTTTTCAGGCAGGGTGTTTTCTATATCGATTCAAACTGCACAGGGATGTCTAGCGCACGCAATGTTTTGCCAAGAATGCACAAGGCGCCTACGCAGGCACAGGGTTAAGTAGTCTGACTTGAATATCTACGCCAACCTGCATTGAGTGCAAGAGCTCTCTTGCACTCAATGCATTGCACATGTGCCTGCTATTATGCTAAGATGGAGATGCTTCGTGTACATTGTGGACCGATAGTCCAAGGTATGGACAACCTACAGGATGGCAATTTCACGATCCGACGCCAAAACCAGACTGAGAAATTTACATGAATGGCGGCCATCTGCGAGAGCTCCAACCGAGACTCGAGATCCAGCCTCTATGAACAATAACTCCGGAGTGCGAAATACACCAGATGACCGTATCTGCATGGCCGATCCAGTTAGCGATGGGCACATGAAGGATCCAATAAAAAACAAGGAAATTGATATCAAAAGTAAAACGTGACAAAGCCATTGCGCCGAGGCTCACTGCATTTCAAACCGGCCTTTTAATAACCCTCATCATCAGCCTGCTGGTAGATGTGACGTGTCCGGGTCGGATCCTTGCGCATCTGTTGGCCAGACCCGGTAAAGCCCACTGCCAAAAAAGAGTTAGCACCTGAAAACACGGAAATAAGAGACCAGATCCAACATACCCCGTGCATTGACACTATCACCCGTGCGAAACATGCTATCCTTCTTCCCGAACTTGCCCTTGGTCTTGGTCTTGGCCGCAAAATCCTTCCATTTATTCTTTCCCTCCTCGAGTTCTTTGTTGGCCTTCACCTTGCGTGGCACCTTGGCGGGCCGGGCCGGACCATCTTCAACTTTGCTGGGTTCTTGCCGGGCCTGACTGGCCAGAGCTGGGTTGATATCGGCCGCCGCTGAGATCACGTTGGGCGGCGGCGGTGCGGGAGACGGTGACGCCGAACTGCCTGGAGTTCCATCAGCCTTACGTTTTCGGTCAATGCCCGCGACGGGGCGAATATCCTTGGAAGTCAAATTCTCCATGGTCGAGTAGGACTTGAATGACACCAGATAGATGGGATTGCTTGAGGAGCCAGTGATGGATGTGATGCGCGCGGGATAGTAGGAGCCGTCGCCAGACACCCAGCGGGCCAGCACGGTATCATTGACGCGATACGAGGCGGGAGCTGGCGGTTGTGCCTCTTCGATGGCCTCGGCGGTGGGCTTGCCCGACGTATGATCTTTCCATGACTCCTTCGGAGGCGGGGCTGGCTTGGGTGCGGTCGCGGGGGGGTTTTAGTTCAGCAATGGAAATTTCGGTGAGGGTTATGTATTCTTCAAGTTCAGCCTTGAGGCCCAGGAGTTCCGAATTATCGGGATCTACCTGCAAGCTCGCATCGACGGTTTCAAGCTGGAAGGGCCTGTCAGCGTGAGTGAGCATCAGGCCGTGGGACCGGAACTGACCTGGAGCTTGATCTCCTTCACCTCTGCCTCTAGGGCAGCCACGTCAGACATGGTAAGGGGTATGCAACGGACGGCGTTATCTGAAAAAAGGTTCAGCCAGCAAGGAAAACCGAGAGGCTCAGCTTTGGCGCTAATTTGGGGGTGGATATGCGGAGAGTTGCCGCGCCCGTCGCCATTGAGAGAGTGGTGATCACGTGATAATAAGTAGATTGCACGTGCGAATCCATGCACCACGGGTATCGACAACCTTGAATTTGTGTGAAGCTCGCATGCAGATGCTACAGCCCTGGAAGTCTCGAACCTGTCCGATTATTTGTAGCGGTGAACCGTTCCGTGTACAAAGGGGCGGGTGTTTCACCTCTACACTTGTCTCTTTTTTTTTTGGATAATTTGCTCGACGAATAGTCAGATCGATCGATCGACCAATAAATAGGTTCCCATTTTGTTTTATTACTTTCTTGGAGCAAACCTAGCATCCCGCGTCATGATTTCTGAAGGTCTTCGCCAACATTCTGAAAGGTTCAAGTCCTTGTACTCTGGATGCAGTAAATCCGATAAGACCGATAAGCCGATCGACATTCTGCAGGCGAAAACGGGGATCTGTCGCCTTTTATCGGAGAAGAAGATGGAGCCATGTGTAGCATGCGGGAACCAGTCTACGATCACCTCGCTCGAGCTGAAGGCAAATAGGAACGTCATTCTAGACTCAGTTGCCACGCAGGTGTCTGTGTCGGCCTGATTCTGCCTGATTCTGCCTGATTCCGCCTAACTCCTGGGGTGGGGCTAGATCCGAACAGTTGCAGGAGAGACTACAATACTGTATATGTGACTCACAGAGGACTAGCGCGGAGAAGATGGGAGACAATCTTGTACGAGGTCCAATTGGGCTCGTAGCCTCGAGTGAGGAGATCGTTTCCGGTCATCTAGGGACGAAAAACCAGAAGAATTGACGAGAACCATTGATTTCTAAGCAACGAGGAGACCCAAGAATCGGATATCGGGCCAATGATGGAGCCGGTTCGCCCACTCTGCCTCTTTCCATCATTCCTCACATCTTTCTACCTCTCGAGCAGCACCCGGGGGCTGATTCTCCCAACTAGCGTGATTCTTGGCCTCAGGCCCCTTCAGTGAAACCTCGTTTCTTCATCTCTCTCTGTCTTGTTCTTCGCTTTATCCCCCTCACCCCTCACCCCTCCTTAACACGCTCACCGATTATCCGGGGATCCATAGCGGGGAATTGAATCTCATCCGGATCCTCACAGCATCTTGAGCCTGGAAGTTCTCACTCTTCCTTTGCGGGCTAGAGGCCCAGTTGTCAGCCTCACTTTAATCTTATCCTCATCCCCTCTTTCCTCTTTTCTCTTTCCCTTTCAACCCTCTCGCCACCTCATCGCCCCATAGCGTCGTTCAACCTTGCCACCATGGGTGACTTCGATCAGCTCTACAACCAGGGGCTCTACCTCTCCCGGGACCAGCAGGACCTGTTGATGGCTGCCCTCCACTCCAACACCCCCGCCAACAAGCATTCCCACCAGACGCCTCCTATCAAAACCGATCATAGCCCGGCTCATTCATCCAACGGCCTCAGTGGCCCGCCATCCGGTGCACTCGACTCCAACTCACATTTGAACCCCTTTGGGAACTTTGGAGATGACGAGAGCCCGTATGTCGACTTCGACCCGGGCGTCGATTTTGATTACACCGCCTCCGGGGATCTGATTGGAGATCTCCCGGGTGAGTCGGGTCAGGACTATGAACTGGGTGAGAAGCGGAAGTCCATCGACGGCAAGTCGGAGGAGGGTGAAGATACGGGCAAGAAGCGACGGGAGAGCGAGGCTAAGAAGCCTGGCAGAAAACCGCTGACCTCAGAGCCTACTACAGTATGCATCCCCCTACTTCGGCTGAACTTGCGTGGTAGGCAGTATGTTCTAACCCAGGGAATAGAAGCGTAAAGCTCAGAACCGAGCCGCGCAGAGGGCTTTCCGAGAGCGCAAAGAAAAGCATCTCAAGGATTTGGAGACCAAGGTGGAAGAATTGCAGAAGTCCTCTGACACCGCCAGCCAGGAGAATGGGTTGCTGCGAGCTCAGGTCGAACGACTTCAGGTCGAGCTCCGTGAGTATCGCAAACGCCTCTCGTGGATAAGCAGTGGTGGTAGCGGCCTCTCTGCTGTGAGCAATTACCCCAACGTTTCGTCAAGAGGATCCACCGGTCTGCAAAATAATGAGTTCCTGTTCGATTTCCCCAAGTTTGGTGACTTGCCGGGTGCCCATCTCTTCAACGGGCAGAACAAGGAGCATCTCAGGAACAAGGACAGTGCTCGTGCTCCGGGTGTGTTGAGTCGTGACAACCTGAATGCTACCGACTCTCGTAGTCCCGCGACCAAGTCCACCTCCAGTACTCCTCAGGCCCATACTGGCTCTTACGGAACCCTTGGTAGTAACGCGTCTGTCAAGACCCCCTACTCCGGCCTCAAGCCTTCTTCTGCCCCTACTCAGGATACTTCCAATTCGGATTCTCCGTCGTCATCATCGGACTCACACCAAAGCCAGATGCTCTCGTCGAGTGGCACATCACCCGAGCCTAGCTCCCACTCCCCGCCGGATGCCAAGAATTTCGGGCCCAATGTGTGTGTTCACGGCTCCATTGATGGTGAGGAATCCTTTTGCGCACGACTCGGCATGGCTTGCGGCAATATCAATAACCCCATTCCAGCTGCGCGAGACCAAAAGGTCAAGTCCAATAGCATTCCCAACCAGCAACCCGCTCCCAACTCCACCGATGACTCCATGGGCTTCGATTGGCTGGCTCAGCAAAATGGTGGCCAATTTGACCCGGTGCTCTTCGGAGATTGGCGCGAGCCGCAAGATGCTGTGTTGTCCCAGGACTTTGGTTCCTTCTTCAATGACGCCTTCCCACTCCCCGACTTGGGCAGTCCGTCGCACAACTTGACCGAGGTGGCCACGAACCAGGCTCCCAAGAAGGACTTGTTGGCCGAAATCGACAGCAGGCTGGACGAGGACGAGGTTGTGCCGGGCGAAGACAAGGCACAAATGCTCTCGTGTACAAAGATCTGGTATGATTCCTGTGCCTTTTATTTCACCTCGCACAACAAGTCACTGACCATCCATTTCAGGGATCGCCTCCAATCGATGGAGAAGTTCCGCAATGGCGAGATCGATGTCGACAACCTTTGCTCCGAGCTACGGACCAAGGCTCGATGTTCAGAGGGCGGCGTGGTGGTGAACCAAAGGGATGTCGACGACATCATGGGTCGCGCCAAGTAGCGAACCTGACCCACGATGGGCGTAATGGCCGTACGGACCCATCTTTCACGACTCACGGAAACCGTTCATCTCTACTGAACTTTGTACTACGTTATTTTACTCATACCCACGACTTATCATTTCAACCTCAATCGGCGTCATGAATACCAACAAAAAGAGGAAACTGGCGCTCCTTCAAATTTGAATCCCATGTCCAGCGGCGTGCCGATGGCTGCCTTCATTTTGGCGAATCTACATTCTCTGATCTTGTTTTCCTTTCTTTTTTATAACATCCTCTTCAATGCTTGCAGTACTTGGTCCCTTGTCGTCTTTCATGCGTGCTTGTTTACTTCAAGCCTGGCGAATGGAGATGCCGGGGTTCGTCATGCCGGTGGTGCATCGTCTCAGCGCTTTATCAGCCAGGAAATGAGACCCATTGTATTGGAAGGAAATTCTGGAAATCGGCGAACAGGAATACTGGGAAGGCTTGCGCTCTTTGTTCTGACATCGTACTCTTGTAACCAATTTCAATGTGAAATTACTAGATTTCAGTCCATTTGTAAATCTTACTTACTCCAGCATGCTCAGCCCCAGACCAAACGTAATGTCTGTCCAGGATGTCTATAGAAGATTCTACAGTTGTGACGAGAATAGACCGAAGCTGTGAGGGTATCGATGTTTGGTCTCTTCCAGGGAACAGAGAAAAAAAAGAGAACTAAAGTACAAAAAAACTGGTGCCAAGGGGGTGGATGATGATTATTTTTTTTGCATTATTCTTTTGCGTCTTCCACACTCTCTGCGTGTCACAACAAACGCTCTCGCCAGATTTTCATCTGGTCAATTCCAACGTGCTTCATGGTGGACTCGCGATGCCCAGGTAGGTGAGTGTCCTGGAAAGAACAGACGAGACCTGAGACAAGCGCAATGGAAACACCACCTCGCTAAAGGGGAAAAGAGTAAAGAAAAAGATTGGGTACTTTGGAATGTTTCACGGAGGAAAAAAAAGACACAAAGAATTAGAATATGGGGCAAAGAAAGGGGGCATCGAATCAACATGAGGCGTAGGAAAACAAAGGCAATCGAGGGTGTTTCGAAAACCCGAATGTAGAGGAAGGCGACAGAAAGAATCAAGAGTATGCATGTCTACCTTTTAAGCATCACCGGAAGGGGCAGGCTTGTCCCCGGAGGGAGTCGAGGGGGCAGGAGAGTCGCCTCCCGCACTCTTGAAGCCACCGCGACCACCGCGACCACCACGGCCACGGCCACGATCGCCCCGACCACGACTACCGAATCCGCCCCGGCGGGCACCCTCACTGTCACTAGCACTCTGGTAGCCACGTCCGCCAGCGCTAGCTCCACCACGGCTGCTGCCCTGCCAGGTTCCGGCATTGCCTTGTGCACGGGCGCCGCGGTCCTCGAAGAACTTGAAGTTGGGCTTGCGAGGTTGCCCAGTGGGAGTAGGCTTCTTGTGCTCGATGGGCTGGCGGTCTAGAGCCGACTTGGCGTCCTCCACAGTCGGGAATGTCACGACATGGTTGAATTTACCATACTTCTCGATCTTGACCACCTTGGCCTGGTCCTCCTCCGATAGCAAGTCACGCACCGCCTGCTCGTTATCGACGTTGGACACGAAGAGTCCGTTGCTGGGCTTCTTTTCCCCACGAGGAGCTGGGGATTCGGTCTTCTCGGGCTGAGCAGAGCCGTTGGCGTCAGCAGCGACCTTCTCCTCTCCAGCGGACTGAGCGGACGTGGAAGCGGGGGGGCTGAGGGGTAGCAGTCTTGGGAATCACGGGAGCAGGCGATCCACGAGGTGGTTGACCCTTCTGACTCTGTTGAGCAGCAGGGGGAGCGTGGGCAGTAGGCGCCTGGCCGAACTGAGGAGTAGAGGCAGTAGGCCGACCACCAGCAGCCCCAGTGGGCGCAGGAGAGGCAGTAGTAGCGGGGGGGACCGGTAGCAACAGCCTGGGGCCCGCCAGCAGTAGGCTTGCCACTGCGGTGGGCGAAGTTGAAGCCCTGAGCCCGCATCTCCGTCGCGATGCGTCCTGCCTCAATCTCCAGAACCAGGTATCCGAAGGCGGCATCAGCCAAGTTGAAGTTCCACATGTTCTTAAAGGCGCTCTCGTCCACTTGGCCGGCCGCATTACCAGCAGCGACAGGGCCGCCGAAGGGGTTGCCGCCATTGGCGATTGAAGGCATCTTTTGGACCACATCCAACGCATTGTCGAGGAGAGTCTTCTGGGCCTCGTTTGAGGAAATTGCCGATTCCACCTCTCCCCGTACAGTCTCCCAAACATCGGTGAAAGATGCCTTGGAGGCCGCAAGCTTGCCACGGTAGTGATCCAGGGAAGGGTTCACCGAGAACTCATTGTAGGAAGAGCCGTAACGGAAGTGAAGACCGGCCGAAACGGAAAAGTCGGCCTTGAGGGTAACAGAAAGCTGGTTTAGCATGCCTTCACGAGCAGGCGAGGCATGAGTGACGAAGACACGGGTTTCGGAGGGATCGTAGACGCGGTTGGCTGTGTCGATCAGCTCGCCCATCTGCAGAAGTGTTGTCCACATAGTGCCCTGGCCACCAGCAATCGTTGTCTTGCCCTCGCCGTTGTCGAACAGCTTGTGCATGACCACCGCACCTCCCAGTCCAAGCAAACGCAGCTTGACGCCACCAATATCCAGAAGTCGCGAGTTGGCCTCATCAATGATGTGCAGTTTGTCAACCTTGTATTCGCCTGACCGGAACTTCTCCAACACACGAACATCCTCGCAGGCACCCCAAACTGTGTAGACCGGAACATCGAGGGTAATTCGTTTGTCCAGGAGCATCGGGAGTTCGGAGAGGGGTAGCTGATCGGGGTTGAATCGCTGCTTAATCGACTGCGCAGGAGGGACCTGTGCAATCGTTCGCTTCACATTCTCTGGCAGAAGGGGGGAGTATTGAGCAACATGCTTAAGCGTCCTGCGCGTAGATACAAAAAACGATTAGCTAAAGTGTCCGCTAATTTCGTGTTCGGCTGATTGGGACGTGTTGCCACCCCGTTGGGCAGCAAGGGCGTGCGTGCACGCTTGAATTGGTGTAGCACTCACTTGTCTGCAATGCGCTCGAGTGAGGTATCATCGTAGAAACCAAAATCACCCGTGTGGATGATGTGGTCTGCGCGAGCCTGTCTCGCCAGATCATTCAGAGACTTCAGGTTTCCTGCATCGCGAACTCAATTAGTCCAGCTTGGTACAAGATTGACATCCGGTCTTCCATACCTCGAACATCGGCAATGCACAAAATACGGGTGGGCCCCGATTGAATAACTCGGCCATTGTTGGGGAGCAGTGGCGTGGCTCCAGGAGCCGGACCCGCGGGTGTCGCGCCGTTGGAAAGATAGCCTTGAGGAGCGAAGGGGCGGGGCTGTAGAGAACAAGTGAGAGAGACAACGGGTCAGCGTGCCTGATAGCGAAACAGAGTAGATAGTAGGTCCTCCGCGGAGAGTAGCTGGGGGTAAGAGGGGAGAGAGTTGCAAGGTTGGAAGCATCACTTACAGAAGCCATGAGTGTAACAAGTCGGAGATCAGAAGCAGTGCTGAGGAGATAGAGGAAAAGAGGAGTTTAAAGGAAAGGAAGGAAGGGGGAGGTGTTGAAAGTTGAAGGCAAAAAGAAGACTGTCCTGCGCGATGAAGCAACAGCTAAGTTGGGGCGTAGTGCCTTAGTCAGCGCCCCTGGCGGCCCAGATGGGCGGCATAACAGCGCTTTCCACGAGCTGGGATGGATTCTCTGTTAGTCTTTTGTCGATGGAAAATTTGCAGGGCTATGGCAGGCCTCCCTTCTTTTGAGATTGTGGTGTCACTGAGTAGGCTCTGCTTAGAGGCTTTGGGCTAAAGGTGCATTTCGAATGACATGACATGCCTATGATGCGATTGTCGGATGAAGGTTTCTGCAAGTCTGCTACTAACATGAAATGTATCAGGATATTAAAAACAGAACCTGGCACATCGGATCATTTATTTAGATGTTTCGAAGAGAAGTTCCAAAATATACGTAGACAGTGTGTAGAGGAGACTGTCTAGGAAGAGATCAGATAAGGAGCCCAGGGCACCCATACAGCTAGGAAGATCTTTTGAAAACATTCGTTGTAGTTGATGAATTAAATCGCGCCCACGGTAATCATGCCACAAGTATGAAGCATCATGATGCATTGTCTTAGAGAATAAATTCGAAAACGACTGCTATCTCATCCATGATATCAGAGCTCACTGACATGATTGTCCCGCAATTTGTCAGCCTTTCGAGCTGGCCTCTGGTAAACGGACTTACGGCCGGACAAAGACCGCATAGATGCAGGTCCCTTCAATGCCAACAATGCAAAGTGACCACCAACTGTTGGACGAGCTCGGCATAGAATAGGAGTACCCGGATCATTTCCATGCTTGGAGGTAGAGACATACCGATCAGAGAAGGGCCAATTATGCTTGCCGTTGGTCATGAATGCCCAGAGGTCATCGACAAACTCGTCACGCGTGGTCGTGTCAAATGTACCTGCAAGCCACATATTCCAATCTGATTTGGCCCAGTCCTGTCGACTGTCGAGAGCTACACCGAACTCGCCGCGAACAGATGAGAAGAAGTCGCTTCCCATTTGATATGCCTCGTCAGAGAATGTCTTCAGTCCCAGTAGGAAATCGGGGAACAGGTTGTACGGGGTCTTCCATGACTGTGGGCAGTCAGGGTACTGTAACACGAAATGAGTGTGTTCTTCGTCTGTGCCCAGGCCCTCGTAGAAAAATAGATCTGCACGGTCCTCGCCAATCTCTGAGTATCGCTCATAACCACTTAGTTCGCCGAACGCCTTGATGCCGACTGCTGCCTTGATGGCCAAGTTGGTCTCATTAGGAAGAGGGCCGGCGGCGTCATTGGACGAGAGTTGATTGGCGATATCGACGCCGTTGTCGATCAAGTAATCGGCGTACTGCTGGAAGATGCCCATATACTGGTCGGTCCAATCAGTGTCTGCAGTGGCCTGCGCATAAGCCAGTGCAAGAATGAGTAGATTCCCACACTCTTCGATTGGCATAGGCTCCGCCTGCTGGTCATCATGACCGATCGCATGCGGATAGTGTGAGCCAATGTCGTGGATGGTGTAGGGCAAGTGCCAGCGCCCGGCATCCGTGTATCTCATGATAGGCTCAAGCAGTAGCCGGATCCAGTTCGGATCCATGACCCAGTAGATTGGGAAAGCCGGCATGATAACGTCAATGGTATTGACATTACCATCGCTGGAAAGCTCTTTGATGAAGGCCAGCACATCATCCGTGTCCAGTGATACATTAGATATCGTTAAATCCATGCCACCGTATGCCTGACGTGTTGACAAAGCTACGATATCCGCATACTTAGGACCGGCAACAGCGGTCGCAAAGGTCATCATCTCGTAGTCCAGCTCTACGGACTCCAGAACAGCATCCCCATAGTCATCCAGGAAGAAGTCGAGGGCTTCGTGGGTGGTCGGGTGATATGCTCGGTAGTAGCCCGTGTAAGCCTCTCCCAGGTAATTGATAGCCTCCTTCCTCTCGTAGCCTACTGCAAAATTCACAGCAATACCACCAGTGACACTTCCCAGATCGTGGGCAACAGCCACAATGTTTCGGTGTGACCAAGTGGATTCTTGACCTGACAGATTACCATCTTGGGCAAACTGGCCGCGTACTGTTCTGGGGTCACCGGCGATTGTGGAGAGTGTGCTCAAATTCGACTGGCGAGAAGCCAGTATCGCTTCGCCCCATAGGGCCATATCGTTCGCCTCGGCATACTTTTCTGCGTCTGCTACTGAGAGGGAATGAACGACCAGGCCGTTACGCTCCTCAAAGCTATGCACGGAGCGTTCTTCTCGACCGGTCCATCTCCCATCGATATCCGAATATACTTGAATATCAACACCATGAGCATCCTCGATATGGACGGTTAAGTAGCCTAGACATTGGCGTCAAGATTGAATGGATCGGAGAAAGTGCTTCTATACGGGGGAATATTTACTGAAAGGGATTGAATGGCGAAGATAATTTGAGGGCGACACAGGCGAAAAGAAATCCAAAGTGAAGGCAATCCCGCCTGCGGTAAGATCAAAGAGCGAATGAGTTGAGGTGAACTCGGCGCGACGAACTGTGGCCGGAATGATGTTGCTGGATTCCAGGTCGGGTACGCCCATCAGGCTATAAGCCTTGCCATTAACACGAACGATGACAGACCAACCGAGCTCCTGCCCCGCCCAGAACTGCGGCTCAGACGAGGGTAGTAGGTGCACGCGATCGCTGGGCATCCAGGCCGACAGATACGGGTTGCGGACGGCGAGAGGGTACGAAGGCGGCCGACTTGGGTGATAGGTGGGACCCTTGTGAATAAGGCCCTCGAAGAAGGTCCAGAGGGCGCCCAGTCCCAGGGGCATCTGCATATTGAATCGCATCCGGATGAGTGATGATGCGCGCCGAGCGCATCGATCACCGGGGATGTGTTCCTGTCGTGTAGGTGAAGTGCTGTGACCTGGATCCGGTATATCCAGTATACGGATCCAAAGTCGGGCAAAGTGGAAAATGATTCACAGGTTCAGAACGAAGTACCCCTTGGATCGCTGTCGTCAGCGGAGCCGGGGGAATTTCCCCACACGCGTCAGCTCGATCACCTCAAAGCCGCTGCCGAGCTCATTGGTCTTCGCGGAAATACGCTACGCATTAGTAGGAATCTCAGGCTGAAATGATCGGACTTAGAAGCTCCATGTGGTCGTGACACTTGTCTCTGTATCTATAGTATTTGATCCCCGTCTAAAAAGAATTCTAGTCTCATTGATCAAGGTCAACGTGTCTGAGAGATCGATCGATTAAAAAAGTCCTGGCTCTAGAATTAGCATATTGGTTCAACTTTGCATATCATATCTACAGCTGAGTCTACTCAATGCGCCGTTCAGTCTAACCAAAGTGAATCTGCTTCCGGACCACAGCAATTCCTACAGAGCTGGACCAATATCAACTGCCTTGATAGCATATCTGGGCTTCATCAGCTGTGTCAAGGCAGGCCGCCATGAACTCGTTGGCCTCCGTGGCAAAATTAGCACCGAAGAATCCCGTTGGACGGCATCTCCCAAGTAATGCAGCTAGTATAATAATAGTAGTAGTAGTAGTAGTAGTAGTAGTAGTAGTAGTAGTAGTATAACATTGTCATTCCATTGTTGCGTACGCCTCTTGGTAACGATATTCGTTATACATGTTATCCCCAGCTCATAGAAATATAAATAACAAAAGATTCGAATACACACTGTCACAGAACCGACGCGAGAAGCCACACGACTTCCAGATGCGAACATTTCTTAGCCGCTACTACCACAGCTTTGCACTGTAGATGTTGAATAGACTGTGTGCTTCCAACCACGTTCTCTCATTGCCGGATGGATCCAGAGTGATGGCATCCTGCCGAACTCGTGATGGAATTGGAGACATGAAGATCGAAAAGAACTTTCCGCTTGTCTCTAACGGGTCCACTCTCGTCGATGTGATTTGCTGAGGTTGTCATATCCCCCGCACTCCCATCGCTGGTTCCCCGGATTGATTGGCCTTAGTTCACATCACGGGCAATACTGTCCCTCGAATCTCTTCTTTTTACCATCTTTAATATTTGGAGCATGTCGAAGGGGATCCGACTTGTATCTGGGTGGTACATTGGCCCGTCTCACCAGTCGAAGGTCTCTGCTAACCCTTGTCAAAATCCCACCGTGGACGATGTCGGAGTAAGTGCCTGCGGATTTTCAATCAATTGCTTCGACTCGACTGGAAATGAGGAATATGGCATCTCAGAATTGAGAGGATCGCGTCAGGAACTTTGGCTTAGTATCACGATGAGATTACACACCAAGGTAGGGAACTTTTGACTCTCTATGACCAAAGTTCAATCTGACAAGGTCTGGTCCTGATGTGGGAGCTAGGGCCATAGCGATGAAACCGAGATATACTCCCGGGGCAAAGACGCTTCGGGCTCCACCCATGCTCAGGGGAGCCTCGATATAAAATTGTGCATAATGCTTTGCGAAAGAGATATCATCTAGGTGCAGTGATGGATTGATGGGCCGAACGGTATTAGGTCTAAGCTGCTTGGCCTCATCTGAGACAGAAAGTAATGGTCCTTAAAGGGTTTTCTTTGCAAGACTAGAGCACTAATACTACAGGAAGGAAGATCGCTTCATTTTCATGAACCGCTTTTATGTGCGATTGTAACCAGTAGCGACTGTACTGGTTGGGTATGATACAGGAAAGACCCTACAAATCTGGGACATCAACCACGGAACAAACGCAGGCCACCCTCCTCACGTTCACCGTCACTATCGACGTCGCTATCGCTCTCATCACCTTCACCCAACAGCCCGCTAGCCGTTTTGCCCAAAAGCGAAGCAAAGAATTCATCTCTTGCCCGACCAGTCCAGGAACCACGATCCTCGGGGGCCATGAAGTTCTGCAGCTTCTCATGCACGTTGAAGCGCATCTTGCGGCCCTTCGAAGCCCGGGTGTCGACGTCTCGCTTGACCTTGTCATTGCGCATTCCTGTGATAGGATGGATCGGAAGGCGGGAGGGGAGTTGCTGCAAAGTGTCGAGACCGCCGGAGATGGCTTCGGAGGACATGCGTTGCTCGACAAGTTCGCGCAGGAGGGATTGGTAGAAAACGGTATCATCGTAGATTGGTTGGTGCTGATCTGTGGAATCAGAGCCATTTGCAGTCGCGTTCGGGCGAGCGCGTTTGGATGAGCGATCGCCGAGCTCAGTTGCAACTTGGGCATCAAGAACAGTTGTGACAGTCTGAAGGCCAGATGATGAGCCAAGTAACTTGCCCCCAGAGTCGGGACGAGACGTTGAGGTTCCGCGGACTTTTAAAGACCACTTATCGAGGACTGAACGACGGTGAGGGAGGGATCCAGATTCGAGTTTATTCATGCGTTCCCAGAGAGTAAAGGTGGTGGTTGCAGAAGTGACCGGCGAAGGACGCTTGCGCTTCTTCGCGCCCTCTTTAGAGTGAGCGTCGGACAACACGGTGCGCAGCTCTTCGAGAGTAGACCAGAGGGCAATCGCGGCGGATTCAGCTGATTTGATCGTTTCCGAGTTTTCTTCTTTCTCATTGGAATCTGCCGTGCGATCATCTTCCAAAGCACCTGACATCTCGTTAATCGCGCTCAATCCCTTTTGCAACTTGATTCGAGTGTTGAGAAGCGCGTCAAAAGTGGCGCGTTGTTCTTTCACAGCCTTTCCCTTTGCGGCATCAGCCTTGGCGGCCTGTGAAATTGTTGCGGCAATTGTTTTCTGATCGGACGCCATTAATTTGCGCAGTTCCTCGCGATCGTCTTGCTTTTGGGGCCGATCAACATGCCGACTCTTTTTCAAATTCTTTTTGAGATCGGTCTGGTCCTCCTCGTCATCAAGCACCTCGCCGTCTTCACCCTCTACTGCTTCTCCGTCTTCCTCCTCGCTATCATCTTGCGTTTCGGATCCTTCAAGATCTTCATTTGACGAGGCATCATCTCCAGAGACTTCGTTTTCGGAGCCTCCACTGGTGTCTTGGTCCTGCTCATCCTCCACGTCATCGTCGTCATTATCTTCGTCATCATCGGTATGCGCTGCAAAGGGGTCGTCGTCGCTGTCCGCATCTAGGGCATCTCTGCTGACATGAGAACCAGCGTACTGCTTGCCCAATGTTACGGGCTCTTGGTTCCGGAGTTTTGCTTTGCTGTATTGACCGATTAGTCTTCTTTCAGGCCAAAAGATATGTATGCGCTTACCCAACCGACTGATAGTGCTCTCTACCAGCATTCATGTCTGGCGCATTGCCAGTCTCTTCATCGCTGGATTGTCCATCACGATCGAGATCCTCGGGATCAAAATCTAGTGTCGATGTCAGTTATTGGAAGTCTCTGATTGAGAGCGACTGCAAGCGAAAAGCATTTCGACTTACCCTTGGGAGTAGGATCTTCAAGTTCTGCTAGCTGGTCAGCCAGCGAGCGTCCAGGACGCGTCTTTCCGGGAGCCATGATGGTAGATGAAGCTCTGGAAAAAGCCGAATGGCGCCCGCAACTTTTTTTTTGTTTTTCCGGATAACGGAATAACTTGCTACTTTGGCCTAGCGTCTTTGGTTCCGGTCAGTGCAAAGACGGTCTGCAAAGCGGTGTGGCTTTTCTGGGCAGAATCGGCTTCTCCATTGACCATTCCGCAGCTTTTTGTTGATCTTCATGTCACTCGTTTCGAATTTCATCGTTACTCTTCCATCGTATTCAGTAATATGTGGACGGCATCATGTGCCCCTAACGCTGTGTCTAGAAGGGCTTTTTCAACATTTCGGGTGCTGAAACATGACAATCCCCTAGTGAGTTTCAATGCGTCCTGTGTCTTGCAAACCACGTGCATGCTGGTTACTGGTCACAGAACATCACCGTTCCAACCCTGAACTAATTATTTTACAATCAGGGCCTTCCACGCTCTGGGACACCTCCATCCTTTCCTCGCCGCCGTGGACTACCTGAAAAGCGCAAGATTCGAGATGTCAAGAAAGTGGTTGCGGTTTCGTCAGCGAAGGGTGGCGTTGGCAAATCAACCGTTGCTGGTGGGTTGATAGCACTTTCTGCCCCTATCTGTTTCTTATTTGCTTTCAATGCGTTGCGTGTCAGTGTTTCACTGTGCTTTCCGATCAAAGCTAAACTGGTCGCCGAATATACAGTAAACCTCGCCCTCTCCTTTGCTCGACGAGGCATCAAGGCCGGGATTCTGGACACCGATATCTTTGGCCCATCTATTCCAACTTTACTCAACCTTTCTGGCGAGCCTCGACTCGATGAAAGTAAGATTTCAACGGACCCTTGAAAGAGGGGCATTGGGAAACGCACTGACGAAATCATCTACATCTACCAGACAACTGCCTTGTCCCTCTCACTAATTACGGTCTCAAGTCTATGTCCATGGGATACTTACTACCACAGACCCAGGCAGATACCACTACAGGCGAAGTCCCAATGGACACAACTCCCATTTCGTGGCGCGGTCTAATGGTGACCAAAGCAATGCACCAACTCCTCCACTCAGTATCATGGGGACCCTTGGATGTGCTCATCTTGGATCTTCCCCCGGGCACTGGTGATGTGCAATTGACTATCAACCAAGAGATCATCATCGACGGCTCAGTGATTGTGACAACACCCCAAGATATTGCCCTGCGCGATGCTGTGCGCGGCATTGGCATGTTCCAACGAATGGATGTCCCCGTCCTCGGCATGGTCCGGAACATGGCTTACTTCGCCTGTCCCAACTGCGGACATCAGACTCGAATCTTCTCTCACGGTGATAGTGACCACTCATGCGGCGAGGACCGTGGTGTCTTAGCGCAGTGTAAGCGGCTGGGTGTCGATTTTCTGGGGGTATTCCTCTCGATGCGCAAGTGTGCGAAGACGCTGACCGTGGTATGCCGACTGTCGTGGCTGAGGAGAGTGCAGAGCGTAGTGGCAGGCGTCAAGCTTTCCTAAATGTCGCGGAGCAAGTCGCCAAAAAGATTGGTCTAGATTGGCACTGAGCCTGATCCTCTGACTGTATCAATATGGTTCTCGTACATCATGTTCTGAGCTTTGCGTTTGTTATCCTTCAGTGATGTCTTTCTCGACATCCGCACTTCTTCTTGTACCATAATGTGTGCGATAGCTTAAGGAGTTTCATTTTCTAGATCCAGTTAATCTTTCAAGTTTATATACTGGGTATCAAGGGGTCTGCCGCATATGCTGGTTAGTTGGTTTAGAAGAAAAAAACGCAATATTGCGGTTCCATGAATCACCTGGGTGAAAGGGTATATCCAACAACATGATTCAAAAAAGTAATCATCAACGAGGGAAATGGTGTCTTGCGACTATTTCGATACATAAAACATAAGGAGATCATCGTGTGCGACAAGGTCTCATCCAAGACCAGTAAAGAAGATGAGTCGGAAAATGGAAATGCAGGTACTGAAGATCAAAAATGACAGAAACAAATCAAATGTCTAATGTGTCTCGTCGGCTGTCTTGAAAACTTCCCTCTCGGGCATTTCAGGTCGAAGAGACGTAGAGCCCCGGCCGGAGAGAACTGACTGTGTATCGGTAGACAGGCGGCCATTCTCGCTAGGGCCGATCACATCGACCACGCCTTTGGCTCTCAACACGGCACGGGTGCTGGCACCGTCTGGCGCAACACCGGTGGTAGTAACCGATTCTTTGTCGCCACCAACAGTGCTAGCAGTGTCAGACATGAATTCACTGCGACCAGCCACAGATGAAGGTCTGCCCTTGGGGTAAGGTAGAGACACATCCGAGGTCATAGCATCACGGAAGAGCGCTCTCGTGCTCGCGGCTTCATCATTCAACTTTCGGTTGTCTACCTCTGGTAATATGAGGACTGGACCTGCACTTTTCTCGGAGCCAGGACGACCGTTTGCGGATCCGGAGGGTCTTCCAAGTGATAGATCTCCGCTTGACCTCACCTTCTCGCTGTGCTTGTTCCAAGTAACAGCAGTGTCACCTGTACCTTGCTTTTCGCCGTTGTCCGGCTTCTGTGTTTTTGAGGGCATACTTGAGTATGTTCCAGCCTGTCCAGCATCCACACTCGTACGGGTTGTACGACTTGGTTGACCTGACTTCCCGGCTTCAGTCTCTCGTCCCAGAGTACGTTCATCGTGCTTGCTACCCCAGCCGCTCCACATCATCATACCGTAGTTCTTCTTCGCGTGGCGCTTGGGCAGCACGCCAGGGGCGGAGCGACGGGCAGCTAAGGAGCTCGGAGGTGGAAGCTCGCCATCGAAGTCCTGGAAACCATGTGCCATTTCCTTGATGCGGCGGCTCTGAACCTGCAGTTTCTCCTTAGTATATCGGACATCCCATTCGTGCTTGGCTTCGAGCCATTTTTTAATGAGCGCGGGGTTGATTGCGCCGACTTTGGCGGGCGGAATATCTAGCACAGGATATGATGATGGTGGATCAAGCGGATAGACATGACCACGTTTATCAACACGCTGACGAATCATGTGCTGATCAAAGGAGGGCAAAGGATCGCCGGCTTTTCCAACGGAAGTACCGGGCTTGAACGTTGGCTTCCTGCCGCCATTTTCTTCGCCAGTGTTTTCGGCCTCTGAATCAGTAGACGAAACGGGCGAGATGGCCTCATCGACGATGTCGACTCCTGACTTTTGCGCACGAGCCAGAGCCCAGGAACCAAACTGGGAGATAGCTCGGAACATGTACTTGGCGGGCCTGGTGAAGCTGAGGGAAGGGGCAACATGGCACAGATCATCCCAAACTTGGAGTTGTACATATGTCGGCTCATATTTATTGAGTACTTCCCGTTTCGGGTCAAATTCGTCCAGATAGATGTCTGCAGGCGGGTAGGCCGTCGGATTGGCTGCCTTGTGCGCCACATAGAATTGCTCATCTCGTAGCATTTCGCCGCCGCCGCTTAGAACCTGCAGGGGAGGAAGACCTCCCAGCGAAGGCTGAAGAACAGGCGAAACCAATGGATGAGAGATAAGCTGATTAGTCGTATACATCTGAATTTGGTCTTTGAGCTCAACCGTCTTCTCATCCAAGACAACGTGGATGTTATCCGGCTCACCATTTACCGTGTCCGGGTCTTGGTTCTGCTGCATGCCAGGGTAGGAATGCTCACCCGCTGCAGGCTTCTTCTCATGGATAGTGTAGCCTCGGACTGCCGTCTCGGCAGATGCGCTACTGTTTGCCGGAATAGCTTGCTCGACATCCTTTGCAGTGACAGTTCCTTTCCGGGCCATCTCTTTCATTTTCAAGATTTCATCGGCATTAGGCGGAGGCCATGCAGGGACGGCTTGTAACGGAATCCGTATGGGGGAATATAATCTCCAGGGTTATCTTTCACAATGCTTGGGAAGGAGCGGGTAAGATCGGCCCAGGGCGAAATCAAGATTGCACCCGCCGGGAGAGGGATGCCCTGGTCGCGCATAATGACCAGCATCGACAGCGCCATACCACCACCCGCAGAGTCTCCGGCGAGGATGATCTCACTTGAATCAAATGTTTTCAACAAATAGATATAGGCCGCCAAGCAGTCCTGGAGACCACATGGAAAGGGGTACTGGGGCGATAGGCGATAGTCTGGCGCAAAGACGCGACCCTTCAACTTGCGCGCATGGCGCTGCATCATATAGCGATGGGTATCAACACTACCAAAGAAGTACGCACCACCGTGGACGTATAGCATAATCCGGTTGCAGCGCTTCCCGGACTTGGTGGTCTCATTGTAGTGATTGCGCATCTCAATCCACTCTCCCTTGAGATCCTCGGCAGGCCCACGCCACTGCCACCATTTCTCTCCACCGACGCGCACGACACCCCTAGGACCGAGCTGCTTCGAGATAAAAGCCGCCGCAGGCACCATAAATTCATCCGGGACGGTGACTGTCTCGGTCCTCACCCAGTGCGGGCTAGGAACCCATTGGCGGGTAAAGGCCTGGATGTCTTCGACGGGGTGTTTGGACGCATAATAAAGGAATTGGCGGATAATATGGATCCCCTCATCGTAAGTGATGTGTACAGTTGGTTTGGCATGATTGGCCTTGCGATTTAGATACTGTAGAGAAGCAGTTCGTCAGCTTGAGTGCAGTATCAAAGTGCCGAATCGGACCCACATGTGTAACAAGAGTGTGAAGGACAGTGGGAGTCAAGGCCGCACCCAGCGCAACGGTATGCAATGGCATCTTGGTGCCATTCACAATAAGAATAGGGTTGAGTGAAGAAGAGGGAAGGGAGGATCTCGGATCGGAGAAGTCGGCCACACTGACAGGAGTTTACGCGAAAAAGGAGTAATATGAGCATGACGTCATACCTCCGGTACTTGGAGTACTGTGAACCAGTGCTTCTGCAACGCCACGACCATACCCATATGACACGAGTACGCTTTTTTTGTTTCGATTTTTTTTAAATTGTGCATACTCAGATGTCGTCCGAATCAGACACCGATAGATTTTATACTTGGTTTGTTTGATATCAAAGCCTATGTGGATCAATATTTACCAAGAGGAACACTTGCGTGACATCTACTCGGGTCAGTTAACCCTAGCTCCAAAATGATGTGCTATGTAACTTTCCATGCCCGCAGGAGGAAATGCTATGTCAGCCACAGTAGACATGTTAAGATCATGGGGCTTGAATAGCTGTCGATTTGGGTAAAAATAGGTATAAAGAGGGCTATATAGGTAGGGGCGTAATTATAGTTTCGTCCCTGAGAAAAAGCCAGCAGCATAAGTGAATCGTAAAGCGTAGGCAATGAAGTCTATGAAGGAACACCCTCATATTCCCAGCCCTCGATGACACGCTTTCGGCGCCGAGAATTGCGGCGATTGGCATTGCACTTAATAAATAGAGTTAGAGCGGTGATGACTAAGATCACAAAGCCAGCAATGGCGGCGACCAGCACCGTCCTGCGTTCCAATTCTTGCGGGTCAGACGCGTAGGGACAGCTTGCTGAAGGGCCACCAGAGACCCAGCACGAGGTGACTTGAATAGAGTTGAAGTCGATGTATATCTCACGTTGAGAAGGGTCCGTAGACGCAGGATTGATTGTAGACTGGGGCTGAGTCAGGAGAAATTGATAGAGATAAGTATTCTCAAGGCCGGTCCTGGGAACGGCGAAGCTGGACCCAGCGGGACACATGCCTGACGCGAACTTATACTCTCCCGTTGAATTGGATATCGCCCACTCGAACGGCGAATTTCCCACGCGGCATGCAGCCCGTCGCTGCTCGGTACAGTTTGTGGCACGCCAGCGGCCACTTAGTGAAAGATCCATGATGGCGCAGCGGTCAAAACTGGGAACACCTTGAGTGCCACCACCAGAATCTGCACCCTCTGGTTCCCCAGTCGCCCATGCCCATCCCACCGCAAGGGAGAAATTACGATAAGGGTCCACATTGACGTCCGCAGTCTGTCCAAACAGGGTAGAATTGAGTAAGGGCGACATGCCACATCCCGTAATATCTGCAATGGTGTCATCTAATGACTGCATGGTAATATCATGGGATGTGCTGTATGCCACGGGGATACCATTCGATATTGCCCACGATGAATTCGCCTGGGAGATTCCCGTGGAACCTGCCTTGTACAGACACCCGGAAGTAACAGATCCATTTGTGTCCACTGAGATTTGCGTCTCGGCTGTCAGCCAACCAGGAGGAAATATGACATCTTGATCTTGCACAAGGTCATAAGTGGCAAGCTGCGGGTCGACCGAGCCGTACTCCATTATAACTCGGTCAGACTTAGCAAGCTGGATGTACTTGGATGATGGCCATCCATCCGGAGTGCTTTGTAAGCCCTGCTGATCTTTATAAATAGTAAAGTATTCCACAATGGGCATATAACTCTCCTCAACCTCATACCAAGATTCGTTGAGGTTTCTTCGGTCTTCGGCGAGTTGAGAGGGACTGTACAAGTACTCTCGCAGGTCAAGCCCGAGAGACGAGCCCACTCGTTCTGTTTGCGATGAAGGCAAGTCATCCCGAGTCACGGCGGATGCAGGCTCCGTCGGCGCAGAATCGCTGCGAGCTGCATGCAGGTTCAATACCAGATAGGTTGTGTATGTAGTCAGATCGGATGTTGTGTCTTGAAAGTAGCCGACTAATAATTCAGCTAAGGTGGATAGATCCAGGTCATCCGTGCAGCGATAAGGCCCTAGCTCGTAAACCGTGTCTCCGTGGATATCCGAGTAACCGGTTACGGAGGCCGCCGTCGCGTCCAATGTCGTCGACGATGATTCGGTCGTAGTCGTCACGGTGCTCGTCGACAAAGCTTCTGTTGTCGTTGATGTATACGCGCTGAGTGTGACATCGGCTCTCAAAGGGATATTGACGGGGCAGAAGATCCATGTCCTGCGCGAGATGGACCAATACAGGTCCACGACAAGTCGCCGAAATCCGACAGCTAGGAGATTGGAAATGCATTTGGCAGCATCCTCTCGATCGTATAAGCCTGCGCCGAAGCAGGCCGAGGAAAGCGACACAGCAGGGTTGGTGACGAAGTTGATCGGGATCTGGCCAGCTACGTCACGTTCACTCTGTTCGGGAGTTAGCTTCGATCAAAGAAGAGGAAGAAGACTGACCAGGATCGCAGCCACCCAGGTCGCATCGTTTAGGGTACTCTCTGCGTCATACGAGACGGACATTAAGTTGGTGCAAGGTGCAGCAGCGCAGGAGAACGGTACATGGGCCACTGCAGGGCCGGCGCGACAAACGCTTAGATCAGCATTGGCACCCCACGAAACAGTTGAACACGCGTGAAATGTGGCCACTCCATACTTACCCATTGACGACTAGTCTAGCTTTAGACTCCGTTATATTTGGCGCTCCAGGAGCTCAAGAAACTGAATTGACCCACCACTGCAGGGCTGGCAGGACTTAACAGCACTCATGTATCAAGATTCAAGGTCATCCCCGAAGGTCACACATGTACCTACACAGGTATCTTTTATGCTTCGAGATTCTTCTCGAGATCACTCCGACTTGGAATTGATTAGATTGTGTATGGTTTAAATTTTACCCCCAGGTTGTTCCAACTTTCTTTTCTCAACATGATTTGGTCAAACAGCGGCGCTGGAGATAAGCCAATAGCAATTGCCATCATGATCGCGTGAGTCAATCTTTTATCGGCGTGAAGCAGGGCCTCCGAGTCTATCAGCTTATATGATGATCTCCCATGCTTTACTTGAAGGGTCAAGGGATAACAATTGTGGTAGTGGAGAACTGTCTATGCTTATGCTGTAGAACAACGGGGAAGGAAAGTTGCGGAGATCACCTGAGTTACCCGTAGATCTGGCCACTTTTGTCGTTCATTCATCTTCTTACATTAACCATCCCAACTCGACCTTTTGACTTCGACTACGACCTGTCGACATCTTGGTCACTTTCTCACAATGGCTGGCCCCAACCCTCAACAGATGGCCGCCATGCAGCAGCAGTTCGCCGCTGAAGCCGCCAAAAGAGGGATGACTCCAGAGCAGTTTGCACAGAAGCAGCGTGAACAGCTGACTGCCGACGCCGAGAAGCTCGGTTTGACTCCGGAACAATATGTTGCGCAACTGCGCATGCGTGCGATGCAACAACATCAGCAGCAAGCCCAACAGCAAGCCCAGCAACAGGGTCAAGCACCACCACCACAGCAAGGCCAACCGGGCCAATCGCCCGCGCCACAACAGCAGATTCACCAAGTTCCCGTCCAGCCAGGTCAGCCTGCGGATCCTAAGGCCATCGCCGTGGCCAACTTTCTGCGGTCGCAGAATCTGAAACCGCGGACTTGCATTTTGGATGGACAACGAAAGGATATGTTCAAGGGTTCGTCACAGCTCCGGTTTATCGAGCCATCTTATCGATCAATTGCTAACATCGCTGTTATTTCTAGTCAAGCGAGCCATCCGTGCTATCGAGTCCCCCGCGTATGCCAAGGCCGCCGCAAAGAAGAACTCCAAGCTCCCTCCCGTGACCGACCGCGCCTCCGCTGAGAACGTCTTCAAGCTCCTCCCACTCTCGCTGCTGGCACTGCGAGTTTCTAAAATTGATCCCCACGCTGGACACGACCATGCTAAGCCGAAGAACCGTGTGAAGGGTCTCTGGACCGTCAAGGTCGAGCAGCACCAGGAGACAAATGATATGATGCACTACGTCTGGCTATATGAAGGACCTCAGTGGAAGCAAAAGGCCATGGCTGCCGCCGTTGTGGCGGGTATCTTTGCTGTTGTTCTCTTCCCTCTGTGGCCGATCATGCTGCGCCAGGGTGTCTGGTACCTGAGTGTGGGTATGATGGGTCTGCTCGGTCTCTTCTTTGCCATGTCCATTTTCCGTCTGATATTGTTCTGTATCACTGTATTCGCTGTGCCACCAGGGCTCTGGCTGTTCCCTAATCTGTTTGAGGATGTTGGTTTCTTTGACAGCTTCAAGCCTTTGTGGGGCTGGCAAGAGGTAAGTTCTTTGTTTCCACCACTGCTACGAATGCCATCATCTGACCCATCACTTCCAGAACAAGAAGAAAAAGAGCAAGAAGAGCAAATCGGAACCCGCCGTTGGCAATGTGGGCGATGCCACTCCCTCAGCAACAACTACCTCTGCTCAGCCAGCATCCACCCCGGGCCCGACACCCGTGAGACGGGACTTGACTGCCCGGGTCGAGGAAGTAGAGGAGTAAAGACTTTATTGTCAGACATAGCGGCCTTCCAAATCTGGTATGATCTGGAAAGCATATGTTATTTTCTTTCATCATCGCGACTGCGTCATTGGTATTCTCATTAGATGCTTATTTCGGCGTTCTAATGATATCATTATGGCTGCCATTTGATTCTTGGTAAACTGGGCTTCTATATCTCTATAAACATTCTATTTACCGCATCACGATGCGACTCAGCTTGTTTGTTTCCTCATCGAGGATCTAAAATACGGGATTACATGACAGTCATAGCCTTGAAGGTCGGCGAATCAAATTGTGAATTCAGCGCTATGTACTCGAGAAGTGAAATATTTTTCGCTACATGTAATTCATGAACAAGCAAAATGGTAGTCAAAACGCCACACCCCAGAAAGAAAACCTCATTTCTCAGATCCGTCAAAAAAAAAACAATCACAGACAATCACAGACCGGCAAATCGTGTCCATCCTGCGGCACGAGTCTGCGATTGGCTTGGATTGGGGCTTGTACGAGAATCCACCTCGATACTCTTTCCTCCGCGACCTTCTTCGGCGACTTTGCCCGACACATCGCGCCGACGTGTGCCGACCTTGGGAACTCCAAGACCGGCGAGGTAAGACCCATAGGATGATAAGGATGCACCAGCACCGCCAAGGGTTTGCCCGAAGGTGTCTGCACCGGTATTGCTGACCACGCGACCCTTGCGATCTCCCTCGTTCAAGGCTGGGGATGCTGGGATCGGAGAACTGAGGTGGCCCTCGTCTCCGCTGTCATCCTTTTTCAAGGTTTGATACGCGGCCATCTTCTTGCTGCGCTTCTTGGAGAGCTTGGTCGGTTTGCGCGCCATCTGGTCCTGTCCACTCGGTTCGCGCGAACGGACGCGTCCCAGTTTTCCATCTCCCTCCAGGTCACCATAGAAGCGGCTCTTGGTTGGAGGAGAGTTCGTAGTAGCTTGTGGCATAAGTCCGTGAGCTTTCAAATTGTGCGACAGATTCGGATTATCGTCCAGCGCATTGCGGCGCACAGGATCGGCATTCTCAGGGATCTCGGTGAGAACAGGCTGCGGAGTGGGAGGGTTGAGCATGAGAGGGTTGAAAGGAAGTTCGTGAGCTGGTCCATCTTGAATGTCATTCTCATGCTCTTCAGGGTCGGGGAAAATATTGAAGCGGGTATCACCCAGATCCTGCTCGTGATCGTTGTCGTCGTCATAACCGTAGTACTCATTTACTGCCACGGAGGCATACTCGCCGCGGGTATCTTCAGGAATCGCGCTCCCCACATTGGCAGGTTTTTGACCGTATGCGAACCAGTCCCTAATACCACTTCCGGTTGAGGCACCTGTTGCGTCCGTTCGTCGACTGTAAACAGAGGACGACTGACGGAGGGTAGTACTGGTGGGATTATGACCATCATTGACTGGAGACGGGGCTCGATCTGAGTATGCGATCCAGTTGTCAGACAAGGGGCTCACCGAGTCCGACCTGTCCGCGGTGCGAGACGCCAAATGACGCATATGAGTACTTGGGTCAACAAATTCCGGCAGTTGCTTTGGCACGTTTCTGTATTCGGGCGCCGAGATTTGGGATGTAAGATCAAACGGCTGACTTTGAGGCTGGTGGAAGAGCATCTCCGGGCTTGCGGGCTCCATGTGAGAGAGACGGTGTTGCTGGAAAGACGCCTGAGACTGGCGCTTCTCATTCATAATATCCACCGATCCTCGACTAGACTCGCCGCCAAAGGAATGGCCGCGCGTGTGTATGAACGGCACAGAGCGGGGAGGGCCAATAAGAGGATCTTCCATGGTCGAGGCCAACGTGGAGGAACTCATATGCTTTTCGTCGATATTTATTTCCTTACGGCTTCGCTGGGGACGTGCAGTCAGGTTGTCTTCCAGTGGGTTCAGATCAGGTGGTAAGTTCGAAATCTTGCGGAAGATCACAGCGAGGTAGATTGACAGAGAAAGCGACACGAGGTGCAAGCCGGCATTGGCCAGGGCGCAAATGAACATAGCCTCAGAAATGTCCACCGTCAATTCGGTACTTTTGAACATGGTGCCCCAGTGATAGGCATCTTCTGTGTATTCAGCGTGCGCAATAATTGCGGTAAAGACGTAAAATGGGATCAGCCCCAGATCGAGGGTGGATGCGAACACTCCATAGCTGGCTTGCGAAGCAGGGGGACGAGGAGCCGGAGAGCGAGAAAGATGACAGATACCATAAATGGTGTGCATGATTGCAACGATGGGCTTGCGAAATTGTCAGTCAATTACATTTCTTCCTGTTCAATTGTAAACACAGGGGACTTACCCCGGCCCGAATGATCCATATCACGGTCGTCGCGGCATTCTTAATAACGATAGAACAGAACAGAGAACCGAGAGCACCCACAAGGGTGACTACTCGCAACCCTAGCTGAGCACCACGAGTGTACTTGACTCTGTTCTTGGTATTGGGGTGCATTGGAGTCCATGTTGATTTGTCAAGGCTGCCAGCCCACTACCTCAAAATGTTAGCTAAATATCATGCGCATTGTTCAATTGCCCGTACAGAATCTGGATGGCGATTGAAGTTTAGGAGCGGGCCTGTTGGCTTGGGCTTCGGCTGCTCGCGAATCCGGCTTGCCTGCGTGACGGCCTTTGGGTTAAAGCCCGGGTCGGTCGGACCGTGGAAATTGTATGTGGACGGGCGATCATAAAGGAATGGAGGCTCCGATCTCCCCATTTTAGCGATTGAGAGCCGTGGGGACCACGCGAACAGGGAATGTGGATGAGGAATGGAATGCGCTCAGCTCCATCGCGGTATGACGGGTGCGGAGTAAGGGAGATCAACACGATAGTCGGCCCGGCAACCCGTCTTATCACATCACGTGGAGCTGTAACTCCGGTAAAGATTATCCATCCTTCGTCATTCTCAGTCAACTCTTTTGAGACCATGCTAGACCGCACGCTAGTCTGTGCTCAATGCACGGCGCGAGTGGCTCGTCCTACTCTCAGAACAAAAAGACCCTTCTCGTTAACTGTCCGCCGTCTGACTAGCAATGCGATTGCCAACCGCCCCACCCGCGTGGCCATTGTGGGCTCAGGGCCTGCGGGATTTTATGCAGCTGCACGCCTGTTACGCAAGCAGCAGGATACGGTGGTTGACATGTATGAGAAGCTCCCAGTACCATTTGGATTGGCGCGCTATGGCGTGGCCCCCGATCATCCCGAGGTAAAAGTATGTCTTCGATAAACCAAACTTTTGTGGACCATTGTGCTTCAGAGCGCGAGATTCTTGGCCGTATACATAAGCTCAGGGACTAAATGAATGTTCAAGAATTGCGAGGAGACATTTACAGAAGTCGCAACTTCCCCACGCTTCAACTTTGTCGGCAACATCGACCTCGGTAACGACTTGCCTCTCACTGCGCTTAAACCACATTACGACGCCATTATATTTGCATACGGAGCCTCGAAAGACAAAGAGCTTGGAATACCAGGGGAGAAAGATCTTCAAAGCGTATATTCAGCTCGTGCGTTTGTTGGGTGGTACAATGGCCTACCCGAACACCGCGATCTACAACCCGACCTGTCAAGTGGCGAAGATGCCGTGATTGTCGGACAGGGTAACGTGGCTCTTGATGTGGCTAGGATGTTGTTAACGGATGTCGATGCTCTTCGGTCTACTGATATCGCCGACTACGCTCTTGAAGCTTTGTCCAAGAGCCGTATTAAGCGGGTACGGGTCGTTGGCCGCCGAGGACCCCTACAGGTGAGTACACAATGTCTATAGTTGCATCCAAATACTGATCGTATGGATGTAAATAGGCCTCATTTACAATTAAAGAGATTCGTGAATTGTTGCAATTGCCCTCCGTTGCATTTGACCCGATCCCCAATGACGTTTTTCCTCCCGAGCATGTCGTGAACGCATTACCTCGGGCGCAGAAGCGTCTGATGCAACTTCTTGGTAAAGGCTCTGCCAATAGTTCGCAGGATTCAACCAAATCCTGGTCATTGGACTTCCTTCTCTCTCCACACTCTCTCCATCGGTCACCGATCCACCCACACCATCTCACCCATGCCAAGTTCTCTCGCAACGAACTCGATTCTGCAGACCCATACAACCCAAGCTCCAAGGTTACACCCAAGTATCTTTCCAGTGGAGAACCTGCCATGGTAAACCTTCCCGCTAGTATCTTCTTCCGCAGTGTCGGTTATAAGTCGCTTCCCTTACCCGGTCTCGAAGACATTGGAATTCGATTTGACAATCAGCGCGGTGTGATTCCCAACGATGGGTTCGGTCGAGTGAGGAGCCCTTCGAGTGCAGGTGAGCAGCAGAAGCTGCCCGACGGTTCTATGATTACCCATTTGCCCGGCTTGTACTGTGCCGGGTGGGTCAAACGTGGTCCAACGGGGGTCATCGCTTCGACCATGACCGATGCCTTCACTACAGCCGACTCGATCATACAGGACCTTGCCACTCACGATGGCTCTGGCTCATTGCTACATTCACCCGGTCACAGTAGTGGTCTTGGTTGGGATGGAGTCAAGGCCGAGGCAGAGCGTCGCGGTCTCCGGCCAACGTCCTGGCAGGATTGGCAGCGCATCGACGCCGTTGAGCGGGAGCGCGGTCAGCAAAAGGGCAAGATTCGTGATAAAATGGGACGTGTGGAAGACATGCTCGAGGTTCTCGATTGACCTCATGTAAATTAGGTTTTAGACTTTTTGGCTTCCATGTACAGTGCCCCAACCCTCATCTCTTCGAAAAATGATCCACCCTGTATCGTACCTCGTACCCAGATTCTTGTTGCGCTATTCATCCTGAGTCCCGATTCCACAGTCGCTGTCCTGGGCCAGAGTATAGGAGGCCGTCACACGACCAAGGTCAACGCCTTGGTTGTCAGTCAATTGGTTGAACGCATCAAGCCCGATATTGAACCCGCTGGAAGCAGCGTCAATCGCAAGGACATTGATGGTCTTGTCAACGCTGCCGGCTTGGTAGTGCAGTTGGTAGCATTTACCACAATTGCTACTTCCCTGGTCCGGACGTCCACTAATGGTCGGCGAGCCACCGATAAGGGGGAAATTAGGCAAGCCACCGAATGTACTTTTGGACGATTCATCAACCTTTGTAGTGTGAAACATATACTATCAAGGGATCACTTACTGGTACTTGCTCTCAAGACCATATTCTCCATCTGAACAGCTAACGGTATTGAGAGAGGTGCTCTCCACGTCGTACCTTTGGTCATAAACCACGGACACTTCCATCGCCGTCGTGGCCGAGACAGCTCCCGCAAGGTGGAAAGTGGCCAGAATTGAACAGGTGATTACATTCATGCTCTTCATGGTTAGCAAGAGACCTGAATGATTGCAGGTGGTGAAAGACTTGAAGACAGGCTTAGAAGGATGGATATGAAAGAAAAGATGGGTGTGGTACTACAGTGATCAACTGCCGTATTTATATTTTCATGGGCAAACCAGTGCACCTCTGCATCAAGTACCCCTCAGGTCATATGCAAAGCTCAAACACACCCAATGCAGGTCTCAGATGCTTAAATGACACACCCAAATCACGCATCCTGCCGAATCTGCGGTTGAGACAGTAAGATCGCTGCATTGAGGCAAAGTGGGCGCGGTACGGTGTGAGGGTCTAATGAGAGGCGGTGGCTCAAATCCAACCCGGGCGCGGGGTGCATCGTGACAAAGGTAGCTCATCTGCACTATCCACGTGTACTGATGAGAATTAAATGAGGGATGGAAAGTTCACGACACATCTGACTACAGGTGAGGTTGCATTGTGAACCACACCGGGACGGATCAGGCAGGAAATACGTATGACTATCGGCCGCATCGAGGTGACTTTGACTCAAGTTCATTCAAAAGGAACCTTCAGACGAGATGTGCAGACGTTTTGAGTAAAGTTTTTGTTTTGGACGAAAAAAAAAAAAAATTAAAAAAATCAATGGAATGAAAGTAGAGGTCAAATGAAAGTTGCATTTTCAGCCAAAAAATGAGAATGAAAAACAAACGTCCCCGGGAAGGCTCGAACTTCCAACCTCCTGATTAACAGTCAGACGCGCTAACCAATTGCGCCACGGAGACGATTTGATGGAAGAATCATGAAGTATTTCAAACCATATTGCAAAAAGCTATGTGGCAAGGCACTGCCACCAAGACACCGGACATCAACACCATGGAAATATTGTTTCGGTCGAGGCCTTACGCAACATGACTTCTACAGTGTCTGGTCATTACAGGTGGATGATTCTCACCCTACCAGTCTCGGCCCTGCCGAATAGCCCATGGGACTGGGAAATCTTGATGATCATCATGCCTTAACAAGGAGCTTTCTCCTTATCTGGCTTGGAGATCTCAACTGATCATTGCCATGACCGAAACCTAAGCAATGCTAAACGTAATTGATCAGCACAAGGGGAAACTATCTCGGTGTTTTGGAAACCTGTAAATATTGTAATTCAATCAAGCTTCTGCCATCTATCTGATGAAGGCCACCAATCAATGTATCGTGATGGTGACCACGACCCGGAAGTTTGGACGAAACGGGCAAGCCCTTATATAAGCTTTGCAGCCCTAAAGAGGACGAGACGAGGCCCGCAAAATAAAGTCGCGAAAATCCGGTCTAATGATGTGAGTTTAGCGTTGGATCCGCACGTTCCCCTATTTTCCCTGTCCACAGAACTTGACGGCACCTGTGTAATTGCATCCCCTGAGCTTCAGGGTCAAAACCTTCACGTGCCATCGCACCAAACTCTTTCGCTCATTGTAACTTGTTGTGTCGAAGCTGGCATTGGCACTCCACATCTCGGCTGACTTGGCTAACAGTCATACTATCGTTTCGGCGTTGACAAAATAACAGCTGAGAGCTTGCGCCTCTCATCTTCTTGCGTTTAACCGGGGATTAAGATTCGATGGCGTGAAACGAGACGTTTAGTGTTTACCTAGGATTCGTCCGCTAAGAGGATCTTGTGGGCATGCATCCGCCATAGTGGGGGTCCAGATCCACTATCACGATCGATCAACGTCGCATTTTCTAGGCACTTCAGGTGCCAGAATCCATGGGGGGTAAAGTTCGGCAGAAGTGCCCTAATTGTTCAAAATTTGACCCGGCCAAACATGATCCAGAGATTCATCCACTAATTCCCAAAGTGGTATACAATCTTCCATTCACAATTTCCTGGCTGAGCTTAAGTTAGATGCACTCCAATGGTGGCGAACCATAAATCTTTCTCCTGTCCCTTTGCAAGTGGGTAATGTCCTGCTCAGGAGCTAAGTAGACGCCAAGGAAGCTTTTGTTGCTTAGCATAGAATTACTGGAGCATCTTTGACGGGTACAATCCGCTGGTCCCGACACTCTAGTCTTCAGGAGCTAGGACAGAAAGGATCCCGGCAAAATTTGGCTGCATCCTTATACCAGCATTGATCCCTCCCCCTGGACCCTGGAGAAATTTTGATTCCCGGCCCGTTCCGTACAGAACCCCCATTTACCTTGGTCATGCTATCCATATTGCGTTCCCTGGCCTCCAGGGATAGCGACGATGCTCTTGTACGCCGCTGGGAGTTCCGTGATGAAGCCCCGCTGAAAGGTAGCGACCGTTCGCTCTTTATTGCCATGGGATTTTTCGGCTTACTATCCTTGGTCTCGACATTTTCGCTTCTATCTTTCCTTACCTATCGATTCATTTACTGGCAGCGTTACTACAAAAGCCCACTCGGCAAGAATCAATACGTTGTCCTCATTTACCAACTTCTGCTCGTCGATCTCCAGCAGGCCATTGCCTTCACGATTACCCTGTATTGGGTGTCTCGTGGTAGCGTTCAATTCGGAACACCTGCCTGCTACCTACAAGGATGGTGGATTCAGACCGGTGATCCTGGCAGCGGCCTATTTGTCCTATCTATCGCCTTCCACACGGTTGCTGTCGTACTTCGTGGGCGACAATTACCATTCAACATCTTCGTATACTGTGTCATTGCACTGTGGACGTTCATTCTTATTCTGGGCTTCATTCCAGTTGGCCTCTATGGCTCAAAATCCTTTGTTATCTCGGAAGCCAATTGGGTAAGTCCTCTCTCTGCAGCATCGGGGAGGCTAAACTGACCGAAATGGCCATATAGTGCTGGTTGAGTCCCGAAAACGAAAACGAACGTCTCTGGGGACACTATATCTTCATCTTCCTAGCCGAGGTACATCATTCAAACCCCATTCCTCCAAAGATGCTGTTGCTCATTATTTTCTAGTTCCTAAATCTCATCCTCTATGGATTGCTCTTCACATTCCTCCGCCGCAGGATGCGCCAAGCCAAGCAGTTGCGTCGAGGTCAGCAAGAGAGTCTCCACCGGCTGAACCGAGTGGTCATTTACATGGTTATCTATCCGCTTGTGTACTTAGTCTTGTCACTGCCGCTTGCTGCTGGCCGTATGGCTACTGCTCGTGGGAATCCTCCGGGGAAGACCTACTTCGGTGTGGCTGGCTGCTTGATGTCACTATCGGGTTTCATGGATGTCGCAGTCTACACTCTCACTCGTCGCCATTTGATCATCGATACCGAGCATTCTACTACGGACCGGAACTACGATGGAACGGATTCTCAATGGCAGACTCAGATCACAACCACCGTTGGTGCTCAGTCCAAGAAGGGCGGATACGGTAAAGGATCTCGATTCGGCTCCAAATGGCATCGCAGTGCACCCACTTCGGACAAAGAAATTGGAACTAGTCCCTTTGAAGGATCGACCGAAGAGATCGTTCCCAAAGATGGCGTGGAAATGTCTGATTTCGGAGGTGTGTACCAAGAAACAACCATCGAGATCTCTCACGAACCCGCCAACTCGGCGGAGTCGGTCGCGCAGAGTGCAAATCACAGCGGTTGATGGGTTGGTTTGGTTACGCTATATGATTCTCGCCTTGGGCTTTACTGTAAATATGATCTAATATTATTCGGCGCCTCGCCAGTTACACTCAATCATCTTGTCTTGATACGCAGCTTGTGATCCATATCCAGATTGTACCTCACATGCACTCTCCCTCACAAATTTGTACGTGTCTTGAAAGAATGTAACGGATTGACCATAAGCGAGAGCAGCATCCGAGAAAACGCACACGACAAAGAAAACGGCAACAAGTCAGGGGTGGCGAGATCTGCGAGGGTCATTGTGGGTTTCAGAACCACTCCTCAAAAAAACTCTCGCTTCTTCCTCGGAGTAAAGGCTAGGGCAGAGTAGTGTCAATGATCAACAAGCTGATCAAAGCCTGATCTCAAGCTTGGCTCTGCCCAGCGGCTCAGGCCACCTGCCGCCCTGCAATGTCGGAGCCTCGAATCCACAGTGGGACCAAATTGTACTAGTCCGCGCTTAGTCGGTCATATGGGGTCGATCTGGCACGTTCATGCGCACTGTTCGCCTGAACCGGTTCCGTCCGAAAGATTTATTTCCGGCCCATTACGTGTGTTCGACCATATTTCGGTTCGGCCTTGAAAGCCTTTTGGGGGCGGGTTGTGGATCATCATCTCGGCAAGCGGCCGAGACCAACTTGCTTGAAAAAGGACCGTCGATCAATGCCAACAGCAGGTCAGCTATTTGATGGAATCTGATGGTATCCGTATAAGTATTAGTACCGGTACTAGTGCAGAGCTGAGCGTTTAAGGAGACAACACAACGTATTTTGGTTTGGAATGGGGTCAATGGCCGCGGAAGCTCGATTTACTTTGGAAATGTCAGTGTTCGACGTAACAACCGAGCATGATGACATGTGAAACCGCCACGAGCGAATCTTTCGCTGGAGTGGAGTGTTTTTTTTTTTTTGCAGGAAAATAAAAGCGTACAAGCGGCACGGGAAGGACACTTCCGTGCATGCAGAAGATGCAGTGGGGAAATTACTACTGAACTATGTGCTCCGTAGGCCCCGGCCTTGTTTCCCCTTTCATATCAAATTGATGCGCAGCGTCGGCCATTTGACGTTTCTCGCAACGTCTGATATTTTCACTCATGAATTGGCCAGGTCATCTTCATTGCCGAGCGCGTCTTACTATCGCTTCCCACTTGCCTTGACGCTTGCGTCACTCTGCGCCAAGCGCCGGCAGGATCATGGCACTAGACAGCGCCACCGACAATACGAACGCCTTGTGAAGTGCCACATTGTAGACGAATAACACCATACCAAGTTGGTCTTTGGGGACCAGATCTGCTAGACTTGTTGCACCAGCTTTCAGAATGGCACTGGAGTCAATACTAGATATTGTAGTGGGAGAACCGGTGACATAATAGCATATGTGTGGCCTCAGGCATGATCCAATGTCTGCAGTGCATAGTGTGCATATACTCGTGCATAGTGCGTCTTTAAGACAGAAGTTGGAGATAGAAAAAACACCTACCCAATTCAATTCCGGTTACCACCACATTTTCCTGTTCATGATGAAGCTTTAGGGAGAGTCCGTACGGCCTCGACAGGACATCCGTACGGCATCATTCAGGCCGATTGCCTACCCTTGCAGGCATTGTGTGTGTGTGTGTGTGTGTGTCGTCCAGTCTGCATTGCCAGACAGCCATCGAGCCGTCCCCATTTCAATATGCAGGGCAGGATTCGAGTCAGCGAATTGCCATATGTCATATAGATTCTGACTGACGGCCACCCAGACAGCACCTCCCATAGATTGAAAGAGGAACATCAGAGTCACTCCAGTGGGGACACCTGCTTGCTGGAGGACGTTCTGTGCGGCCAGAGTCAGTTGTTGCATGCCTAAGCCTAGTCCGAGCCCGAAGAGAATCTGGTATCCGATCCAAGCCGAGTGGCCCGTACCGACAGTGAAGGTAATCAGACCCGACCCGGTGGCCATGAAACTAGTCGCCAGAATCCACAGTACACAGAATCCCGTGTGTGAGATAATTGCTCCAGATAGAATGCTGGTAACCACCAATGACAACACCAATGGTGTATTATCTACACCTGACTACACTGCACTGGTACCTGTGACACCCTGGAACCGTAGTGGTAGAGTATAGAGCCTTGATATCATGGCTCAGGAGACGCATGATGTATAGACTGCACCAAATGCAACACTGCGCTGCTTGATGATTTTGCGGTGGAATTGTTGCATCTTCTTTGCGCCAAATTTGAACAAAGCCAAAGGCGATGAGCAAGATGCTCGCCCAAACGACTAAGGTAATTACGCGAGCATCATTCCTGGCGTAGGAAGCGCCATCCTACTGAAGCGCCGGCAGCAGACAGATTACCTCTGGCAAGAATAGGAGTGTACCCAACGGGCCTAGTTGGATCAATTGGCGGTGTACCGTGGCTGTAGTAGAGCAGGGCGGGGCATGAAGAAGCAACACAATAATTAGGAGGGTAACACTTCCAATAGGAAGTCGCTAAAAGGGAATGGAGCATTTAGCATGTTTTGATTTTACGCTAGATCCGAAAACTAACTCACTTTATGTAGATGCACCACCGCCAAGTCACTTAATCGGTGAAGACCCCTCCCAGCAGAGGCCCGACGATAGATGAGACACCAAATGTGGAGTCCATCAGGCTAACATACATCGGACGCTTCTGCAGTGGTAACATTGTCGACATAATGATTATTGAACCACTGTAAATGCCAGCTGATCCAATTACAGCAATTGCTCGGCCAATGATAGACGTCGTATAGCCATGTGCACCACCACTAAAGGCTAATCCAACTTCAAAGAGACAGACAGCAGCTAGAAATAACATTTTGGTCGAGTATAGGGTATACATCATCACATATGCGCTCATTCCGGAGATGACGACTTGATGCACTTGGGAAAATGAGATGATAAGAGGTCCTAATGGGTTACGAATCATCTCTGAATATTTCTCATGAAAAGCCATACATTGATTCCCTGGGGCACCTTCTTTACTGAGGGTACATCCGTGTTCCCGTCATCACTGGCTTTAGAACACCCGCCTCCTCTAATTCACGAATGAGATTCACCAACATGAAATCACAGCCCCGAGATGCTACAAAGCTCACGGTAATCGGCATATACTCGGTCTTGAGTGAGATAGTAGAGTTGTAAGGAACCTCTTTAACGGGCACGACGAAATCAGGTACACCAGCCAGTGGTCCAATCCGTCCGTCAGAGAAACCCATTGGCGACGCTGTAGGAGCACTAAACCAAAAGTCAGCCGGGAAACCTTTCAACAAAAGGTATTCTCGACCTACCTGAAATAAACATTGCGGTATTGTGTTTCGCCCGTAGTGTACGGGTACAGATAAATGCCCTCAGAGCAGGTTTCTTTGTGAGCCACTCCGAACCCATCTGTTTCCCACCAGTTTTTGAAAATGGTCTTGTTCGTCAATGCTACCTGATAGCCTGCGTCCCCTTCATTATCCTGACCCCATGTCCATCGGGCCAAAGGTCCTGGATTGATAAAGGGATGGCGACCGTCGTGCTTCTTAGCATAGTCTGCATAAAACGGAAGAGCGAGATGCTCGTATTGATAGACCGAGACGAGGGTAGCATATGTCTGCATCAAATCAGCAGTGAGAGCGAAAGGTAGTAGGTTCCTTACCGTGTTCAAGAGATCCGATATGTCACTCGGTGCGTCAGAGGGATGAGTATTCTCCCAGTGTGTGGCGATATCCACGTGCTCCCTCTTCGTACCCAGGAATTTTTCCAACTTGACGACGAAGCTTTTGAGAAGCGCTCCAGCATCGGTACTCACATTTGGGAAAGAAGGATCTGCATAGTAGAACCGCTTCGGATACCTTTGATAATCAGTAAAGTTTTGATACCAAGCATGAATCACTGTATGCCAGGTTTCCACATTGCGCGCGAATACACCTGCTGTATCTATGGCGGAGGAATGCAAGGTCTCTATGCCAATCGACCTTCGACCGGAGCTGTGGATCTCGATGAAGTTCTTCCACTGTGGCTACGCATGGAGCCACCTGTATCACTACCAACGGCAATATCAAGCCAGTCATATGAGCCCATACCGGCTCCCGGACCAGAGGAGGAGCCACCTGGAGCTTGGTAGCCATCTCCCTATGGTTGAATCAGAACAGAAACAGGATTGACCAGATGTAGATCTTACTCTCGGATTAAAGGGGCAGTGAAAGTCCACCCAATCTGCCGTGGGATTGTCGCCATTGGCAAACTGTACTGTTCCCATCTTTCCCACGATTACAGCGCCCAGATCAATCAAGCGCTGTAGGGCCGAGCCGGTGGCATTTCGAGGAGCATTGTTACCGGGTCAGGTGACCACTCCCACTGCTTTATGTCGTCTCTACGGAGACTAGTTAGAAGAATTATCTATCTCACGCTGACGCACGTCGACCGTTCTTCCTTCGTAAGAACTGGTAGTATGTCTCTGGCTACGGCTAGCGAGCTCTCCTAGTGTCTTACTCTTTGATTTTCTTTTAATTTAGTCTGATTTCGTCTTCTCTCCGTTAAGTAATTAACGTAAGGCGGAGGCCTTGTCCTATTTTATAACCGCGTTACGTCTTATTAATTTTAACCGTTTTTTAACGTTATCAGTTATCACTAGCTTCTTATTTAATATTAATAGTCGACTACTATTGACGGTTACGGCTCCGTGCTCTGCGTTATATTAACCTCTTTATCTGATCTGACTATAATACGGTTTAGCGGACTTAGATACAGAAGGCACTACTATAGAAGGTACTCCCTTACTATATATAACTAAAGCTAATACCGTTAGCGAGAATTATTAATTCCGCGATCCGTTAAGTATATTAGCTTTATCTTTATAGATTAGAAGGAATAAACCTATACCGCTTAGTTATTATAAATAATATAGATATATATTAATAAATTTAGTATATTCTCGGAAACTTCGATTGACTTACCCTACCCGCCTAATTTTTATATCCTCTGGATTAGGCCCTTTAGGAGCGTAATCTACGGTTAGCTATCCGCGGATTTAACGCTACTTTTTATAGGGCTTTCCCCGATATTAACTTACCCTCTCCTATAATATAACTTATTATTACCTAGGTAGATAACGCCCCTTATATTTTACTTTTAGCAGAGGCAACGCTACTTTTAGTAGAGGTTACTTTATTTTTAGTAGAGACTCTAGTTCCGGACCTTATAAATCCCTTTAACCTAAAATCTTTTACTAACACTAATTCTGTTTAGGGCTTATATCCGAATATAGGCTTACCGCTAACTTTCCGCGAATATAGAGATAGAGATAGCCCCTTATTATTCTCTTTACCTTCAGAGCCCGCGTTCCTATGAGCGCCTAAGGATAACCTAAATATAGCTTTTTCTAATAATAACGGTCTTCTATAGAGTTATAAAGAATTCATATAGATAATCGCCCTCACTATCGCTAACGCTATTTAAGATCTCTATATACCCCTAAGTCCGCTAAGTCCACTAAGGCCCCTAAGACCCCCTAATATAGATAAAGCTATATTAGCCTCTTATAATATTCACTAAAAGGCGGAGGAAGTATCTCGCCGGACCCTAATTCGGATAAGTACGTTAAGACTATTAAAGGTTCTATATATTATCTTAATATATACTCCTTCCTAAATATCCTCTATATATTAGTCCCCCTTAAAACCGAGAAGATCGTATACGTAAGTATTTTCGGATACCTTTAAGATAAAGCGTTTAAATAATAAGATAATAAGCTTTTAGATATAAAGCGCGCTAAAATTAACTTAATATTACTTAAGAATAAATAGTTTTAGCGCCTTAAATATCGCTTTAAGACCTACGCTACGGTCGCCTAAGAGAAAATTATAATAGCTAATTATTCGTAGGATAATATCCGCGTTAGTCGCTCTGTGATTAATTAGGCCTAAAACCTCTTCCGAAACTCCTAAGCTATAAAGCTTACTAAAGGCTTATAGCTTATAATTATAGTATAGCTCCGTATAGTTTAGTTAAGATTAGATCTCGCTCTTTAGCGTAATATTCCGGAGCCCTCTACGACTATCTCTATATCTATATTTATTAAGGAGCTTAAATCCCGTTATTAATAGTGATCCGCGATTATATAATATAGAATAGATAATTATCTATAATAACCCTAATAATAAGCTAACTAATATATTACTAATTTTAATTATCTATAGCCTTATAGGCTATAGTGGAATCCCCGAAATTAAATACCTCTAATAGCTAAAGAGAATAGTAACCCCTAATTCCCGAATTACCCTTCTCCGAAACTAAAGATACCCTCCGGTATTATTTTAATATTAAGAATAGCTATAATTTTAGTAGCAGTAATTCTAATAATCGCAGTTTTAGCGTTAGTTACCCTCGCTATAAAATATATAGCCCGCGTTATAGACTACTCCCTAACGCTAACTAGGTTAGTATATAAATTAATAAGGCTAGCGCCTACTAACGAATTAGCTATTTAACTTAAATAACGCGGTAGTATTTTAGCTAAAGTACTAATAGAATAAGTGTCAGCATATTCAAGGATTGTCAGCATTACCTTTAGTCATCCAAGAAGACTATGATCTTTATAATTGGTCAGGTAAATACGAAAAGCCACCTAATTATAATAGGTCTATTAAAAGGTGTTCTATGGATAGACTATTAATGATGCCTTGATATAGGTCTAGACTATTGATGATACCTTGACATAGGTCTAGACTATTAATGATGCCTTGACAATAGGTCTAGACTATTGATGATGCCTAGACTATAATTGATTTCAAAGCAAGACAGGCCTAGACTTAAAACAATGCAAGTCTAATATAGGCCTAGAATATTGTTGATTGGATATAAATATGTCCGCAATTCCCTACAAGAAAAAAATAATTCTTCTTCAATCATCATATCATACCCTGAGGTTTCCTATTAAGGAAATATTCTTTTATTTATCGAAGGATAAAAGACTTAATCTCCCATTAGATCTCCCACTGGATCTCCCACAATAAGTCTACTTAGTAGTATATAATAATATATTAAGTAGAGATAACTTAGTCTTCGGATATACTATTAGCTACTATATCTACTTAACTAAGTATTAAGTAAGCTCCGTAAGCCTACTAAGCTATTATTCCCCCGCTTAGCTATAAGTCTTATTGGAATATAGACTAATGCTACATAGAAAGATCTGTTCTTATATTCAACATATAAGACCAGATTGCTTTGATCACGTGACCAGATTTTTCTTCTATCAAAACGATATTTTGACCATTTCTGATTCTGGTCCGCGGCCCTCCCCCGAACGATAGGCGGGACCATTTTCCTTCAGAGGTAAATGGTCCGCCTTCAGGCATGAATGGTCCGTTCCTTCGGGGGTGCCTTCGGGCATATCTTGCCCGCGGACTTCGACCATGGTCTTCGGACCTCGGTGAACAGACTTTGACCCTCGGTCCCCTTAAGGATAGGCGGACCACTTTCCCTTAGGGGTAAAATGGTCCACCTTTAGGCATGCATAGCCTGATCCTGCGGGGGTGCTTTTGGGGTGGCTTAGACCGTCGATCCTTGACATCATTCTGTTCGCTTCTCTTCGGTTCCCTTCTTTGCCACCTTCATTGTGTTGCTGCCTAGTATTTGTACGTCATTTGTATGTTATTCTAGACGTCATTTCTAGGCTATCCTAGCCTATAAAGACGTCCTTCTTTTCTAGCAGATAGAATCAAGTCAGTTCTACTTTCCTGAAGTCATCTCTACCTTCTTCCTTTGATCCTCAGGACTGTGGTTCTGCCTTCGTTTAGGCTATATCTGCTTATAGTCTATCCTACGACCTTTGACCTTCTTCCTTTGTCTGGCACCGACTGACCTAGCCGGACTAAGGTTGATCCCACGGACTTAAGGGGCCACGATCTGCTTCGTGGTAGCTTTACCCTTTTAGTCCAACAATAGTTAACAAAGGGAAATTCTATCCGCTTAGTCACTTTTCAGATCTATCTGAGGTAATTCATGGCCGAGCGGGCCACCTAGCCGAGCGGGCTACCTAGCCCGTGCGGACTACCCTATACTCTGTTGTCAATTGTAGTGAACAACTCACTATAATTCTTCGCCCGATCATTGGCCTATCGTGCGTGCTCCCGCGCCCCTCTTTGATTAAAGTAAGTGAGAAGATTCCCTCAGTACAATAAAATCTCAACCTTATCAAGGATAATTTAGCGATCTCTCTATTTTAAGACGGCCAGATACATTAGCGATAAGACTATTAAGATTAAGCTTTCGGGTACGGCTTAGGCGTAGACGGTAAGACAGCACAGTTAACCCTCAATCAAAAACCTACTATTGCCTAGGGAATAGTCCACTATTAACTTAAGCTTTGATTCCTTCTTAAATGGATTAGGGGAGTGCTTAGGTATTATAGCTCTTAATAGATACACTTCGCTTAGTCTTCTGCTTCTTTTAAATCCGTCGCAGCTGTGCTCTAGCCGTATCTTTGAATGTCTCCGTGGCAATTACTTAAAGTCTATATCTGACTATATGAATACTTGTGGGAGTACCAGTTATTATGAATTCTAATACGGCTCTAAAGTCGCTAGAGCTTCTGTAAATCGGTGGCCTAATTTTATTGTTCTTTATTTTTGTATATTCTTCTTTTCCTAGGGGTTCTGACGTAATAATAAGAGCGAAGAATTCAGGCTGGCCCTACTATATAAGACCTATTATCTGTTTATCTTAGCGGAAGCTTCCGCGGTCTGTGAGGCTAATTTTGACCTGGCTCTCTGCTATAATTAGCAGTATAGGCACGGTCTCTGCTATAGCGATTATCACTACAGACTCTGAGAGGTAGTCGTACATATAAGTTCTTCGTAGTGCGTTTTTCGCAGTAGGGATATCCTTAGAGGATTAGGTGATATCTGGCTAATATTGACGCTGTCCACCGCTAATCCCCCAAATCAATTAATTAGTCCGTTATGCTGCTAATTTCGTGTAACTGCTCTATAATAACGTATCTCTAACTTTAGCTTACCTAACGTATTGGCCTAGAAGCGTCTTCTAGATAGTATTGTCGCTGTTTGCTTATCCTTACTGCTATGCTAGTTACGTAAGGTAAACTTCCCTACGTCCTAACTATTATTGCTTCATTACTCCCTTTTAATTAAGACGATTTCTATCTCCTTACTCTGCTATAGCTCACATACGCTTAGCGCTCCTATATATATTTAGTAAGCAGACTGGATATAGGAAATAGTGCGGCGAGGACGGAATAAATTTCTCTGAAATCTTTGACCGTGAAGATTATAC